TGTGTGTATCTATGTATATATATATTTAACCCAAAATCCACCAAACTGTCCATCAGTATCTTTTCATTCAGGGCTCTGAAGAGCCACACTCTTTAGGGATGATGTCAGGTCAGCATTTCTCTATCAGATTTCATTTTTTGGTTTGTTTTATATCCGACTCCAAATTTCTGAGAACCTCGATTCGTAAGCCACTTCAGTAAATCTGTCACTCTGGTGAATTGGTGATTTTTACAGTTTGACAAGCCAAGCTTCTGTTGAAGGAGTGAAACGCGGCGCTGAAGCTGCAGCGGCGGGTCAGGGGGGGAAGACGAGCCGCTGGCCCGGTTCTGGTTCCTCTGGGCTCATCTCCAACCGGGACTGAAATAGAAACGCTGCCTTAGCAGAAATATAGAGCACTGAGATTTTCTCACCCGAGAAGGAAAGTGAATAAGTCAACAGTTCACACCTGAATATGGGTCAAGTTTGGCTTTTTAATATAAAGATTAGGAGCAGTTTTTAAGGAGTCATACTGAAAGTTTTCATATTTGAATGCATTTTTAAAGTTGCTGCTGTGTAGTTTAACTGCGGTTTGTGTGCAGGACCACGGAGCAGCAGCAGCGTTTCCATGAGATCTGCAACAACCTGGTGAGGAGCGAGCGCCGCGTCCTCGGCTGGTGGAAGCGTCTCTGCACCCTGAAAGAGGAGAAACCCAAAGTGGTTAGTTTTTACTCCATTTATCACCCTGACAGCTGTGTGCTCTGCTGCGGCACAACGACGAGCCTTTTCTGGGTTTCAGATAAAAATATCAGCTGACTCGACTCAGCTGCTCCACTTAGCAGAGCTCAAACTGGGTTACACGCTGCAGGAACTGGGTTGATTCGCTTCAGCCTCCAGTTGATGCTTAAACTTGAACCTGGCAGTCTGAGCTGCTCATACGGAGCCTGATTAGATGGAGGAAGGGTTGATGAAGTGGTTTCACTTCAATCTGCTTTTTCACTTCAGATGCTGATTCCTGAGGTGTAATGTTGACAGAAAAACAGCTGAGCTGACTTTAAATGTACTGAATTACACATTTATTATTTAACTGCAGCAGCACAACACCACTGGCTTCATTAGCTTGGCCAAACGAGAAAAAGTCAAACAGCTTTAATTTGTTAAATTAGGAATAAAAAGATTTATGTACCTTAAACTGACAATTAACAGGTTGACTATTTTGGTCAAACATGTAGAATAAAAACCTTTCAAATGGTTCAGAAATGAGGAATTTTAAGTGTAATATAAATAATAAAGCCTGATGTTATAGAATTGGACTGAATAGATCTGCCCTGATGTATCAGGCTCATTGATCCCTGATCTATGACTGTTTTATTGATCTGGTATTGCTGCCTCTCCAGTGTCGGTCTGATGCTGTTTTCTCTCTGCAGTACTTTGCCTCGGTGATCAGCGGCCTGCTGGCGGTGGCCTGGATCGGGCAGCAGGTCCACAACCTCTTCCTCACCTACCTGATCGGTAAGAGCCCCATATCTGCATCACGTCTCTGTGTGTAACTGTAAACATCCTGAGTCTTCATCGCCTGCCGGGCTGCAGCTGTGACTCAGAATGAAAACGCCTTTTGATAAATGACGAACTCGCCTTCCAGTAACTCTGTGTGACGCGTCATCGGCTCAGGCACGCCGGGTTTGAGTCCAGACACGACTGCCGTCTCCGACACATCTAACAACAATATGCTGAAGGATTGTAGTTTTCTCCTGATACTGCAGCAGCTGCCATTACATGACTAATAAAACCTGGTTTACATTTCTTACCTTAGTTTTAAGAAACAAAGAAAATCTCCAAAAATCATCACACCTGATGCTGATGGTGTAATAAATCAACTTTTGACAGAAGGTGTAAACAACATCAGATTTATGTATTTCATTCATTTTGCTTGTTAATTTTAAACCAACTGAATGAAATAAATCTGTCATGTGACACACATGGTCCACTTCCATGTATTGAGTCAGAAAAATGACACAAAGATGCAAAGAATCTGAAAAAGGGACAAAATGTTTCACTATTACCACCGAAAGCTGGATGAAAAGCTCCCTGGGTTTAATTTAAAGAAACTGACCAGGAAGTGGGTCAGTTATTCCAGCTCGACTTTGACAACATTAACATGTTCCTGCTGTTCACTTCGATGTTTCGGTTTATTTGGCACTAAAATAAGGCAGATGATTAAATCTGCTAATCTACTGCCGCTGTGTCCATGCGACCGCTTATTAATAATCATAAAGTGAACATCAAGCCAGAAAACATGAAGGTATCACAGCATTTTGTTTGGGGTTGTATTTCCTGTTCTGTGGCTGAAATCTTTACATTTTTGGGATTAATGTTCCCTTTGGGGTTGAACGTTATCGCTGCTGGTGGAGCTGTTACCAGCAGGTGTGCATGTGCAGTAAAGTTGAACGAGAAAAAGGGAAACTACTTGTGGTTTTGGTTTGGTTTTTACCAGAGTGTTGTTGCTGTTCTCTAGTGGCGCATTTCAAGTTCTGAAAGGTCAATAAATGACAAACTGGACTTCCTGCCTTGTTTTGGTAAATATTCATCTCGTTTCTCTTGTGTCTTTGCAGAACTGACAGAAGCCAAACTGTTTATAGGGAGAATGAATATTTAATGTATGAACACTGGAATGTTCTCAGCTTTAATCTCAGCCATATGAGAACGTTGCAAATGTTTTTGTGAGATTCCTGCTCATTGCAACAGTTTGAGTTTAGTTGACATGATTCAATGTGAAGCAATGGAGTCTCTAGCTATAGCAGCTAATGGGCGTTTTCCTGTCCACTACTACGTCCTGTCCACTACTATGTCCTGTCCACTACTATGTCCTGTCCACTACTACGTCCTATCCACTACTACGTCCTATCCACTACGTCCTATCCACTACTACGTCCTGTCCACTACTATGTCCTGTCCACTACTATGTCCTGTCCACTACTATGTCCTGTCCACTACTATGTCCTGTCCACTGCTATGTCCTGTCCACTACTATGTCCTGTCCACTACTATGTCCTGTCCACTACTACGTCCTATCCACTACTATGTCCTGTCCACTACTATGTCCTGTCCCTACTACGTCCTATCCATTACTATGTCCTATCATTACTATGTCCTGTCCACTACTATGTCCTGTCCACTACTATGTCCTGTCCACTGCTATGTCCTGTCCACTACTATGTCCTATCATTACTATGTCCTGTCCACTACTATGTCCTGTCCACTACTATGTCCTGTCCACTACTATGTCCTGTCCACTACTATGTCCTGTCCACTACTACGTCCTGTCCACTACTATGTCCTGTCCACTACTATGTCCTGTCCACTACTACGTCCTGTCCACTACTATGTCCTGTCCACTACTATGTCCTGTCCGGTGCTCTGTACAAAAAAAATTACAAAAATTAAGATTCAGATTGCATCAACAATGATTTCAGAATTTAAGTATTTAGAGAACTCTATCAAAAAATAGATACAGATTATAGAAAGTAAAGAAACGAATAAAATGGTTGCAATATTTGGCACATTAATTACTTTAGTGAGCCATTTATTTCTGCATTTATTGCCAACTTTAGTGGAAGGGTCCTCCATACACTCGCTCCTGTTTATGGATTGACGTTTTGTACTTTGTCTGCAGTGAGCTTTCTGCTGCTGCTGCCGGGTCTGAACCAGCATGGCGTCATCTCCAAGTACACCTCCATGGCCAAGAGGGAGATCAACAAACTGCTCAAGCAAAAGGAGAAGAAGAACCAGTAGAGGATGTGTGCAAAATGGAGAAGAGAAGAAAGTCTGTAGAAAAGAAAAAGCAAAAACCGGAAGTTTGTCTGAGCAAAAAGCACTTTGTTTCCACACATCGGATAAGTTTAACTTCTTCACACTTCCAACCGTGTGACATTCAACCGTCATCACCCCTTCCACAGGCACCACATGACGTTAATCACGTGTGAAAAATCCTTTTTCATAGATCAGTTGTGCTTTGTTTTACAGTCAGCAATGCTTTAAGCCATTCCCTCGGATTAGATGGAGACTACTGAACAGTTCACGCATTGCTGCATATTTTAACCTGGTTATTCACAGTAATTGTTTCAGGGGGGCTTAGTTAGGGTAAAATGGCAGAATATGAACGTTTTTATGTTTGTGCTTTGTTGCTTTATATTTGAACGCAGTGCTGAAAACTAACTGGATTTAAAGCTGAGCTAATCAGGAGAGAAGTTGCCTGGAGATGGAGGTTCTGCTGTATCTGCTGGATGAAAACAGATCTGATGCTTTTAAAACCTCAGATGTGACGTTATGAGGGCTCTCTGTTTAAGACTGTCCTGTCTTGTTAGACATTTCTTTTCTTATTTATGTGTTTGATCTCTTTTCTGTTCTCATTTCATTGTCTTTGTGAGATCCCAGCAATCAATAAAGTTTGATTTTAAATGACTGGTGGCTTCTGAAGCTCGTTTTCATTTCAAGAACTGATCTTTTTTAAATTGTAGCTGAAAGCAGCAATGTCTGACGACTGCTTTCATTTTTCCTTATCGCAGTGAAGATGTCCACTTGGCATTAATCAGAAAAGCACCGGTATCTCTGGAGGAGCTGCAGAGTTGCTTATGCTCAGAACATTTAATGAAATTTTGCAACTTTTCTGCAAATCTAAAAATGTAACTCCCATCTTCCTTGTGTTCATTCTTGTCCTTCTTTTCATTGTGTTTGTACTGTTTTCTACATTTGTTAAGTCTTACCCACAACCTTCCTTCCATTCTCAGTTACAGAAATGTCTTCCATCTCAGTGAACTCAAACCACCGGAAACTCCAGAAAAAGTGGGGGAAAGAAATTGTCCATGAAGTCTGACAAAAATCACTTTCTACAATTTAATATTTACATGAGAAAAATAAATTAGAAGAAATGAGTAACATTTTGTGAAAATCCCAATTCAGAAAATAAAACCTGCTGTTGTGGATGGGCTTGTATGTGTTGAAGAAAATTCAGGTTCCCAACATTTTCATTGAAAAAGGAAAGGGCGCCCAATAGCACCACCTGGTGGAGAACCTGGGCTTCACAGCGGAGCGTCCAGCCTGTTAAGAGTTTATTAATGTCAATGTGCATGATATTAGAAAATAAATGAACTGATTTGTTTTAATAAAGAAACAGAAACAAGTCAGGTTTAGAATCTGTGACAGTAATCAGCTAAAGATAAATCACACTTCAAGAAAACGAGAGAAGATTAAACTTAAGCTTTTTTGAGTAAATTTCTGTTGGTTAATGTTGGGTTTTCTTGATCTTCGCAGTGAACCACACTTCTTTTCTTAGATAGCTGTTTTATTGCGAACGTTCAGGTTGTAAAACTTCTGATTCTTTCCAGAACAGTGCTGCCTATACATTAGAACATTGCCCCCCAGTGGACAACAACAGTACAACATGCACATAAAGAGAGTGACAGGATATAGAACATAAAGCTGAACCTGCTCATGTGAAAACCTGGAGGCATAAAGCTAAAAGGAGAAGATGGCCTAAGAGGATGGAGGGGGAGTGAGGCATTGCCACCCCACTGGTTGTCCTGGGGACGGTGGTTGGGGTGTTTGTGATGTTGGTGACGGCGGTTGCTGGAGACAAGAACGGTCCCAGTGTCTTGGTCAGGAAGGACTGAAAGCGGCTCAGTTTTTCAAAGATCTTCATGTTGGCTCGTCTCCTTCTGTTGGAGGTTTTCTCAACTGAAAGCACCACTGCCTGGAACCAGGAGCCGTCCTGCTTACACATGAGCGGACCACCAGAGTCGCCCTGAAACAGACAGAAGACGCTAAATATTCTGATTCAACCTCTGAAACCGTCTTACCAACCATTACGACTGACAGAAAAACATTTTAACCCAAGTCCTGCTAGTTTCCCACATTCACACTTCCAGTCCAATTTTCAGTCATTAAGATCGAACCAAAAGATTATTATGAGCTCTCCATGTTAAAGCTAAATACAATGTTTTCAGACTGAAGCTGATATTTCCGTTTTTCAGAGGTTACAGCAGATCCTGCATCACATTTAGCAAGAAAGTCTTTCTTTCTTGATAATTTGATGTGTTTTAATAATATTCTAACTCATCAAGATGCACCTGAAAATGATTGATCTCCTGTTTCTCTGTTGGGTTCAACACTTTTAGCAGCTTAAGTTAGGTTTTATAATGCTGGAAAACAAGATTCAGAATTCAACCTAAACCAGAGGAGTACCTCTCCCAGAGTAAAGTCTGCAGTGCACATCCTGTCTGCTGCTGATGCATCCCCACAATTCAGCACTGATGTCTGGATCTGCTGCAGAGGCTCCTTCTCTAAAGTTGGAGAAAATGAGGAAGCTGTCATTTCTGGTAAAGTGTTTTGGTTTGCATTGGTTCTCATGATTAGCCCAGCATCACCTCCTCCGGCTCCAGCGCTCCAGCCGGCGGCCCAGCATGCGGCTCCCTCTGGGAACGTTCTTCCGTTGTCCAGGCAGATCGGCCCAATGTAGTCGTTCAGGGTGGGGGGGGACGACAGCGTCAGCACTGCGATGTTGGTTCCTGTCAGGTTGCTCACGCTGATATTGACCACATCCAACGACACCTCAAACTGGTTGGTGCCGTTCTGATTTAGCCGACCCAGCACGACCTTCCACTCAGAGGCGTTAGGGGAGCTGAGGGAGAGAGGCTGGACTGAATACATACATAATCACCTCATCGGTTTAAAAACTGAGTTCAGTTGGTCTCTGTGATGTTGGCATTTTTCTTCTCCCATCATGCTCAGCTTTAGCGTACCCTGGGAAGCAGTTGGCGTTGGTCAGCACGTCGCTCTCAGACACCAGCGTCCCTCCACACACATGCTGGCCATTCTTCTGTAAGCTGGCCATCCACGGCCACGCGCCGGCCGACGCCACAGAAACTCCACCCGAAATCCGAGAAGCCAGTGGGGCCTGTCCACAGACCACAGCTGGGGGAGGAGGAAGACACGGGGAATGAAGGAAATGTCAGACAGTGCTTCTGTTCCCGCCAAGCCTTTTTTTTGCCCCAATTTTCCCTTTAAGACAATCTTACAACGTAATGCAGTGTGTGTTACACAGTGTGTGTGTGTGTGTTACACAGTGTGTGTGTGTGTGTTACACAGTGTGTGTGTTACACAGTGTGTGTGTGTGTGTTACACGGTGTGTGTTACACAGTGTGTGTGTGTTACACAGTGTGTGTGTGTGTTACACTGTGTGTGTGTGTTACACAGTGTGTGTGTGTGTTACACAGGTGTGGTGTGTGTTACACGGTGTGTGTGTTACACAGTGTGTGTGTGTGTGTTACACAGTGTGTGTGTGTGTGTTACACAGTGTGTGTGTGTGTGTTACACGGTGTGTGTGTTACACAGTGTGTGTGTGTTACACAGTGTGTGTGTGTGTGTTACAGTGTGTGTGTGTGTGTTACACAGTGTGTGTGTGTTACACGGTGTGTGTGTGTTACACAGTGTGTGCGTGTGTGTTACACGGGTGTGTGTGTGTGTTACACAGTGTGTGTGTGTGTTACACAGTGTGTGTGTGTTACACAGTGTGTGTGTGTGTTACACAGTGTGTGTGTGTTACACAGTGTGTGTGTGTGTGTGTTACACGGTGTGTGTGTTACACAGTGTGTGTGTGTGTGTGTGTTACACAGTGTGTGTGTGTGTGTTACACAGTGTGTGTGTGTTACACAGTGTGTGTGCGTGTGTTACACAGTGTGTGTGTGTGTGTGTTACACGGTGTGTGTGTGTTACACGGTGTGTGTGTGTTACACAGTGTGTGCGTGTGTTACACAGTGTGTGTGTGTTACACGGTGTGTGTGTGTTACACGTGTGTGTGTGTGTGTTACACAGTGTGTGTGTGTTACACGGTGTGTGTGTTACACGGTGTGTGTGTGTGTGTGTTACACAGTGTGTGCGTGTGTTACACAGTGTGTGTGTGTTACACGGTGTGTGTGTTACACGGTGTGTGTGTGTGTGTTACACAGTGTGTGTGTGTTACACGGTGTGTGTGTGTTACACAATGTGTGTGTGTTACACGGTGTGTTACACGGTGTGTGTGTGGGTTACACGGTGTGTGTGTGTGTTACACGGTGTGTGTGTGTTACACAGTGTGTGTGTGTACACGTGTGTGTTACATGTGTGTGTGTTACACGGTGTGTGTGTGTTACACAGTGTGTGTGTGTTACACGGTGTGTGTGTGTTACACGGTGTGTGTGTGTGTTACACAGTGTGTGTGTGTTACACGGTGTGTGTGTGTACACAGTGTGTGTGTGTTACACGTGTGTGTTGTGTTACACGGTGTGTGTGTGTTACACAATGTGTGTGTGTGTTACACAGTGTGTGTGTGTTACACGTGTGTGTGTTACACGGTGTGTGTGTTACACGGTGTGTGTGTTACACAGTGTGTGTGTGTTACACAGTGTGTGTTACACAGTGTGTGTGTGTTACACAGTGTGTGTGTGTGTTACACAGTGTGTGTGTGTTACACAGTGTGTGTTACACAGTGTGTGTGTGTGTTACACAGTGTGTGTGTGTGTTACACAGTGTGTGTTACACAGTGTGTGTGTGTGTTACACGGTGTGTGTTACACAGTGTGTGTGTGTTACACCATGTGTGTGTTACACAGTGTGTGTGTGTTACACGATGTGTGTGTGTGTGTTACACAGTGTGTGTGTGTTACACAGTGTGTGTGTGTTACACAGTGTGTGTGTGTGTTACACGGTGTGTGTGTGTGTTACACGGTGTGTGTGTGTTACACGGTGTGTGTGTGTGTGTGTGTTACACAGTGTGTGTGTGTTACACAGTGTGTGTGTGTGTTACACCATGTGTGTGTGTTACACGGTGTGTGTGTGTGTGTGTGTGTTACACGGTGTGTGTGTGTTACACGGTGTGTGTGTGTGTTACACGGTGTGTGTGTGTGTGTTACATGGTGTGTGTGTTACACAGTGTGTGTGTGTTACACGGTGTGTGTGTGTGTGTGTGTTACACGGTGTGTGTGTGTGTTACACGGTGTGTGTGTGTGTGTTACACGGTGTGTGTGTGTGTGTTACACACCTGTTGAATGTGACAGGCAGCAATAAATGTAAATTTAATCCACAATAACTACTGATGGAGCCCTGAGCTTGTTTCTCCCATCTGGGAGACAATGACACTGAAGTGCTGCTGATGCTCCGGGACATACTGGGTCTCTATAGTGAAGCAGTTTCATTGTCTCATTAACATCCAGTCACCAGATCATGCAGAGCAGCTTGGACTGTGGGAATCACCTGCTGGGATGAATCCATCCTCCTGCCTCTTTGGGCCTTTTCTCTTCACAAAGAAAATTTCCAAAGAATCTGATCTGTTTCTGACTCATTTTGCTGCTTTTGGCTCAATGTTGGCAGCAAGATGCAACTGAGAGAATCTGGTTAAAGGATTAAAGTCGTCCAGACTCAAATAATACACAAAACAGAAATATTTAATTATTTCTTGCGCACTCCGGTACCAATTGGGCCACGGACCGGTACCGGTCCGTGGCCCGTGGGTTGGAGACCACTGATCAGTCACTGTTGGCATCATTGAAAGACCACAGGGAAAACTGGAGTCTGTGTTGAATTACAACAAAATGAAATATGATCTAAAAATAAACTTTTTCTATTTTGCCTTCATGTGAACCTTAGTGCCACAATATCCCATCACTTTGCTGCTGCTACACATCTGTAGGTCAGTAAATACATTTCTATTTTTCAGTTTTATTTCATTGCCACATGTGATTGAAATCTTTTGGATCACGATTCCAAATGTCAAGGAGATTGAGGAAATCTTGACAGCATCTACATACAAAGAATCAGCATCTTTAACTAGACCAGGCAACAACAAACAGTGAAGGGAGACTTCAGTTAGCAAACATTTTTATTGGTGCGATTAGAACTGATACATCTTGGCATCCTTATTATAGGATTTTTGTTTAGTCACAAATTAAATGAAATCAAGATACTCACGCTGAGGTTCAGTTGTTGTTGTGGTTGGTGGAAGCGTTGTAGGGTTGGAGGTTGTACTGGAAACGTTAGAAGTGAAGGTGATGAAGCCCGGCTGGTTGGTGTTGATAAGGCTGTTGATCCAACTCTCATACTGGGACACTCTGGCGTAGACTCCGGGGAAATTTGGTTTAGCACATCCTTCTCCAAAGCTAACAATCCCTGATTGAATCCAGCGGTCCCCCTGCTTGGTCACCAGCGGACCTCCTGAATCCCCCTGGAAGATCAGAACATTTTTCCAGATGAGAAGAGAACGACTGTCTGCAGACAGCAACAAACTGATGTAAACAGATGATCACCTGGCAGGAGTCCTTCCCTCCCTCTAGCAACCCGGCACAGAGCATGTTGCTAGTAATGGCGTTGTCTCCATAGCTGGACTTGCACTGTGACTCCCCCACCACTGGCACCTCCACCTCCATCAAGTTTTGAGGAAATGGAAGAGGGACTGAGGAGACACATTATAATACTTCTATAAGTGGTAATAACCTGGTTTATCAGTTTACTTCCCTGTATATTGCTGGTTTATAACCCACCACTACTCCCAATGTTGCCCCAGCCAGTAACCCAGGAGTTAACCCCGCTGGAGAAGATGCTGCCTGAGGCGGCCAGGCAGACTGGGGAGATGTAACGGTTGAAAGTGACTGATGCAGAGAGCCTCAGTAGAGCAACGTCATTGTTGGAAGTTTTAGAATTATAGTCAGGGTGAGAAATGATCTGTGCTGCCGTCCGAGAGACTTCGTTTGGGTTGGATCCCTGCTGACTCTGACGGCCCAGATAAACCGTCACTCTCTGATCACTGAGCCTATTAAATGAAAACATTTAATTAATTAACGTTTAACTAACAATTACAAACTGGCATGCAGCACATAAACATGTAGCTGAGCGACTACAGTTATCACAATTTACCCCAATTTGGGGTAATGAAAGGTTCACCCCAGGAAAATGATGGAGGATTTAAACTATGGAAAACCAAAGGCATTCAGAAAATTAAAGATCTATATGTTGATGGCAAGTTACTTACTTTTGATCAGTTATGTAAGAAGTATTTAATACCGCCGAAACATTTTTTTAAATACTTGCAATTGAAAAACTTTATGTCATCAAAACTGAAACAAATAGTTGACATTCAACCCTTAACGAAAATAGAAGAGGTGTGTGTTGGAGACTCAAAAGGGAAAGGTTTTCTTTCTCTGTTCTATAATTTGTTAATGCTTTCCTCTAAGGACTCAGCAATAGATAAGTTAGACGCTTGGAGAAGAAATACTCTGGAAGATATAGATGAGGAAGACTGGAATCAGTTTAAAAGCACAAAACAAATGATAAACACACGATTTAAACTTTTGCAATATAAATGGCTCATGAGAACCTATGTAACACCAGTTAAGCTTCATCATATGTCCAGTGATTTTCCAGATACTTGCCCTAAATGTTTGAAAAAGGAACGCTTCTCCATTGTTTGTGGGATTGTCTTAAGATTCAGACGTTTTGGAGGGATGTTATTGGGTGTCTATCTGACTTGTTTAAGGTGAAAGTCCCATTGGAGGTTAAAATCTGTGTTCTAGGAATATACCCAGTGGAATTTAAACAATGACAGAGGAAAACTAAATTGATAGACTATGGACTTCTTCAAGCCAGAAGATCTATAGCATTATGCTGGAGGGGCATGGACGCACCCTCCCTGGGACTCTGGAAGAAGGAAATTGCAAATTCGCTCGGACTGGAAAAACTAACATACATCACCAAGGGTAAACAACGGGACTTTGAAAATCTCTGGGAGCCATAAATGAAGACCATAGGGACTGAAGGTGGAACTTATTAGTGGATGTCTTGTCTATGGTTTCTATCCATATATTGTTCTGTTATTCTTCTTTGTCTTTTTTCTCTAATCTAAAAAGTTCTTGATATTTTTGGAACCAAACAAATGCAGGTTTGAAGGGTGAGTGTGGGAGTGAATGCAAGAGTGTATAAGTATATGTTATAATGTTAAGTTTGTTGTGTGTGAATTTGTTGTGCCAAAAAAGAAAAAATTCAATAAAATATATAATAAAAAAAATTAACATTTAACTTCATAACATCAAAATTCAGAATGTACTTGAAACACCTGTTGATGAACTTTGTATGTGTGCACTGTAAAACATTTAGTTATTTCTACTATCTTCTCCTCTTAAGTCTAATAAATGTACAGTTTTAGATTTTGAACCTAAATGTGAGTTTGTGAAAGATAAACTTACAGTAGTAAGTTGTTAACTTTCTATTAATTTTGTCAAACCTCCAACAGTTGAATAAATTAGTTTTCAGGTTAGCACTAAGGAAAGACAGGAGTGGGAACTATTTCCCAGGGTGCTTAGCGGCACGTTTTTGTATGGTGTGTTGCACCGTGAGTCAGATGGAAGTGTGTTCAGTCGTGGTAGTTTAGATGCTTAAACATTTTGTGCTTTGCTGGAGCTGACAGGGAAATCAAGACGAGATCCAAACTTCTCATATTTACAAGTGTAGCGTGAATGGATCTGACCTGATGGGTTGTCTGGCTCTGGGATGAGGCGTTTCCTCTAGACTTGTTGCTTACCCTGCGACACAGTGAGCTGCAGTCAGCACCCACTGGTCGTTGATCAGAGATCCTCCACAGAAGTGGCTGGAGAGGTGCAGACTGGCCTGCCAGGGCCAGCTGCCTGCAGGAGCTGCTTGTCCTCCAACAATCCTGGTGTTGAATGAAGGTTGACCACAAACTGAGAAAAACACAAATGCAACATTCACTCTGTTGTCATCCAGTCATAGCAAGTCTGTCCCAATAGCAACTGTAGGAAAACTGAAGTTTTAAAGATTTGACCTACCAGAGAGCTGAGAGTCACACTCTGAAAAATGGGGAGAAGAAATACATATTGTCATAAATCTTTAAAATACATTTCTTTGATGCGTTTTCCTGTTTCTGTTCTGTACTAAACAGCAGCCGTAGCTCCAGGTAAAGGATACAGTCTCACTGGGATGTGGCAACAGGACAAACTTTGCTCATACACAAATACAAGCAACTTCATAATAATAATGAACTTTAGAAGAGTTTGTAACAGAAGCAGCAGATTCCAGATTCCTGGGTTGTGAAATGAAACCTGCTTGTCCTTTGCTCACCTCCAGCTGTGAATGGATCATATATTATATAAGCAGATGTTTTCATAGTTTGTCCGGGGATGTGACTTACACTCTGGAGCGACTTATGTGTGAAGTTATTAACACATTATTAAATCATATCACATGTTATTTTCACACTAATCCGCAAGAGGTTGCTCTAGGCCTGTGTTAATAATGTGTGGGAGAAGCTCCCTGTGGATTTTTTAAAAGTGACACAGAGGATGAATATTTAGTGATTTGGTTTGGTAAACTTGTTAGCATATTATTTATGCTACAGTTATCTGAATAACTCTTAATGTGTTAACACACCAGGCACGTTCTCAGTTTGTTTTGCGTCATGTAACATTAGCATACATTATCCAGCCTGTTGCCTCTATTTTATTTTTATTTCAAATTGCCTTTCAAGATGACATGTCTGCTCTTGGTATTGGATTTTATCTTGTAAATTTTCCTCAAAAATGCGACTTATAGTCTGGAAAATACAGTGTTGTTATGTATATATAACAACAAAAAGTTTCTTAAATTGGTCGTGTTGAACCGGATTTGTAACTTGTCCCACATCATGAGTTGTTTTGAAACCTCAGTAGTTTCCTGTTCTACCAGTTAATTTGCATCTGATTCAGATAAATGAAAGAAAAAAGAGTTAATATATTTACAGAAAAGACTTTAAAAAGCAGACGAGGTGAAACGTCTTGGTCAGTTTATGTATCATATAGCAGCATTATTTACTCAGTGATGATTCCTGTCATTCAGGAGGATCTCTAGTGAGTCTGGGGAAAATAATCTGCCACAAACTTTGTCAGGATGTTTTAGTTTCAGTTCTTACATTGACCTGTTGGACTGAATAAAAATCTCTGCTCTCTCATTCAGGCAAAAAACAAAAAGCTTAACAGTGTTGGCTGTTTGAAAGCATTTTAAACAACATGCTGTATCTGGTGCTGCAGATGTCAGAAGAAAAGTAACTATTTCTGTGTTAGATTAGAATAAAACAATTTAGACATTAAAACATGTTTCAAACTTTCCAAAAGGTGTAGGCGATCGCTTCAGTTAGCTGTTTGAAAATCAATATGCTATTTCTAACCTTATATTTCTTTCTAATACTGCAAATTTGTCCTCACCATACAGTCTTTAACTTATCAGTTTTTGTAATTACCTTGTTTGAATCATCATCATGCCTTACTTTGTCTACAGCCTTGCTGCTGGTCCATCTGACAATATTTCTGTTGAGTTTCTCTAATCTTTGCATTCTTACCTCTGATCAGCAGCATCAGCAGAGCCGCCACACAGATCAGCGTGTTGAAGGCCATCACTGTCGCTTGTCTGCAGTGATCTGCTCTGTTAATGTTGCCAACATGCAACATTTAATGACGCCCACAATGAGTCACCTGCTTAGTGACATTCCAACAACTCACCTGAGTTTCAGCATGTGCAGGAAGTAGACAGACATCTTATGAGGGTGTTTCTATGAGCATCAATTAGTGGAAAAATGATCTTAATAAAACATACAGATGGATGTTAATGCTATAGTGAAAGAGAAATCATTTTCCTACTTGTTACAGGTGCCATATTGTCCCAATATAGTCAGGCAGTATGAAAATCAACAAGGACTGGTACGTCTCAGAGGTGAACTTTGATTGATAACTTATTAACAAAGTCATGCAGGAACTTTGCCAACATATGGGCGTTGTCTTGAGTCTGTCATTCACTGAAGAATTAAATCAACATAAACTAATCAAATCCAGTTACGTTAGATTCTATTCTGATGATTTACTTTAATGTTTAGTCATGATTAGTAAGTTAGGTTTATTTAAGCACACATGAGCAACAAGAGATTTCAAAGTGTTTCACATGAAAATAACATAATGAACAAACAGGAAAACATTTTATTACATTGGCATAAAAAAGAAGTGATGTTACAGTTAAGACCATATTAACCAATGTTCCAGTTATTAATGAAAAGTAACTCTAATCAGATTTTTAACCCTTTTTACAGTTTCTTTCAGATAAGAGGATAATAGAAGCTGAATGCTGCTTCTCTGTGTTTGGTTCTGGTTCTGGGGATGCAGAGCAAACCAGAACCAGAACTGGAAGACCTGATGGGTCTGGAAAGTTGATGCAGCAGCTGAACTTTGATGTACTTTCTTCTCCGAGATTCAGATTTTTTATTTGTATAGCATCTTTCAGCGACAAGGCATTTCAAAGTGTTTTACATAATAAAAATACAAAAGAACACATAGTCAGATTATTGATTAATATCTCATGATTAGGTTTCAAAAGCATTTGATGTTCTGCCAATTTAAACAATGTTCAATTAACAGGAAATGGACAAATATTACTGGTAATTATGTTACAGGAAGACATTGTCAGTGAAAAGCAATTTCAACCTACAATTATACAAACTTTAAAACAAGGAATAATTACAAAAACACAATTAAAATGTGTTGCCATCCAGTGATCCAGTGATCAGTAATTGGATTACTGATAACATCTTGAAAATGTAGTTTAGTTAGATTACTGGATTTGGAAAGTAACTAAGTTACATTAAAAGTAACTTTTTAGTTACTTTCAGCAGCTGCTGACAGTAATGTTCCACCACCAGTGAAAATTGCATTGATCTTTGCCAAAACTTTATTGCAAGTTATTTTATAATGTGACATCAGCAATGAGTCTCCACCTAAGGTTGAACTGAAGGGCAGATTGTTTAATGGTTACAACAGTACAAAAAAACTTTAATCATTTTTGCATGTTTTTTGTGTTTCTACTGTCTGGAAAACGCTAAGAAGGATTTTAGCGTCTCCTTCCTCCCTGATGAGCCTCCAGGTTCTGTTTGCTGTCAGATTGCAGCGCACGGCGCTCCTCAGCTCCTCCTGCTGCTCCACAGCTCAGATGGCTGCACAGTCTTTAATATTAAAGATTATTATGGCATTTAGTTGCGCAACTTTACTGACACGTTAATCTGTGGCTGTTTTCACGTTTATTACTCTGTTCATATTTTCCTATTAGTCTCCATGTTTGCAGCTTTCTGGAGTGCAACACAAACCTCAACGTCATTCACAGCAAATATATTAACCACTTTAGAAATAAACAAGCCCAAAGCTGCTTATAATAATCACACTTGGCGACAGAAACTCAAAATAGTTCCTGTTTTTTCAGCCTCCATTGTTTCCATTTCTAATCAGCTGCTGACTGTCGCATAGAAACAGAGATCTTTCCTTCAGACGGAAAGGAATTACAAAAATAAAAAAAAATATTAACGTGCAGAGATTTGGACAAGTGACTTTAATCTGATTACTTGATTTGAAATAGCAACACGTTACATTACTGCTTATTGAAAAAAGTGATCTGACGTCTGTGTTGGGATCAGGGAAAACTGGAGTCTGTGTCGAATTACAACAAAATGAAATACGATCTAAAAATAAACTTTGCCACATGTGATTGAGATCTTTTGGATGACAATCCCAAATGTCAAGGAGATTGAGGAAAACTTGGCAGCATCTACATACAAAGAATCAGCATCTTTAACTAGACCAGGCAACAACACACAGTGAAGGGAGACCTGGGCATGTAATGAAGCTTTGCCTCTGAATCATTAGAGGATGTTGTTGATCTCTCTATGATAAAAGGACAGAAAACACAAGGCTGATAACAAATGCAATAATGGTTGAAAGATGCGTTGCACGGTTGGAATTGCTGACGCCATTGTTGGACGTGAAGGTGATGAAGCCCGGCTGGTTGGTGTTGATAAGGCTGTTGATCCAACTCTCATACTGGACACTCTGGCGTAGACTCCGGGAAATTTGGTTTAGCACATCCTTCTCCAAAGCTAACAATCCCTGATTGAATCCAGCGGTCCCCCTGCTTGGTCACCAGCGGACCTCCTGAATCCCCCTGGAAGATCAGAACATTTTTCCAGATGAGAAGAGAACGACTGTCTGCAGACAGCAACAAACTGATGTAAACAGATGATCACCTGGCAGGAGTCCTTCCCTCCCTCTAGCAACCCGGCACAGAGCATGTTGCTAGTAATGGCGTTGTCTCCATAGCTGGACTTGCACTGTGACTCCCCCACCACTGGCACCTCCACCTCCATCAAGTTTTGAGGAAACGGAAGAGGGACTGAGGAGACACATTATAATACTTCTATAAGTGGTAATAACCTGGTTTATCAGTTTACTTCCCTGTATATTGCTGGTTTATAACCCACCACTACTCCCAATGTTGCCCCAGCCAGTAACCCAGGAGTTAACCCCGCTGGAGAAGATGCTGCCTGAGGCGGCCAGGCAGACTGGGGAGATGTAACTGGTGAAAGTGACTGATGCAGAGAGCCTCAGTAGAGCAACGTCATTGTTGGAAGTTCCAGAATTATAGTCAGGGTGAGAAATGATCTGTGCTGCCGTCCGAGAGACTTCGTTTGGGTTGGATCCCTGCTGACTCTGACGGCCCAGATAAACCGTCACTCTCTGACCACTGAGCCTATTAAATGAAAACATTTAATTAATTAACATTTAACTTCATAACATCAAAATTCAGAATGTACTTGAAACACCTGTTGATGAACTTTGTATGTGTGCACTGTAAAACATTTAGTTATTTCTACTATCTTCTCTCTTAAGTCTAATAAATGTACAGTTTTAGATTTTGAACCTAAATGTGAGTTTGTGAAAGATAAACTTACAGTAGTAAGTTGTTAACTTTCTATTAATTTTGTCAAACCTCCAACAGTTGAATAAATTAGTTTTCAGGTTAGCACTAAGGAAAGACAGGAGTGGGAACTATTTCCCAGGGTGCTTAGCGGCACGTTTTTGTATGTTGTGTTGCACCGTGAGTCAGATGGAAGTGTGTTCAGTTGTGGTAGTTTAGATGCTTAAACATTTTGTGCTTTGCTGGAGCGACAGGGAAATCAAGACGAGATCCAAACTTCTCATATTTACAAGTGTAGCGTGAATGGATCTGACCTGATGGGTTTGTCTGGCTCTGGATGAGGCGTTTCCTCTAGACTTGTTGCTTACCCTGCGACACAGTGAGCTGCAGTCAGCACCCACTGGTCGTTGATCAGAGATCCTCCACAGAAGTGGCTGGAGAGGTGCAGACTGGCCTGCCAGGGCCAGCTGCCTGCAGGAGCTGCTTGTCCTCCAACATCCTGGTGTTGAATGAAGGTTGACCACAACTGAGAAAAACACAAATGCAACATTCACTCTGTTTTCATCCAGTCATAGCAGTCTGTCCCAATAGCACTGTAGGAAAACTGAAGTTTTAAAGATTTGACCTACCAGAGAGCTGAGAGTCACACTCTGAAAAATGGGAGAAGAAATACATATTGTCATAAATCTTCAAAATACATTTCTTTGATGCGTTTTCCTGTTTCTGTTCTGTACTAAACAGCAGCCGTAGCTCCAGGTAAAGGATACAGTCTCACTGGGATGTGGCAACAGGACAAACTTTGCTCATACACAAATACAAGCAACTTCATAATAATAATGAACTTTAGAAGAGTTTGTAACAGAAGCAGCAGATTTCAGATTCCTGGTTGTGAAATGAACCTGCTTGTCCTTTGCTCACCTCCAGCTGTGAATGGATCATATATTATATAAGCAGATGTTTTCATAGTTTGTCCGGGGATGTGACTTACACTCTGGAGCGACTTATGTGTGAAGTTATTAACACATTATTAAATCATATCACATGTTATTTTCACACTAATCCGCAAGAGGTTGCTCTAGGCCTGTGTTAATAATGTGTGGGAGAAGCTCCCTGTGGATTTTTTAAAAGTGACACAGAGGATGAATATTTAGTGATTTGGTTTGGTAAACTTGTTAGCATATTATTTATGCTACAGTTTTCTGAATAACTCTTAATGTGTTAACACACCAGGCACGTTCTCAGTTTGTTTTGCGTCATGTAACATTAGCATACATTATCCAGCCTGTTGCCTCTATTCTATTTTTATTTTAAATTGCCTTTCAAGATGACATGTCTGCTCTTGGTATTGGATTTTATCTTGTAAATTTTCCTCAAAATGCGACTTAAAGTCTGGAAAATACAGTGTTGTTATGTATATATAACAACAAAATGTTTCTTAAATTGGTCGTGTTGAACCGGATTTGTAACTTGTCCCACATCATGAGTTGTTTGAAACCTCAGTAGTTTCCTGTTCTACCAGTTAATTTGCATCTGATTCAGATAAATGAAGAAAAAGAGTTAATATATTTACAGAAAAGACTTTAAAAAGCAACGAGGTGAAATGTCTTGGTCAGTTTATGTATCATATAGCAGCATTATTTACTCAGTGATGATTCCTGTCATTCAGGAGGATCTCTAGTGAGTCTGGGGAAAATAATCTGCCACAAACTTTGTCAGGATGTTTTAGTTTCAGTTCTTACATTGACCTGTTGGACTGAATAAAAATCTCTGCTCTCTCATTCAGGCAAAAAAACAAAAAGCTTAACAGTGTTGGCTGTTTGAAAGCATTTTAAACAACATGCTGTATCTGGTGCTGCAGATGTCAGAAGAAAAGTAACTATTTCTGTGTTAGATTAGAATAAAACAATTTAGACATTAAAACATGTTTCAAACTTTCCAAAAGATGGGTGTAGGCGATCGCTTCAGTTAGCTGTTTGAAAATCAATATGCTATTTCTAACCTTATATTTTCTTTCTAATACTGCAAATTTGTCCTCACCATACAGTCTTTAACTTATCAGTTTTTGTAATTACCTTGTTTGAATCATCATCATGCCTTACTTTGTCTACAGCCTTGCTGCTGGTCCATCTGACAATATTTCTGTTGAGTTTCTCTAATCTTTGCATTCTTACCTCTGATCAGCAGCATCAGCAGAGCCGCCACACAGATCAGCGTGTTGAAGGCCATCACTGTCGCTTGTCTGCAGTGATCTGCTCTGTTAATGTTGCCAACATGCAACATTTTAATGACGCCCACAATGAGTCACCTGCTTAGTGACATTCCAACAACTCACCTGAGTTTCAGCATGTGCAGGAAGTAGACAGACATCTTATGAGGGTGTTTCTATGAGCATCAATTAGTGGAAAAATGATCTTAATAAAACATACAGATGGATGTTAATGCTATAGTGAAAGAGAAATCATTTTCCTACTTGTTACAGGTGCCGTATTGTCCCAATATAGTCAAGCAGTATAAAAATCAACAAGGACTGGTACGTCTCAGAAACTTTGATTGATAACTTATTAAAACTTATTAACAAAGTCATGCAGGAACTTTGCCAACATATGGGCGTTGTCTTGAGTCTGTCATTCACTGAAGAATTAAATCAACATAAACTAATCAAATCCAGTTACGTTAGATTCTATTCTGATGATTTACTTTAATGTTTAGTCATGATTAGTAAGTTAGGTTTATTTAAGCACACATGAGCAACAAGAGATTTCAAAGTGTTTCACATGAAAATAACATAATGAACAAACAGGAAAACATTTTATTACATTGGCATAAAAAGAAGTGATGTTACAGTTAAGACCATATTAACCAATGTTCCAGTTATTAATGAAAAGTAACTCTAATCAGACTTTTAACCCTTTTTACAGTTTCTTTCAGATAAGAGGATAATAGAAGCTGAATGCTGCTTCTCTGTGTTTGGTTCTGGTTCTGGGGATGCAGAGCAAACCAGAACCGAACTGGAAGACCTGATGGGTCTGGAAAGTTGATGCAGCAGCTGAACTTTGATGTACTTTCTTCTCGGAGATTCAGTGCTTTATAAGCTAACTACTAATTACTCTTTTAAAGTCTGTTCTCTGAGCTGCAGGGAGCCAGTGAAGGACTTTAGAACTGGTCTTATGTTCTCGATCTTCCTGGTTTTCGTCAGAACGTTCTGGATTAGCTGCAGCTGGACCATTGATTTCTTTTAGGCAGATCCGTGAAAACACTGTTGCAGTAATCAGTGCAGCTAAAGATCAACGCATGGATGAGTTTCTTAGAGCTCACTGAGACATTAGTACTTTAAACCTGGAAATGTTCTTCAGGTGACAGAAGGCCGACTTTGTAACGATGTTTATGTGGCTCTGAATGTTCAGGTCAGAGTCCATCACTCCTCCCAGATCAGCCAGATCTCTACTCTAGTTTCTATCTAGTTTGTAGGTCGCTCCCCTTTAGGTCCAAAGATAATGGATTCAGTTGTGTTTCTGTTCTGCTGGAGAAAGTTTTGGCACATCCACACATTGATTTGTTCTAAGCTTCTGTTCAATGATTGGATGGGGTCAAAGGTAACCTGGTGACATTGTGATGTAGAGCTGAGTATCATCTGCATAGTTATGGTAGCTAACCGTATTTCCTGCTGTTACCTGAGCCAGGGGGAGCATATGGATAATAAATAGCAGAGGTCCTAGGATTGAGCCTTGGGGTTCCCCACATGTGATTTCTGTCCCTCTGTTGACAAAAAGAAATCCCTGTTCTTTAGGTCAGACTGGAACCAGTCCAGTACTGCAGCAGAGTACTGGACCTCTCCAGTACTCTGCTCCTCTCACATGTTGCACTGAGGTCCAACAGAACCAGCACGGTTCTGATTCTGTGGGTTTTCAATAGTCTGTAATCTGGTCGTAAAATGCCAGTAAGTAAAATTAATTACACTTTATTTTAATCTGAAATTCTACAAATTCATATTAAATTTGTAGAATTGTAGAACTCAGAAAGTAATCTAACCACAGCACAAATTTAGATAAAACACTAAATTATTGATGATAACGTTTAAAATTGTGGTAAAAACTAAGGTACAATTGTCACTATTCTGTAATTATGGTAATTGTATCATATCAATATCAAAATGAAATACAAGAGAGAATCAAAGAAACAATGTAATAGAAAGGTTCAAAAAACTAATATTCTATGAAAATACTAGAAATAGATCTATTATTCATTCTCATTCTTTTATTTATTATATTTCCATATAAGCATTTTTTCTAACAATGTCATGATTTGGTGACATAAAATGACCTCTGAGTTTACTGACTAGTTGTTTGGTTAAACGGTTAGCTAAGACAACGGTTAGCTAAGACAACGTTCAGCGACCGCCCAGGATTGGCTGCATCATGTCAGCAGCATCAGTTTCAGTTTAATGATCAGCCATTGATCAGTTTAATGATCAGCCATTGATCAGTTTAATGATCAGCCATTGATCAGTTTAATGATCAGCCATTGATCAGTTTAATGACCAGCCATTGATCAGTTTAATGACCAGCCATTGATCAGTTTAATGACCAGCCATTGATCAGTTTAATGATCAGCCATTGATCAGTTTAATGAGCAGCCATTGATCAGTTTAATGACCAGCCATTGATCAGTTTAATGATCAGCCATTGATCAGTTTAATGACCAGCCATTGATCAGTTTAATGATCAGCCATTGATCAGTTAATGACCAGCCATTGATCAGTTAATGACCAGCCATTGATCAGTTTAATGACCAGCCATTGATCAGTTTAATGACCAGCCATTGATCAGTTTAATGATCAGCCATTGATCAGTTTAATGACCAGCCATTGATCAGTTAATGATCAGCCATTGATCAGTTTAATGATCAGCCATTGATCAGTTTAATGACCAGCCATTGATCAGTTTAATGACCAGCCATTGATCAGTTTAATGACCAGCCATTGATCAGTTTAATGACCAGCCATTGATCAGTTTAATGACCAGCCATTGATCAGTTTAATGACCAGCCATTGATCAGTTTAATGATCAGCCATTGATCAGTTTAATGAATGAAACATGCCTGATTCGTAACACAGAGCCTGAAAAGCGCATCCAGTGGGTGACAGCAGGGATCAGCTGCTCTTTCAGATCACTTGTCTGAAACTTCCTTCAATGCTTGTTTGTCATCTCTAAAGAAGTCTGCTGCGAGGAATGTGATGGCCTCATCTACACCGAGAGAAAAACCGGATCCCCCAGCTGAGAATTTCAGACAAAAGGCTTCCTGGAGCCAGGCTGTGAGCACAAGGAAGTTTCAGAGTCGGAGTCAAATTACTAAGTTCAGTAATTTGACTCCGACTCTGAAATGACCTCTGAGTTTACTCAGAGGTCATCAATTGTTGAAAGTAATTTTTTGTTTTGTTACAGTAGTGTTGAAGTCAGATGTTTGACGTTGCGTTGTTTCTCTCCAGTTTATGGCTCATTCAGTATCAACAGTCTCTCACAAACATGAAGCAGACAAAGTTGGAAACCTGTTTCTGTTCATCTTGATGTTTTACTTTCTTTCTCCAGACCCATTTGACGTCTGACGTTGATCAGTTCTTTTCTGATCTTATCAGGCTGCTCCTTTTAGACCAGGAATGTTCTGGTTCTCTGTTCTAATCCTGTTTCAGACGCAGGTGGGACCAGCTACTGCAACACCGAAGAATGTAAACATCTTTTATTTTGGACTTCTTGTAATAGCATGGAAACCTCAGACTGAGTCATAAGCATAAACTTAACTTAGAGTTGCTCTCTTTGAGTCAAGCAGCTGTGAATCAGCTCTTTGTTCAGTAAATTCACTGGAGTTTCACTTTGATTTCCATTCAATCAGCAAACAGACAGGAAATGAAGCAGTTTGTTATCCAGATATAGCAATCTCTTTTGTCATATTAAAAGCATTATTTTATTTATATTATAAATATATATTAATTAGATCCCATGCAATTTTCTTATAGAACCAACAGGGGGGTGGAGGACGCCACACTCACTCTTCTAAATAACTTGCAGTGTCACTTGGATAAACCTAAGACCCATGCCCGTGTTCTATTCATGGACTTCTCTTCTGCCTTTAACACGGTGCAGCCACACCTCCTTCTACAACGCCTCTGTGACCTGGAAGTCAGTTCTGGTCTGGTTCTCCTCATCAGGGATTTTTTGAGGCATCGACCCCAGCGTGTGTGCATTAAGAACTGCCTTTCTGACTCTCTGGTCGTCAACACAGGAGTTCCCCAAGGATGTGTGTTATCACCTTTGCTCTTCTCCATATACCCCAATGAGCTACAGTGTCAAACTGATGACCTCTCCCTCATTAGGTACGCAGATGATATGGCTCTAATTGCCCAACTATGGGAAGCAGATACCTCCCCCTACCTGCAGTATATTAACACCTTATCTGCATGGTTTGACAGCAGCTTCCGGACCTTAATGTCTCCAAAACCAAGGAGATGTGGCTAGGAAGCAACAAGAAGGGAGGCAATAAAGACCAGGGGCACACCTTCAGGCCAATCAGCATGAAGGGTCGGGAGGTGGAGCAGGTGACTCAGTTTAAATACCTTGGGACAGTCATAGACAGTTCAAGACCATGTGCACGACACATTTAAAAAAGGTAGACAGTGCCTGGCTCTCCTGAGAAGACTCAGGGGCCTTAACACCAGTAAGCGCACCATGTCCATGGTCTACAAGTCCCTGACCGAGAGTGTGCTGACATTCAACATGGTGTCATGGTATGGGCCTCTCCGTCAAACAAAAGGACAAACTGGGACAGATCGTCAACCAGGCCAGAAAGATTATTGGACTTAAACAACTTTCACATTTGTACATGCGGGCCTTAACAAAGAAGGCACATCAAGTCTACCTGGACCCGACTCATCCTATCTGGACCCGACTCGTCCTATCTGGACCCGACTCATCCTATCTGGACCCGACTCGTCCTATCTGGACCCGACTCGTCCTATCTGGACCCGACTCGTCCTATCTGGACCCGACTCGTCCTATCTGGACCCGACTCATCCTCTTCATTGTGTTCTCCAGTTGCTGCCATCTGGACGTAGATTTAAAGTCCCAATGGCAAGGAGGAATGGCTACAAGCGATCATTTGTTCCATCAGCTGTGGATATTCTAAATAAAAATCTGACTAAATTAACTGAGAATAGATAAGTTTCTCTAAGTCTGCTAGTTGTATTCCACTGATTTTAAATTTCACACAGTAACACAGTGCATTGTGACTCAGTGTAGACTCTGTGTGCTCTCTTAGCAGTAGAATAGTAAATTTTAAATGGTTTTTAATATTTAACTGAATGACATGAGTAGAGTAGTATGACTTGATTTCATTTTACAGATCTTGTTTGTTCATTGTGCATGCAGTTTTGTGGCGACTGTGATGTGTGTTGTGTTGTGTGTTTCTTGTGCCAAAGATAAATTTCCATTTTATGTAAGTTTAATGGACAATAAAGGAGTCTAAAGTCTAAAGTCTAATTATATATATATTCCTCTCACTGATCAATTGAAGAGGTTTTACTGTTGAAACATTCAAACCCATTTCTAAAGTTCAGAAAAGGGTTTGAATGCTGGTTTCACTGGTATTTTCCATTTATCTTTGGTGAACTTTACTGTCATTCAGACGACAAACCCTTGTTGTCGTCATCATCATTATCATTGTTATCATCATCATCATCTCTTGCTTTCTGCTTGGATTCTCTCAGGCTGAAGATCGGACTCTTGCCGGACCGGTTCTGAAATGTGATAACTTCCAGTCAGAAGATTATTTTAAACCTCAGAACTGACCAATCTGGTGCTTAACTGTGTTTGGGATTAATATTTACAACTTTGGTTCTCCACACCAGACTCACAGTTTGTTCAAACATCAGGTTTCTTCACTCCACACTGATCAGTTTCCTCCTTTAACTTATACTTCCTTAAGATTATAATCTAGATTTGAGGTTTTTTAAATCTTTCTGCTGCAGTCTTGCACAGAGTTGGTCCAAAGCTGAGCTCCTTCAGGGCTGGTAGAGACCATCAAGGTGATCCTTAAAATGACGTCCAGATTTTGGAGGTTTTAGCTTTTCATACAGTAAAGTCACAGAGTTTCTGCTGAAACTTGTTCCCTCTGGATAAACAGCATCGTACTGCTTTGCGTTTCAGCTCCAAAAGGCTTTGGGTGTCGTTTCAGAGCGTCTTATCCAACCTGCAGGAGTCTGGCTTGCTTTCATTTTTCACAGCAAAGAAAATGCTCTCCAAGTAAGTGTTTTATTTTGGTTTAATAAAACTGAAAAGTCAAAGACACAACAGTTAACAGTTTGTTTTGCTAGGAGCAAAGATGTTGGCCTGGTAAATAATAAGAACTAGTTAGAAAGCTGTAATCTCGTGAACACAACGAGAATCGACCTGCTTTAATGATGTGCAGAATAAACTGCAGCGCTCTTCCTCCTGGTCTTCCTCACACCAAAACAATCCTACAATAATAAAAAACTCAGCTGCACATTTACTGATGGAACAAGGAAAGTCTTCATTGTTTTCATTTGCATATTTTCTTTTAAGGGGATTTTCTGACCTGTGGAGTTAATCTGTCTGTGTCGGGGTCAAAGTTCAGTGGTTTTGTGTTACAGCGCCACCCAGTGGCCCATCCTTCCAATTACATCAGTTTCTGTGGCTTCAGTCTGTTACGGAAATATAAAAACCATAGTCATATCAGATGTGAAACTAAAAGCTGAGTTTGTCTCACTGTAAGAAACCCTCATCTCCAGATATGAACTGATCTTTAGCTAAATTTACCTCCAAACTAAGAGAGGCAGCAACATTATGAGCAACATTATTAAAAACAGGATACAGTTGAAGTTAATCTTCCTTAAAATAACTGAACAGAAAAAGGTGTTGGAGGTGTTTATGGCAGCAGGCGAGTATCTCAGCAGCAAGGCTCCAGAGCCCAATGATTTATTCCACAAAGATTCTGGCCAACCAACAGAACCAAAACTGCTATAGTTCAAGTATTTAATCATTTGGGTAACTGAGGTTTAAAAACAAAATGTTGGTTTCTTACACACTTGGATAATTAACAAATGTTACCATTGTTGTCCATGTCATGGACACATACTGAAGCTCTGACTCCTGGCTTCACCCTCCTATGTCAAACTTTTTCCTTCCACTCAACTTTCTATTAATATTCCTTGATGTAGGACTCAGTCATCATGCTTTCACGTGATGAAAAATCATTTTTGGTGTTATCTATTAAGCTAAATGAACTGTGGCTCATAATAAATATAAATAAACATTTTCTAATTCTGAGAGCAACTACTGGAATAATCTGAGGAGATCTTTTATTATTATTCCTATTTTACAAATTAGAGTCTATAAAACAAAGATTACGGAAGAATTGGTCTACAAAATCAATACGTTTATCATAAGACCTGAATAGTTGTCCATGCTAAAGCGTTCAGATGTGATGTCCAGTGAAACACATCAAACTGATTTGTTGTTTTTTATTCAGTTTTCTAAAACAGGAGCACAGCTAAGGCACAGCGAGAAACCAGAAAAAAGATGAGAAATGAAGGAAAAACAATCCTCTGGGAAATGTTTCACCATTAAATAATCACAACAGAAATCTGGACATTTACATTTAAATCTGTACAATGTTTCACTTCGTTTTCTGAAATAAAATAAACATCCATCCAGATTCATTCATATACAGAAACACGTTTCGCTCTGAGCTGCTGCATCTTTAACTGGGCTTCTGAAAACCAGTGGGGCTCCAGTTTGGTCCCAGTTCCATTTAAATTACCTTTAAATTAATGCACAACAAAAATCTGAAAGCCTTTTTCCAATGATTTGCTTTATTTAAACTCAAACAATTTTTATTCATTTGACTATTTTTCTCTGTTGAAACAATCAGAAAATCTGTGTTTCTGTTTTCAGGTTTTATTTTCCGTCTGAATTCGTTCAGATCTGAAAGTTTTCACTTCGGTTTCAACTTTGGACGAAATCAAAGTGAAAACTTTGAACTTCTAATGAGAAAAATAAATAATTCAACGTCCTCAGAGTTTCTTCCATTTGACTTAAAACCAACAAAAACAAGAAGTTTTTTCTGGAGGCTGTGATTTAGTTTATTTGTATTTACTTCAGTAATTCAGTTCAAAAGGAGAAACTCAGAGTTACATCAGAGTGATGCATTTCTAGTATTTCTCATAACATTTTTATGATTGTGTTTCTGTAAAAAACAAAATTCTGTTTTCAGAAAATTTTAAACAGTTTTTTTCAGTCATGGAGAAAAGTTGACTGATGTTCACCAAACTGAAATTTCCACAAGGAGAGGACTCCACAAGACAAAAAAAAAAAAAAAAAATTCCTGGTGGAAAATTAAGTGGAAGGAAAAAGTGTGGTAGAAAAAGATTCACACCACCACTTATTTTCTCTTCTGCCCAGACTGAGTAAAGTGCAGATACGATCCAGAACATGTAAATATGAAGGCGTTTTAAATCCTTTATCAGGATTTAATGCCATTTTCTTATTTTCTGAAAAACTAAATTTGGGGATTTATTATTAAATTATAACAGATAAATTATGACTAAATCCTGTCTTTATCCATCACAAAAAATGTGTACTTATAATGGTTTTCAAATTGACTGTATTTACATGGTTTGTCCACATGATGGCGCCCTTTGTAAACAATGAAAAGCCTTCAGTATTTATTTAAACCGGTGGGAACTGTTCATCAGTTCTGTTCAGTTTAAACCTTCTGGTTCAGTTTGTTTGTCATGTTGACAGGATTCATTTTTCAATAACCTAAAATTTGTTTTTGTTTTCTTTATTTAGCAAATTAGACCAGATTTCAGTCCCAGGATCAGCAGTTTAGTTCAGCCTCCCGTCTTCCGGACAACAGACCATAAATAAAGACATCATGTCGTCCTGAAGTCTGTGGTCGACATCATTAAATCGTTTCATCAGCCTTCAGAAACAAAGGCACACATTTTCCTCCTAACAAGGAAAAATTAGTCATACAAATTTTTGAATAAATTAGTTCAGCAGTTTTTAGATGTTTGACTCAGACAGAGGGATTTTTTAAAAGAAGATGAATTTCTTCTTGGATGGCTCACCTCAAGTCTGAAGGGTTTTAAAATGGCTCAAAGAAAACCCGACGTTGACACAACAGAGCAGCTGGAGGGAAAACTTTAAACAAGTTAGAAAAATGTCCATCAGGAAAGATCAGAGGCCTGATTTTTAATCCGTGAAAAAATATCGGTTTTAATATGTAAGATGATTCCTCTGCATGTGAAATATCCCTGTAATTTAATGCAGTAATAGCATCTGGCCAGCAGGAGGCGCTCTGGCAGCATTGTTTGCTTGTGTGATCCGGTAGCAGTTCTTTATCTTAATAAATAATGTGGAAGGCCGAGTGGCCCCCTGCTGTGAGGAGCTTAAAGGTTTATCATTTGGCCCAGAACCTGGAGCTGGCGCTCAGTCTGGTCCGGATCAGAATAAGTATGGAAAACATTAAATACGGAAACGTTGGTATTCCCAGGTCCCAAGTCCCTAAAGTACACATTAAATATTTGACCTTTGAACTCTAAAATATTGAACAATTAATTACAGATCCTGCAATTAACTCAATTAAAAACTTTCAAAGCTGCATAAAAAAACAACAGAAACATCAAAACAATCAGTTTTTGTTGTTTTTACATAAGTGACAAGCAGCGAATCGGCATCTCCTTCCAAAACACAGTCATGAAAAATGTTCTGAATGAAACATGATTTTTCAGGGGGGATTTAGATCCCTGACATTTAGAGGGATTTCTCTGTTTAAATGTTAAAAAACTACAGTAACTGTTGGCACTGAGGTCAGACTTTAATTATCTGAAAGCTGCAAAACCCTCACATCATAAACTTCAGCAACGTTTTTCTTTTCTTAAGGCTCACACAATGTTCAAATGAAATGATGAAGTTATTACGGTATCTGGTCTGCAGCTGCAGTTTATTTAGAGATGTTTTCTGTGTGGTCACGGACATGTCGGCGCCACCAGGGGGAGCTCTTCACCACAAACCCCGATAAAAACCCCGTTTTTTTCCATACTTATATCCTGGGAAATACTAGAAACAAATTCCCAGGAATAAAGGCCAGAGATGATTTTGGTCTCAGTTCAGACATTAAATAATGTCATAATTAGACTAAATAACTCATAAATAATAATTTTTGTGAACTCAACAACAAGAGGTATGAAGTTCTGGTTCTGACATTCATTGGGCCGTGTTGTCCCAAACCGAACTGGGATCAGACCAGGTTCTGGTCCTCCTCCGTTCCTGCCACCTTCAAATAAATAAAGGTTTCCTCCGACCGTCCCGCTGCTACCTGATCCGGCCGTCCGCTCTGGGCGCGCTCAGTTCGGATTTGGGGTCGGGGCTGGCGGAGCTCCACCTGGTGCGGGCGCAGCGCTGCATGACGGGGCAGGCGCTGGGGCCCAGCGAGCAGACGTCCGCGGCGGCCCAGTGGCCCTGCAGGAGCCCGTCCAGCCAGCGGCGCAGCGGCGCCCCCGTCAGGCCGGAGTTGGCCTCGGCCTCCTCCACGGCGCGGAGGCTCACCGGCAGCCGCAGCACCGGGTTCAGGCCGTGGAAGCTCTGCTCCATGTAGGAGTTCCTGGGCGGGCCGGCGTGGAGCCGCAGCGTGTCCTCTGGGTGGACAAGCAGGACATTCAGGACATTCAGCTTCTAGGCACCACAGATCTGGAACAAACTTACAGAAAACTGAAAAACTGCTGAAACACTGCCTTCCTTTGAATCAAGGCTAAAACCCACCTGTTGAGAGCTGACTTTGATCAGTAATCAATGAAATATTGATCAACATATTCAATGTGTATTCATGTTTTTGGCAAATGTAATGTTAGTTAATGGTTTCTTAATTAGAGAAATTAGAGACTGTATAATATTTTTATGACTATTTATGTGTTTTTATGATGTAAAGCACTTTGAACTCTGTGATCAGAGTAAACGGAGTTGATGACAAATCACACCACACTTTTCAGATTTTTGGTTCTGGAAACGGATAGTTTTGCATGAGCTGCTCTCTGGTTGTCTCGTGGCAAAATGACTGTTTAAATCTTTTTCTGAGTCATGTGGAGCTGCTCGGTTTCAGTTTTGTGGAATCAGTGAAGCTTCTTTCTGACCTCGTCTGGAGTTCGGCTGTAGAAATGGGAGCTCTGTTCAGGCTGAGTAACGTCTGGCTGGCCTTTAAAAAGTCCTGCAGTTATCTCTGGACCGCCAGCTGGGGTCAAACAATGACGGGGTAAATCAGGCGGAGGTGACCCCGTGTCGCCATGGTGATGCCCGATGGATGGATATAAATACATCAGCTGCTGGCAGCTGAAGCTCGTCTGAGCCACGCGGCTCGTCTGAGCGACGCGGCTCGTCTGAGCGACGCGGCTCGTCTGAGCGACGCGGCTCGTCTGAGCCACGCGGCTCGTCTGAGCGACGCGGCGCGAGTGACGCGGCGGCTCGCGGCCGGGGGCTCGTCTGAGTGACGCGGCGGCTCGTCTGAGCGACGCGGCTCGTCTGAGCGACGCGGCTCGTCTGAAGCACTCAGACGTTTTCACTGACGGGTCAGGTAACTTCCTGTGTGAAGTTGGACCAACTTTCCTCCAGTTAAATGAAATTGGTGTCAAACGTTTTCAATGTGCCACTATCAACCCTTTTATAAAATCAAACAAATCAACTCTTGTGAAAATATTAATCTGCATCTTATCTGCACAAACATAAAATATAAATTACATCAATTTTGTTTGATTTTATGAATGTGACCTCTGGTGACCTCTGGAAACTTTTTAATCTTAATGTAGTGCAGTCGGATGAGTCCATTTTGTGAATGTGGGCTGGCTGGTTGACCTTTGATGACCTTTGGAGATATTTCGTCATGTGGCAGCGGCACAAAGGTGTGTCAGTGTCTCACCTTTCTGGATGGGCTGCTGCCGGTGGAACTCGAGCGGAGCGACGACGAAGCTGGTCTGGCCCAGCGGGTTCCAGCGGTGAAGCACTCGCAGCGTCCAGACGCCGGGCCGCAGCGGCGCCGTCAGCGGCGGCCGGTAGTGGGTCACCTCGGCCGACGCATCCACCAGGATGTCATAGGTGGCGGCGATGACGTTGGTGGGGTCGATCCAGACCACGGTGGCGGTCAGGTTGCTCTGGCTGCGGCTCCAGTGCTGAACCGCCACCGGCTCGTCTTCGGGCCCCAGCAGGCCACCCCAGTTCCTGAACAGCCGCTCCTTCGGGTCCCAGTCCGACCCGACCTGCAACAACACGACCCGGGTTAGGATCGCTTCGTTTTTACTGAACAGACGCTTTCTAAACCAGGGGTGTCTAAAGCGTGGGTTGGGGGCCATCGGTGGCCCTTGAAATGATTTTGTTTGGCCTGAAAGTCAAGAATGACAAAACAATTTGGCCAACAAAATACAAAACAGCCGATCACACAAAAAAATGCTAAACTGTCTGTTTCTTTCTTAATACAACACAGTTTGAAGCATTTTTATGTTTTGGATTTTTAATGATAAACAGATTTTATAAAAGTTTCATCATTGAGGAAATAAAACTTCACAATAAACTGAATTTTCCATTTTTTACTTGATGAATTTTGTGACCTTCCAGTAGAGAAAATTTGCCAGTTTTGGCCCTCAGGACAAAAAGTTTAGATCTAAACAGATCAATGTGATCAATAACGCAGGACTGTGAGTCCAGTCCTCAAAAACAGGAAGCTAAACCTGGAGACACAAACCTCAACGTCCTGATACTTACTCGAATTCTTAGATTTTTCTCAAATTTGAACTAAGAAAATGTTCATGGAGCATCTCAGGCCTTCAGAGCGTTCATATTGTCTCAGAGCGTCTGAAGTCCCAGCTGCCATAAAAAATTCAATAAAAATGCATTGAAACCACAGGAACTGTGTTTGGACTGAAAGATGGTGGAGAGACGGAAGGAAGGACAGATGTCTGTAAAAAGGACAGAGCTCTGCCAGCAGCAGGTTCTGCTCCGTCTAATTGGTTTGCACTTTAAATATTAACTAAAAGTTAAAATCATGTGTTTTGTGAGATGCTTATACAGTAATTTCACCTTTTGCAAGACCATACAAATGAAGCTTATTATAAAACTGACCTCAACTTTTTGAAAACTGCTGGAAAATCATTAATATTAGGTTGTAATAATCACAGAGTGCATTGCAACATCACAGCCAAGACTTAGACTAGGCCAGTTGATTTATCTCAGACTGAAGAAGTAAAAACAGATTCTGGGTTTAAAACATTTTCATGATAACATTTCAGCTTTTGGGGTTTTGGTGACATTTGGGCCATTAACCTCCCGTTACTAGGGGTCAACCGCACCAAGTAAAGGGGTCAACTCCGCACTGAGAAGGCGGCTCCGGCCTGACCTGGATGTGCTGCAGCCGGTTGCCGCTGTGGGGCTGGCTGGCCAGGGTGAAGTGGTCCGTGGGAGCCACCCAGGTCTCCAGCGTCTCCATCTGGGTGGAGGCTCGGTTTGTGGCCGCGTGGCGCACCAGGTAGCCCTGGAACTGGTCCGACAGGAAGTAGGCGTGCACCGACGTCGGGTGGCTCATGGCGGCGTACCTGAGAGGATAAATGTTTCTTCGTGTTTAATTACAGGGAAATTAGATGATAATAAAGAGAAATAATAAAACATGACAGCGAGAATAAAACCTCTGAAACATCTTCAAAACCAACAGGAACAGATCAGTTTCCCAGGGGCCACAATTATTTATTTATTTATTGTTAAATTCAAAATAATTTTAGTGTAAATTATTTTCTTTTTACCTGATTAGTAATAAATTAATGAGGATTTATTTTAAAAGACCAGAAAAAGTTTCAAAGTTCCACCGTTTCCAAACTTGTTGGTCAAAATATCCATTTAATTTTTTCCCGACAACAAAAACTGTTTGGAAACTCCTCACTGTATTTAACCCATTTTAATTATTTGGTGTGATTAAGTTTGTTTTTGAATAAAACGTCGCTGGAGGTTTTTGGCTGCTCACTATGACATTAGAATCAAAGCAAAACTAAAAAACTTGGCTCTTAAAACAGCTGGAGCTGCTGTTGCTGCAGCTGATACTGTTGCTGCAGCTTCTGCTGCAGCTGATACTGTTGCTGCAGCTGCTGCTGCCACTAATGAAGTCGACGCAGCGTTTCCAGCCGGCCGCTGCTGCTCCTGCAGCGCTGCCTCCACCCAGCCTAACCTCCAATCCCACCCAAACCAGCAACAACAGCCTCCTTGTCTGCGGGCGGTGGGTCTCCGCCCGCAGCGCCGCCAGAAGCCCTGAGTGGAGCGAGACTGAGGCCTGCTTGTGCTGCAGAACAAGCAGGCCTTATCTTTATATTTAATTTGGAGCGAATAAACTCGGCCTGCGGTGAGTTTAGTGGAAAGATGCGTCTCTCTGTTTCCCTGGAAACTGGAACAGCAGCTTCTCTGAAACCGCCGGTTCTGCCCAGAACCTGTGAATCTTTATGCCGACGAACAAAAATATGGGATTTTCCACAAGCTTTTCATTTCTACCAGCAACTTCATGATGAGGAAGGTGAAAAACAAACTGATTTATAGCAATTAAAGCAATTATTTCTTTAAATTTAGATGATTATGTCTCACAGCAACTGAAAAAAAACTCTAAAAAAAACCTTACGTCTGATTTGTTCATTGCTAAACAAACTGACTGTACCCAAAATATTACTGGAAAATTAAGTGGGAGGAAAACATTGGTTTGAAATTAAAGTAAATTCAGCAGCAATTTGCTATATATACAAAGTATGAAACAATTAATAATGATTAATCTCTTGTTAAAATAACAGTCAGTTCATTTAGTAATTGTTTAATTGTTAACTGGAGCAAACATTCATTTGCTGAAAAAGCCAACATGTTCAGAGCCGTAATTATAAATATATTTTAAAGCTTTAACTCTTTTAGCTTCATCTGAATCAAATTCAAGAAATTGCATAAAGCAATAAAATGTTTTTTTTGTATTTAAAAACGTAATTGATTTTTTTAAAACTTATTTTTATCTTTTAATGTATTTCTAATGCATAAAAAAGTTGAAGTGGTTAAATGAAGCAAAGTGTAAAATGGGTCTCTGTCTCTTTAAGAACTCCTGCTCTCTCTGAAGCTCCGCCTCCAGGAAGTCATCCCAACATGGCTGCTTTATTAACTCTTCAGTATTGTTTTCACCACTGAGAATCGGCTCCTATAATGCTCTCAGCAGATGCTTGCTAATTGCTACTGACTAGTCTGAAGGAGCTGAGTGGGGGAGGAGCTTCGCCTCGAAGGCGGAGCGGCATCTTACTGGTTGCCATGGAGATGAAAGGATTTCTTTTTGATGCAGGAATAAAAGATAAAATGATGAAAGCTGACAACGTGTTTTTAACATGATGCTGTCCTCTATAAGAGCCTGTTTGTCTGGACACATGAATGTTTGGATCTTGAGTCGTACCTGCAGCTGTGATCGCCGGGCTGCCCCTGCAGCGATGCGGCGGCGCGCGCCAGGCCCATGCGGGCGAAGGCGCGGTGGTGGCTGAGCGCCGCGTCCGACAGACCGGAGACGCCGTCCGTCTGCTGGTGGAAGATGTTCTCCCAGTAGGCCTGCAGGCCCGGCGTGCCGGACGAATACGCGCCGAACAGGAAGGCGTCCAGCTGGCTGATGACCTCCTGGCTGACGCTGGCCTCGAACTTCCGGGCGAAGAACGTCGGCCTGGAGGCCTGCTGCGGATCAATAACCAATAATCAATCACCCACATTAGAGTTTTATCTAGTTTGTGTCCTTACTCTATGTCTATGTGTGGTCGACAGCATGACTTCCAACCCCGACATTAGAATAAAACCTCAGCGGCTGCCTGGATCCAAAAATACCTCCAGAACCAGAACTCCTTATAGAACCCGTCCGCAGACCTCAGACCTGCCAACGCAAACGCTCCGGAACCGCCTCACAGCGGCGCTGCTAATTTGTGAATACGCGTCTATTCTGGGCTCCTCTGCAGGCTCGGTTTCATCCCAGAGAGAACCGCTCAGCCTCACCGGGTCGGAGCAGAACTTCAGCCTCACCGGGTCGGAGCAGAACTTCAGCCTCACCGGGTCGGAACAGAACTTCTGCCTCACCGGGTCGGAACAGAACTTCAGCCTCACCGGGTCGGAACAGAACTTCAGCCTCACCGGGTCGGAACAGAACTTCAGCCTCACCGGGTCGGAGCAGAACTTCTGCCTCACCGGGTCGGAGCAGAACTTCAGCCTCACCGGGTCGGAACAGAACTTCTGCCTCACCGGGTCGGAACAGAACTTCAGCCTCACCGGGTCGGAGCAGAACTTCAGCCTCACCGGGTCGGAACAGAACTTCAGCCTCACCGGGTCGGAACAGAACTTCAGCCTCACCGGGTCGGAACAGAACTTCAGCCTCACCGGGTCGGAGCAGAACTTCAGCCTCACCGGGTCGGAGCAGAACTTCTGCCTCACCGGGTCGGAACAGAACTTCTGCCTCACCGGGTCGGAACAGAACTTCAGCCTCACCGGGTCGGAGCAGAACTTCAGCCTCACCGGGTCGGAGCAGAACTTCAGCCTCACCGGGTCGGAACAGAACTTCTGCCTCACCGGGTCGGAACGGAACTTCAGCCTCACCGGGTCGGAACGGAACTTCAGCCTCACCGGGTCGGAGCAGAACTTCAGCCTCACCGGGTCGGAGCAGAACTTCAGCCTCATTTGGTCTTTTTATAGATTCTTTCTCCTCTTTTTCTGTTGAATCATTGAATGTTTGAGCAATTCTTTCCTCTGTGGAGCTGGAAGGATTTTACTCACTTTTTTGCCCTCAAACTGTTGTTTTGGTACGCAACCATAGCAACAAACGACTTGTATGGCATTTTAATTGTGTCACTGCTTGTAATTGTTGCTTAAACTTTGCTGCCTTTTGGCCTGGATTCCCTTGGAAACGAGGATTTTAATCTTAATGGGACTTTTCTGGTTGAATGACAGTCAAATAAAAACTAAATAAATAAAAACAAGGTTTTGTTTTTCCACCTGGCAGCTGATTAAAAGCTCAATAATATCTGAACTACCGTCAGTTTCCTCCATCATATCCTCAACTCCAGCATCTTTCTACCCAAACGTCCAGACAGAGGAGCGGCAAAAGCAAAGGAGGCGGATTAGCACAGCCAGTTACTGATGATGTTGTCCAGGACGTTCCTGTCAGAAACAGTCTTCAGTCAGAAGCCTTTTCAAATTCACTGGAAGACAGACTGCATCGTTTCAATTTATTCACATTTTCTTCCATTGCTTCTATTTAAGCTGAAAAAAAAATCTTCATTTTTCACTAGAATTTAAATGTTTTTAAATTAGTTTTAGAATAATTAAAATGTATTAATTCAAACATTTTTTATTTAAAAATGTGCCAATGAGGAAGTGGGCACATTCATAACCTTATAGATTTTATTTCTAATTAATTTGTTGAACATTTTAAACTTATGTTGGAGTAAAATAATAATTGTTTTTACTTATTTACAAATTTTATTGAACCATTTTAGTTGATTAAAGTTAGCTTTTCAAATTGTTTTTAAACTTTTATTTTTAGAGAAATTACAAGAATGTCCCATTTCTGTCAAAATGGGAAAGACCAGAGAACCTGATGTAGAAACCTGCAGGCAGGGCGGACTCACCTGCAGGCGAGGCGGACTCACCTGCAGGCGGGGCGGACTCACCTGCAGGCGGGGCGGACTCACCTGCAGGCGGGGCGGACTCACCTGCAGGCGGGGCGGACTCACCTGCAGGCGGGGCGGACTCACCTGCAGGCGGGGCGGACTCACCTGCAGGCGGGGCGGACTCACCTGCAGGCGGGGCGGACTCACCTTCAGGCGAGGCAGGTCTGAAGGCTTGAAGTCGTTCGGTGAGCAGCCGCACCAGTCCACTATGTGCTTGTACTGGCACTTGCAGCCCAGTTTGCGGTTCCAGTTGGTGAGCCTCAGGTTGTTGTCCACCATCGTGTCACAGAGGGCGCTGTTCTCCAGGACGGTGTGGAAAAACGACTGAAGAAAAACGTTTTACAAACAGAAAGAAGAGTTAGTTCCCTCCTTCACCAGATGAGGGCGCCAGTCTGCATGGTCAGTGGATTAACATCTGGTGAAGAAGGAGAAGCAAAACAAAACAAACTGTTTGGAATTAAGATCATATTTTATTTCCTTGAATATTTGACATGTTAATTTGCACTTTGCAAAACACATAATAAATTATAAATGCTTACTTTTACAACTGTATTTGAATTATAAACTAAACACATTTTTAGGATTACCAATAGAAAAACTGTATATTTTCTCTTCCTTCCGTATTTTTAAAATAATCTACAAATCCTGATTTTTAAATTTGAAACATTTTCTTTGTAACAAAAACTGAATGAATCCTGTGAACAAAAAGCAGTGAGGTGGTGCGTTTGTGTGTCGGTACCTCGGCCGGCAGCAGCGTGTAGCCGTAGAACCGCTTCATGTTTCTGACCAGGTCGTCCTGCGAGTTCACCACATAATCCACAAACGGCCGGCTGAGCAGGAACCAATCAGAGCCTCCGTCCACCGACACGCCCTCCGGGATCTTACGGTCTCCCAGGCGCCACATGTGGGTGTCGCACTCGTAGAAAACCCGGTCCAGGCCCTGTTTACGGATGAAACTGGGACAAAACTCCCAAATGTTAACCAGTTTTAACAGGGCTGGGCCTCTGCTGGAGCCCGGGATTCTTTGCTCTTTTTCTCAAATGAAATGTAAATCATTTCCATTTGCATCAACCCCCAGACTTGTGTTCTGAAAATTTATTTAGGGCCACACAAAATCAGTCTATGCGCCACAAATGGCCCCTGAACCGCCCTTTGGACACCCCTGGTTCAATGAACGTAAAACAAGATGGCTGCTGCGTTCCTACCGAGCGTTGTCTCTGCCGTGAGACTTGATGAAGTTCATGTTGCGATGTTTGGAGAGAAACGCCACCAGCTGGTCGTTGGTCCTGAGGACAAAATCACATTTACAAATTCATAAAAATGTAAAAACATCAGAGATTTCACACAGGAGCTGCAGGTTTTTATAAAAAGATCTCATGTTTAGTTTCCAGGTCTCTGCTCCACCAGAACCAGAACAGAACCGAGCCTCATATGGACTCTGGCACAATTTAGCAAAAAGCATTTCAATAAATAAATGATAATTAATTCAAGCACCAAACATTTCAACTGAAACATAAAAATAAGATTTTTCCCAACTTATTTGATTTTCCAGTGTAGCATAAATTAAAGTTATTGTTTGATCAGTTTTCTTTTTTTATCTCATTACTCTTCTCTAAATTTTTTATACTTTGTATTAATTTTATTTTAAAAAATTACTATTTATTTTTTCCATATTCTGTTTCTCTTTGTTGTTTATATTTATTTATCATCACCTCCATTGATGAATTTTACTGAAGTCCAGAATGTTTTGCTCCTTGGAGATTTTTTGTATCCATGTCCTGACTGATACTTTTCAACAACCTTTTCTCTGATTGGTTGGAGTCCTTCAGTCTTCATGCTGTGATGGAACGAACCGGTGAATGGACCTGAACTGAACCTATGAATGGACCTGAACTGAACCTATGAATGGACCTGAACTGAACCGGTGAATGGACCGGAGCCGAACCGGTGAATGGACCTGAACTGAACCGGTGAATGGACCTGAACTGAACAGGTGAATAGACCTGAACTGAACCAGCTGCCCAGGCAGCACCATCTGTCTGGACCTCTGTTGAATCAGGTCCATATTTACAGAATCACTTGTTTCATGTTACGTATTTTTATTTAATCGTCTTTATTTAGTAAAAAGAAGCTTTACATTTAAAATTAAAGGGCTTTTTAAATAATGTTTTGTTTAAAAAAAAGCCTAATTTTGTTGATTTGCAAAAGCATTAAAACTGATTGTTTCTTTGTCCCGACCAACATGGTGACTCTCAGGATGGATCCAGCAGCTGCTCTGAGCTCTGTGTCCTCATGGAACAGGAAGTGATGCAACTTCCTGTGGACGAAGCGCTTCCTGCTCTGAAACTACCAAAACAATCTTCCACTGAAGGGAAATGTTTGTTTCCTCATTTGTTCGCAGCTGAACTGATTTATTTCATTGTCTGCAGAGCGAAACGCAAAGAGGAAACGGAAAACTTGGACAGACCCTTCATAGGCGACAGCGCCACCTGCTGATCGTCTGGACTGCGTCCCACTGCAGGGATGGGACTCTGTTTAGAAAAAACAACTAGGCAATGATTTATTCTCTGATTGAAGGAAAAATAAAATGTACATTTTATTTCCTGTCATTTTGTCTGCATGTTTCTTCCAGCTGGATTCCTTTTTTAAAACTAAGATTAAAATTGTCTGAATATTCAGATTCAGAAAAAACGAGTTTGCTAAATGATCAACAGAGCAGAAATTAACCCAAAACTATAACATTTATATACATTTTGGATTTATGAATATGTCTAATGTTTGATACTTTCAACCCATTTTTCTTCATTTTTAAACCTGTTTAACCTCAATGTGTTTTTATTAATATGTTATTCAATGTTATTAATATGTCATTTTTAGTTTGTGTGTATAAACACTTTGAAAGTTTCTGTTTTAATAAAGTTGCTGTTTTAATAAAGTTGCTTTGCCTCGTCTTACCTTGAACTTGCAGTTTTAGCTTCAAATTCAGTGAAAAAATCTATCAAAACTTTTTTTCTGTCCAATAATTAATCAATTAATCCATAAAATAACCGATAGATCAGGTCTACACTGCTGATGTGCTTTAGCTGCAGATAAAAGTTTCACTAAAGAATTTTTTTGTTGCATTTTATGCAAGAAAATTTATTTTCTTATTTAATATAATTAAATTGTTTATTTTCATCTTTTGTTTTATTTCCAAATTTGTACAAAAAAGCTTAATAAGTTCAATAAATCTGCAGAAGTGCTAATATTTTTATCTGATTAGTCGTCAGAATAATTGATAATTAAAATAATCACAAGCTTCTGCAGCAGTTTAACAACGTGAAACATTTGGCCAGGTCTGCCTGACCTTGACCTGTGACCTCACGGCATCGACTGATGGTGGCGCCGAAGCTGCGGCTGCGTTATGGATTTTAGCCTGAAGCGCTCAGACTCTGCTGACGATCATCCTGCGTGATCTGATGGTTTCCCATCCTGATGAGGACGAACGAACCACAGCGCGGAAAACGAGGCAGGAAACGAGGCCCCTCCAAAATAAAAGAGTTAAATTCAAAAACAGCAGCTGCTTCCACCGAGCAGAAAACTGATCATCCTGCTTAGTGCACAATAAAAAAAAGTCTTAAGAATCCTTTCTGTAGATTTCTAGGATTTCTGAAGTGCTTCTTTTCATTTCTGGTGTTTTTCTATGCTGATAAAATCCAAATAAAAAGTTTGGAGTGTCAGAAAGGATCTGACTGGAACTGGAACCGCGTCGCTCAAAACCACAGAAGAAGAAGAACCCATAAATGTTGAGCATTTCTGAACGAGCGCCTCTGACCTGACGGGGTAGTCGGCGGCGCTCAGGTTGATGAAGAAGTCCCAGGGCCAGTCGGCCATTTTGAGGAGGTCTTCCATGCTGCGCAGGTACATGGTCAGGAGGCTGGCTCCGCCCCAAATGGTGGCCATCCTCCAGGGAGTCACTCTGACGTTGGGGAACCGGCCCGCCAGAGACAGAACCTCTTGGTGGAGGAAATCGGACCTCTGAGATAAACGGAAACCACCGAGACGGAGTTAAACTTTATCAAGACTGGAGTTAGTTTGGTTCTGTCGGACTCCCCGGTTCTGTCGGACCCACCTGGTCCACATGGATGTAGTAGAAATGTTCTGTGTGGTAAATGGCTTTGAAGAGCCGCTGGACCTGCCGCGCGGCGCGGCCGTGGACGACCAGGACGAAGGCGATGCGGACCGGCGGCGAGCCGGCGGCGCCGCCGTCCCACTGGACGTTTACGTTCGCCTTCCCTGGACAGGGAGGGGACGGGGTCAAAGGTCAGTCTGAATCACAGCTCACGTTTCTATACAATACACTATAATTACACTGAAAAAACAAAATGTAACTAGTTTCTAAGAGCTTATTACACTTTAAATAGGACAAAACCGCAGATAAATCATTTTGTTTCTAAGTCAACAGTTCTTGAATATTAGTCACCAAAGTTTATCAGGAAAAGGCATTTTTCACATCAGTGAAATAATCTAATCTAATCTAATCTATATCTTCCAGAAATGTTATCTGTTAGTTTTGTCTCATTTCAGGTGTTTTCAGATTTCTGCACTAGAAACTAAACAAACTTTGCTGGAAAGACAAAGTTTACTTTAGTTCATAATTCCTTGTAGTTTTTAAATAATTAGTTTTTCTTTCTTATTTTTAGGCTTCAAAGTAAAGATGAGCATAAAGATGATTCAGATTTACATCATTCCAACCTGCAGAAACATATCAAAGCTGCTTTTAGTCATTTGTTTTGTGAAAATGTTGCAGGAGAAAAATTTAAAAATATTTCAAAACTTGCATTTGTTATTACATCAAAATTTAAAAAGTTAAAAGGTTATTAAGAGACTTTTCCACTAAAAGTAGCAGTAAGTTGATCTTTTTGAACTTTAGATCTGTTTTTCTCAAGCTCTAATCTGTGCTTTATAAAATAAAAATAAAAATAATTGTTTTAAAAATTAAAAAGAACAAATTAATGTTTTTAAATTCAGATATAAATGGAAACTTCTAACCATTTTTGGGCATTTTTTCAGTATTTACACTGAATTTCCACAAAGTAATGATATGAGATTAAACTTTATGTTGTTTGTATGTTTATCTTTGTTTTAAATAAAAATAGGACACTGGTTAAATTAACTAAATTAACGTCCATATTGTCTCAAAAAGGGTTTTTATTCCACTTTTCTGTCCTGTTTCTGTCCTGAGAGATAAATTGGGTTAAAAGGTTGTAAACTTGTTGACTTTGGGGTAAAATGCAGATAAAACCATGGAAATGGGTGTAAATCCTTCCTGCAGCTCTGGAAAGCAGAAGTTCTGCCGGCGGGTTTCATGTTTTAACGTTGCTCGGGGAAACGGGCCGGGTCGAGCTTTGCAGAACAATCGAGCGACCTGCTGGCTGCAGGCCAGGCTGGCTCAGCTGCAATCAGCCCAACGCCCTCAACGTGGCCCGAAAGCCTAAAATCAGAACCAGCGCCTGCAGCCTCGGACCTAATGACTACTGTGTCATCAAAGGAAGCTGTAATCATATAAATGAAGCGTGGGGCGGCGCTTGCACCGAGCCATTAGTCAGCCTTTGCAGAGTAAGACTACAAACGGGTTGTTTAATTAGGGTGTAATTACCCAGCATCCTCTCTGCGTCTCTTCGTACTACAGATCCTGAAAATAGATCTGCCAACCACAGAGATGGCTCTGCTGCTTCTGCTAAAAATGTTCCTCAAACGGTAAATTTAGAGAGCAGAACGAGGCTTAAAGCCCAGAGAGCCGCGACTGCTGCCAGACGGACTCACTGCAGCTGCAACCGTTAACGGGTTTCATCCCAATAATCCTCAAATAATTCAGCAACATGTTCTCTACTTTAGTACACCGCATGAAAAAGCCATTTTCTTTCCTGAAAGAACAACAAACTCAGAAAAAACACTGCAAATGTTTCTCCAAAACTTCTTCACCGGGTCAAAGTTCACTAAATGGAGGCTCTTTTATTGCACATAAGGAAAATAAATTGTTTATTTTCTTAATCAAAAATAAATTTACGTTTTTGTTCATATGCATCTTGCATTTCTAATATTACATAAAATGCTAAAGTCGATTGAACAATATGGTAATTTGTCAGAATAATCATCAGATTAATTGATTACTAAAATACCAGATGCAGTGCCGGCCCAAGGCAGATGCATGTTGGGCGTAAGGCCCCCGCACCACCAGGGGGCCACCAAGAGCAAAGATTTCAAATTTTCAAGTTTTGTCTAGAAAATGTTCAACTTTGCAAATTTTGAATCCATTTCAATTTGTTGCAGCCGTTTTAGGGTCGTTGTCACTGTAGACGTTAAAAATGTTCACATTTCGGCCAAAATATGTCAGAAATTTTCCAGAACAAAATTGAAAATTTCTGAGTAGAAAAGTCAAAAATTTCAAGTTTTAAAACTTCGACAATTTTTATAATTGAATATTTTCCAGTAAATTTTTGACTGTTGAGACTCAAAAATCTGAAATCTTTTTTTCTAAAAGACTTTTTCCAGTGAATGTTGGACTTTTCAAACTGAATCGGGCCGGATGGTTCTGACTTTGGGCCGGATGGTTCTGACTTTGGGCCGGATGGTTCTGACCTTGGGCCGGATGGTTCTGACTTTGGGCCGGATGGTTCTGACCTTGGATAGGACAGTAGCGCGGGATTTTCTCCGGCATCAGCGCCCGCTCTTTGTGCTTGCAGTAGACCTCCACGATGCGCTGCCGGCACTCGCGGCTCTTGGCTCTGGACAGAGCGGAAATGGCCTCCTTCCCGCTGATCTCGCACTGCGGCTGCTCCCCGTTGGGCTCCGGACCCGGCGGCTGCCGCGGCGACCCGGGCCGCTTCGTCTGGAAGAAGGGGGCGTCCTGATTGGAGCCCTGAGCCGCCGCCGGGACGGTCAGGATGTGGGTCTGGTTGGGAGCTTTAGAGAGGACCGGCGCATGCTTTAGGACTTCATTTCCCAGCATGCCTTGGTTGTTTTCCAGCTTTCGCTTGCTGTTTGCAGCGGGGAGATGCTGACGCTGCGACGCTGCCAGGTTGCTGTTGCTGTCGTCAAAGTCTTTGGGCACCGAGTTCTCGCTGTTGTTGCTGTCGGGACGGAGCTGCGGACGGCGGGGACGGCGGACGTCCTGCGGGCGGAAGGACAAAACAAACTGATCATCCACAGCGACGCATAATGTATGCATCACAATACAGAACAAAGAAGCAGTTAGGACAAAACATTTTCTAGGAAAATTAAGTTTCTGAGTTTGAAAAGTAGAAAATCTGCTTGCAATGATCTCAGAAATGTGAATTTTAACCTCAGACATTTTCTAAATAAAACTTTGAGTTTGAAAAGTTTAAAATGTGCGAAACATGTCAGAATTTTTTCAGAAGAAACTTTCAAAAGTAAAAACATTGAAAATTTTGGAAATTTTCTGAGTTTCAGAAGTAGAAAATTTTCAACTTTTGAAAGTCAAAAATTCTTAGTTTTTTTCTTTTTTTAAATCATTTTTTCAAAATACAATTTCTGATATTTTTAAGTGCGACTCTTCAGTGACCTTCAGTTGTACTAAATTTCTCACTAAGCAGGAACTTAAAAGTTCACAGATATTATTCAGGATTAAAAGTCATCAGAGAAACAGAATGACTGGTTCAGATCTTTTCTTGTTCAGTCTCATTAAAACAGCAGAAATAGTTTAACTTTGGCTTTAAATTGTTTCTGGTTCCCATGTGGTTTGAAAAGTCTGAGAGCATTCAAAGTGTTTGTGCTCCTGCAGCTCAGCATCGTGACCTCGATGGGATTCCTAATCCCACAAATCGCCCCATTTCTGTCTTTCCCAGAGATAAACGATGCGTTCGAGTGTGTGTGGGAGAAAGCAGCGGTATCAGCTCCAACCACCTGCTCCACAGACAATCTCTCATTATCTCATCTCTAATATCAGCTTAGAGGAATGCATGAGTGCAGAGGAGCGGTGAATATTCCCGGCTCTCCAGGCAGCGCTGTGATTAAAACAGGAAGAGATAAAAACAAATTAAACTCTGAGGATTTATTCTTCTCCCCCTGAAACAAGCAGAAACAGCAGCAGCTGACATGCTGGACATGTTTTAATTACTCAGGATGTCCAACCAGTGGTGACCCAAAATGTTTTACACATTACAATCCAGAATCAAAAACAAAAATATGTTTTTGATTGCGAACTAAAAGGTCTTGACAGAAAAGGTATTTCTCCTCCCTTCACAGAAAGAAAAACGGTGCGTTTTTTCCCAGAATGCCATTCAGTCCTGGGAGACGGTCTGCAGCTAAAATACCAGCGTTTACCTACAAACACATCCGTCTTTCTTCCCACCAGAGTGTGTGGCGTCCTGCTGGACGGCGTCCTGCTGGGCGTCCTGCAGGACGGCAGCAGGACGCCGTCCAGCAGGAACAAAATCACAAAACGGAGAAGAAACGAGTTTGGAGGCAGGAAGGGCAACAAGACGAGAGACGGAGGCAAAGAGTCAACCTGTTGGATCAGGACATAAATGTTATAAATGTTAAAGCAAATATTAAATAAAAATACCTGAAATGTTTGTATTTATGCCAATGAGGAGTTCAGGAACTTCGGTGCATTTCATTGTTTCTCTGGGTGTAAATATGATGCGACAGAAACATTTCGTCTCTTGGCTGAATTTAGGACGAATATAAATAAATTCATCTTTGAACGAAGGTAAAAATGTTCAAAGTGAACTGATAATCTGAACAGGTTGATGCTCAGATCTGATTTAGTTTATCAGATTCTTTAATGGTTTATTGCAGACAGAACCAAAGTATTCTAGACAGGACAAAGAAGTAAATTTAAACTGAAAAACAAAGAACTTTTTAGATTCATCTCAGAAAATCTAGAAAAAAAAACTTGAAGATTTTTGACTTTTGAAACTCAGAAATTTCCAACTTTTTTCTAGAAAATTTCTGAAATTATCTCAAAAGTTCAAAAAAAATTCTAGCAAATATTTGACTAATTGATTGTGTAGAAGATGAGGCAATAAATAAAATGTATGTTTTAAAAAACTAAAACAATGACTTCATCAGGAGACACCACAGTGATGGATTCTTCCTGGGAACTGAGTTGACACAATGCATTCTGGGATTCAGAGTTTTTACGAGTCCTTTAATCTGACTGAGGCAGAAACCCGGAGGAGCTGCAGGTGAAACAGAAGATGCTTGTGACGTTTTGGCGGCGGTTGATCTGTCACAGATTAAACTCAGACGAGGCGTCGCCTCCAGCTGCACTTATGAGTTCAGAGAAGTTGAAACCGTCATAATGAACTCTTTCATTCACGCTGCCGCTCTGTAAGGCAGCGATTCATCAGAAAAGCTCCGGGAACGACGTGTTTCCACTCCGGGACCCTGAAGGTAACGAAAACAGAACGGCTCAAACTGCGACCTGCAGCTGGAGACCCAAACTGGTTCAGATGAGATTCACCGTGTTTTATGTCCAACTCAGAGCTGCACTCCTTCTCTAAAAGGATAAATCCACATTTTCACCAAACATTCAGACTATATTCCTCTGGTTTTAGATTTTGGCTCAGTAATGATGTCTGAGTTCATCTGCAGAAACACATGAAGGCCTGGAAATGATGAACATCTTAAAAAATAAAGCGTTAAGTCTAAACAAAAACACTTCCAACAGGAAGCCGTTAAAACAACCAAACCAAGTCGAGAATCTAGGAAATAAATGAAAAACAAATTCAAAGCAACAAAACACAAAACATGGAACTTTAATGAAAACATTAAATTTCAATTATTATTATAAATAGCAATTATTTTTCAGCATCAGTTTCTAAACCCATTCAGTGGGTTTTTAATACCGAGTATTTAAGGATTAATGATCTCAACTTCACCAGGAAGCAGAAATCCCATCAGTCAAACCGGATCGGAAGTAATTCTTTAATCTGATCGGACCCGGCCGTCAGAACAGAATCTGCGTCTGGTTCTGACTTCACCAACAAACTGGTTTCACTTTAAAGCTACTTTAGGAAACCAAACTCAGCTTCCTGTTTTAGCCACCGAGAAGAAACAAACTGTGGTAATGGCCTAGTCAAAGTCCAGATGTGAAGCTGGTTGTGTCATAAACACTGATGGTTAATCTCAAAACAAATAAATGTTTGAACTGTTTATTCATCAGATTCTTTGATAAAAAGATCATGCAAACAAAACTGGATCTAAAGAAACATTTCTGCCTGTTTCAGGTTTTCTAGGAGTTTATTCCAGAGGAGCAGAGAAACTGAACGCTGCCTCACTTTGCTACATACGGAGTGATAAACGTGTCTGAAAACCTGAAGCGTTTTCATCACAGCTGATCAGAAAAGACCAACAGCAGAAATAGTGAATATCAATAAATCATATTCCAGACAGAAACCTGAATAAAACATTAATAAACTTCAGAGGCTCATTTTCTACAGCGAGTCTCTGGAACAGGAAGGCGACACCATATATGGACGATCGCGTTGTCGCTCTTTATGTCTGCAGACTGTTAACAAACTTTTCTTAACAAAATTTAAATATTTTTAAACAGAAATACGTCAAATGTTTGTGGGAAAAGGAACCGGATCACCGAGGCAACCACAGGTGTTGTTTGTGAGCATAAAGTGTATCAAATATGAACAAGATGCTACATTTACAATCTAAATGATTCAGATTTAACCAAACCCTCACTAATATTCAGTTTAACATGACAAGGTGATTCTACCTGTTAGCAATGATTTGCATAAATAATATGCAGGAGAAAATGATTTTAACATCTGGGAATAAAAATATTTTGAAATAAAAGCTGTAAGTGAGTTGCACCAGTTGCTTCCTGTCCTGTAAACATTTGAAAGAAAAGAAGTTCAGAAAAGCTCCATAAATCATTTCCAGCTCGTTCAGATGGAAATGATTCTGACGTTGCGTTGATGATGAAACTAAAGCAGAATCAGAGGAAAAGCTGCCGGTTCGAGTCTGGACCCGCCGCCGGGTCTGCTGGGGGATTCCAGCTCTTCTTCAGCTGCTCACTGGAGATCAGATGCTCCTTCCTGAGCACAGACACACCCACGGTCCCTGAACGCCTCGCCAGAATAATCCCATCGCTTCGCTTTTCACTTTAATATACAGATTATAAATTTACTCTGAAAACAGAAAGTTTTTAGCATTTAATTCAAATTTTAGATGACAAAATTTGAATTAAATGCAAACGTTCATCATTTTTAAAAATCAATTTTCTAATTCAGTGTTTATAAATAATAATATTGCATCATTTTCCAAACAACCCTAAAAACTCCTGTTTTTTATTTTTACCACATTTAAACACAGAAGATTCAAAACGGTAAGAAACAAAAATAAATCTGCAAATTCAGGAAAACTTATTTACAACATAGAAAATTAGTATAGATTTTTAAATAAATGAAGAATCTGAATATGTTTGATTATTTAGTTTGATGTCTGAAGCCTCTTTTCCAAAAACGTCGAATCATTTGATAAAAAGAACAAATCCGATCAAATAATTAGTGATTCTAATTATAATCAATCAAAAACATCAAACAAAGGCTCCCTGGTTTAAAAACATATTTCAATGATTTGTTAAACTATTTTAAAACAAATCAAAACATTTCAGTTTAATTCCTTCAATCTAAAGAAACTCAGAATAAAAACTGTTCAACCTGCTACTGTTACAAAACCTAAATCTGTCCAGCATGGAGGTGGCAGCATGATGCTGAGGGGAGGAGATTTCCCCCAAATCCTTCAGTTTGACCCAAACCGTCCAGTTAAAGCTGAGCCGCTGCAGAACCTGCAGCGTCTGAAGGAACCGGGCTCAAAGTGAAGCTCAAAGTGAAGATCACAGGGTGAGTAATGAAAGGACAGCAAAGTGGATCCTGCAATAAAGAATCCACCGTGTTTTTCCTCCTGCAGTGGATTCATATTCTGACAACAAAGAAACACCTGGATGTGAATCCGGGCTGCAGCACAAAGAGCAGCAGAACCTCTGGAAATGTTCCGGTTAAAACAAGCAGCTGTTTAAAACAAAGACCCGGAATATTGAACAGAACCAGAGAGGCGGTGCAGCCCGGCCTCAGATGAACAACAGCGGCTTTAAACACGCGTGGAAATCATGAGTGAAACCCACCGGCTGCAGCTTGAGTCGAGCGGCCGTCTTCCCGTGCAGCGCGGCGGCTTCCCGCGGCGGCTCGTCGCTCCGCTCCGGGCCCCTCCACCGGCGCTCCGCGGCGGCTCTGCTGAGCCCCCCGCTCCGCTCGTCCCGCCTCTCCCGGCTCCTGGCGCCCGCGTCCCCGCCGGCGGAGTCCAGGCTGCTGAAGTTCCACACCACCAGCGTCTGGACGAGCAGCAGCGCCGCGGCGGACAGCAGCAGCGCGGAGCGGCAGCGGCGCGCCAGCCGCCGGGCGCACGGGGTGCCGAACATCTCCCTCCGGTTCACCGAGAGCCCCGTCCGCTAAACGCAGACAGCGGGGTGTGAATGCTCCCCTCCGCGGCCTGAGAGGGGCTGCAGGCGGGCAGATAGGAGGAGGAGGAGGAGGAGGAGGAGGAGGAGGAGGAGGAGGAGGAGGAGGAGGAGGAGGAGGAGGAGGAGGAGGAGGAGGAGGAGGAGGAGGAGGAGGATTTGGCACATGATCGGGATGAGGAAAGAGGACTGGAGGAGGAGACGAGGCCCCCCTGTGGTCATCCAGGGGTCAACAGCGTTTATTCCTGAACTGAATGACGTCCTGGGGGCAGAAACGTTCCTGATTACCCCCCTACCCATCACTTACCCCCCTCCTGCCTCACTACGCATTAATCCAGCATCCAATCAGAGCCCAGCAGCTGGAAGCGTCACGTTATTTTCTCCAAAACCAGGTTATTATCAGAGGGTGAAAAACCCAAAAACTGGACTCAGGTGGGAGCCGCCAGGGCCGGTCTAAGCTGTTATGGGGCCCTGAGCTGATTTTTATTGGGCCCCTAAACCCACAGATCAATTTGCTTTAAGCTACTCTGTGTTATCATTAGCATCATTTGTATTTAGTTTACATTATAATTTTTCACATTCTATTTTGTTTTCTAAATTTTATGGATGACTTTTTGTCTCAAAATAAAATATTTTCTATATCAGTGTTATTATGTTGATTTCAATCCTGCAGCAGAAATAAACTAAAAATGCAGAAAGTTACATTATTTTAACTATTTGAACATAACATCTGTTAATAAACACTAAATTTACACTAAACCAGGTTGATAAAACTAACTGAAACTATAACGATCATTTAGAAAACCAACTGCTGGAATTATGGATCTTTTGTTGTGATTATGAATCTATATTTTAGCGTTTCAAACTGATGTTTGCTGCTCCTCTTATGTTCAAACTTCACAGGAACATAAAGCTGCTTTAGCACTTTTCTGTTCCCAAACAGAAGCTCCGTGGTTTCCATCGCAGTTTTCAGTTTGGTGACAGTCGGCATGTTGGCTCTAATGAAGAGGTCGCGGGGTCAAGGCCCATCGACCCCGTTAGAATGATTCTAATTATAGTCATTCAAACAGCGACAGTAAAAGGTTTTCTGGGAGTTTGAAAAGTCATAATGAAAGACCAGAAAGGTTGATCTGTTGCAGCTGTTCTTCTTCTGTGGTTTAATAAGCACACAAATACAAACTGGCTGAAATTGAACATAAAACTATTGTGGATTTTCTCTCATCTGGACTGAATCAGCATTTTATATAATGAAACTCAGTTATTGACAGTGTGGGGGAGTTACTGTGGGGTTAAAGGTCAGGGCAGTTTGTGGGATAATCAACAGGAACAACATGCAGCTTTTAAAGAGGCAGCATCATGTAAAACTGGAGACTTTAGCTTTACATCCTGTTATAATGCAACATCATAACAGGTTTGTTTTTAAACCTGCAGTTTCGCTTTTTGACTGTATATGTATCATTTTTACTTTCTGAATTAAGCGACATAAACTTATTGAACTTCTTCACAATATTCATATTTTTAGGCGTATCGGTGGAAACATGCATGTCTTTGGGCGTCTCCGTCTCATGATCCTCTTTTCTGAGCGAATCGTTGGGATTATTCACCAGAAATGAAACTTAAACCTGGAATCTGGCCGGGTTGGAAATGTTTTACTGGCAGTAAACTCTTTAGTTCCTGCACATCAGAAACATTCAAACTCACTCAACTGTTTTTAACAAGCAGGAAAGTCCTGAAAAGTCCCGCTCCGACATTTTTATCTGGCAGAAATGAAACTTACATCCGTCCGACCACACCTAAACAAAAGTGAAACAAAGAAAGCGTCTATTGGAGTTTCCTCCTTAAGGTTATAAAAGAAGCAGGACGAGGTTTTAGCTGCACACTGAGACGGACACAAACAGCGGTAAGTCAAAGGCCACAAACTTTAATATTTCTCTAAAAGTTTTACTTTAAACAAGAAATATGATCAGAAAACGTTCAAAACTAAACTTCCTGAGAGATAAGATCGGTTTGACGTTTAAAGGACAGATCGACAAAACTTTTTTCTGAGTTAAAGAGAAACAAAAGCAGCAGAAATCTGAGATCTATTTTATTATCATTTTAGCAAAATTAGATAAAACTGAAAGATAAAATGGTGTTTTAAAGCAAAGTTGTTGTCTTCACAGTAACTGATTGACTTCCTGTTGTATTTCCTGCAAACATGAGGCCAGATTTGTTTTCACTTTGAAATTCAAAATTAAGTTAACAGACACATTTAGAAAGTTATGGGCAAAACCAAAAATAAAAAAAACCTGAAAAAATTGCTTTGAAAAAACAAAATCCTTAATATCAACTTAAAGTGGATGACGTTTTCAGAACAGGGTAAAAATTATTGCTAGTTACTAAAGATGGGCTGCATATTCACTTCACCTTTAAATGCAACATAATTTACAGATTTTAAAAATATTAGAACAACAAAGCTTTTGTAGAAACAGGAGGTCTCACTCTAACAAACTTTAAGTGTTGGTGTCTTTGTAGTTTTGGTTAAAACATGTTTCTTATTCATTCAGTGAAGTTCCAGAAATATTACAAAATATAAAACTTAGTTTGCAGAACAACCACATTTAAAGTTCCTGAAGTAACTGAGTAGTAACTTGTTTCTGCATGTCAGAAAAATAAATTATGTTCTTGTGGAAATAATCAGCAGCCTGCGGGTTCCCGTTTGTTCCAGCAGGGGGCGGAGTTGTAGCATTTGTAGCATTTAAGATTATTAATTGAAACTTTTTTAACTTTTTGTTTTTCAGGAGCAACATTGTCATAAAATGAGGCAAAATCTTCAACTGTCATAGAGTTTAAGAAAAGCTATAAAACATAAAAACTATTCAGATATAATTTTTAATAAAATACATAAATTCATTTAAATCTCCTTTTCTGCAGGGATTCTGACACCATGATGAGAAGAGTAGAATGGGCTGAAGAAGACTTTGCTCTTCCTGTTGGAGTGATTCGGTTGGACACCCCGCAGCCGACTGATGGCAAAACCTACGTCATGTATCACGGCACCACCAGGGCGAGCGCCCAGAAAATCCTCGCCAACGGTTTCAAACAATCCAGTGACGGGATGCTGGGTCCTGGGGTCTACCTGAGCAGAGACCTGCAGAAAGCCAGTCGCTATCCTATTGGTCATCCTGATGAAGACAAGGTGGTCATCAAGGTGAAGGTCAACGTGGGGAGAGTAAAACGCATCAATCGTCAGAAGCACCCAATGCAGAAGACCTGGCATGACCATGGGTACGACACCGCCTGGGTGCCGCCCAACTGTGGGATGGTGCAGAGCGGCCTGGAGGAAAACTGCGTCTGGGATCCCCGTCGAATCTCCATCATGGGGGTCATCAACCCCACTGTAGTCCCAGCCCCGTACCAACATGGCTACATGTAAAAACAAGATATGATTGATTCAGTCAAATATATTTTTATACATTTGGAAAATGAAAACCCTTTTGTATCATTTTGACTTTGAAAAAAAATAAAAGTCTTTAAAAAAAGTCTTAAATATTACTGAAAATGATGTGGTTGGTTAGAATAGTGTGAAACTGAATGACATAAAATATGTAATTATGATTCAGTCCGCTCAGATTGTTCCTCATTATTCCAGTTTATTGTGGGATTGAGACTGAAAAGAAAATGTATTAAATTCATAGTTTTTGGTCTCCAGACGGGCAGGAAGTGGCCCCCAGTGTTATTTAATCAAATCATGTTGAGAACCAAAACTGGACCATGTGGCTCAGTTTGAAGTGATTTCCTTTAAACCCCAGTAAACACCCTGCACTGGGTTTCCACCTGTATTAACCAGTAAGAGATTTAAGTGGTTCTGACCCACTTATCGCCCTGAAGGAAACACCGAGTCGAAAAACTTGGTTACATATTACTGCCACCTGGTGGAAGCAGACACACACTGCAGTCAGTTGACTGACCCGCCATGCTTATCTTACATCGCAGTCATAATTCACGCAAAGCCTCATGGGAGTTGGGAATAATGTGGATAAACTGTAGTTAGCAACATGCTGTGTTGATTACATTTTACAGAGCCGTAACACTGCAGCTAATTTTCACTGTTTGCTGACTGAATGTTAGTTAATATGATGATAACTAGTGGTACCACTGAAGCTAACCTTAGCATTCTAGCTAATTTTCACTTATGCATTGATGTTTTTACACTCAATGAAGTATATTGCTGGAGCATTTTAGCTCCTTAATGCACTGAGTCAGTGTTAATCAACCTGCTACAGGCAGTTCACATGCCAATGACATCATTCTTTAACTCATTTTAGGCTGCTTAGGCATGTTTCCCCTTCCGTTCCACACACTTAAATGACCTAATTGGTCTTTAGCCTCAGCTTTCCAGTCATTGGAATCAGCAGAGGGTCACGTCTAAAACCTGGATTTGACCTCCGGGTCAAAATCATTAGGTCCAACACACAACACCTACTCTACAACAGAACTGCTGAAAAAAAACCAGAATCAATTAGTTGTAATGGCCTAGTGAAAGTCCAGCTGAACGAAAAGCTGTTTTTGGAGACTGGGAGAACTAAAACTCACAGCATCAATGGAACAAGAACCTTCTCAGAAACATGCTAACATGCTTTAGCTGCTCAATCTGTTTCCTTTACAAATCACCAAATTACATCATATTTGATTCAAATTATTTTTATTTCAGGAGACTGGCATAAAAAATTGGATCCATTTTAAGGGGAAACATAAAAAAAATATTTTTAAAAAATCACAATCCAAATTAAGTCCAAGAAAGAGAAATAAAATTTTTTAGGTCTTAATATCTTGATATTTCATCTAAATTTTGCTCATTTCACAGGATTCCAGTCCAGGAGGAGTTTGTGGCCCGGTTTGATCCGACTGGAAGAGGCTTCCTGAACCGATTTAAACCAAATCGTATTGATGGAGAGAAGCAGAAGCTCCAGATATGATGAATCAGAACCGGGCCGCCTTATAAAGGAAAGCTCGCTCGTGTCTGTAGGATCAGATCCGTTTTATGAAAGTCTTTCACATCTTTGGATTTTCCCCCCATGTCGTCTCATTTTAAACCACTAGAGGGCGACACCAAGTCTTTTCCTGGTTTTAAAAGAAACAAATTAAAGTCATTCACAAATAAAAATAAGTACGTTTGTTCTTATGTTGTCACAGTTATTAATCTACAGTCAGAAATGCACAAACACCAATTATTCCTAAAAATTACTAAACTTCACTGGATTGAAAGTTCTGGCTCAATCTTCCAGCTTTTTCCGGGATTTCTCCGAAGTGTGGATCTTCATCATGTGGAGCCGGACGTAGGTCTTCCGGTTGAAGGTCTTCCCGCACACCTGGCAGCGGTGGCGTTTCTCCCCGGTGTGCGTGTTGCGGTGCTGCGTCAGGAAGCTGCGGTCGCTGAAGCCGCGGCCGCACACTGTGCAGACGTGTGGTTTCTCCCCGGAGTGGCCCCGGGCGTGCCGCAGCATGTTCTGTCGGAAGTTGAAGGACTTCCCGCAGTAGCTGCAGCTGAACGGCTTCTCCCCTGTGTGGACCCTCAGGTGCACCTTCAGGTGGCCCTGCGAGTCGTAGCACTTCCCACAGACGTCACACACCCGCTTGCTGAGATGGGTCTTCAGGTGGAGCTTCAGGTTCTCCTCTGAGTCCAACTGGTTCCCGCAGACGCCGCAGAGCTCAGTGTGGGTCTTAGCGTGATTCACCAGAGACACAATGGAGCGGAAGGTCGCTCCGCACGCCTTGCACGCCACCTGCGGCCGTCTTGGTGGCGGAGACGAGTCAGTCTCTTCGCTCTGCGTCGCAGTCGGGCTTCCTGGGTTGCAGTCTTTGATGTGAATCAGCAGGTGGCGCTTGTGGGTGGTGTAGTCGTTGAAGCTTTTGCTGCAGAAGTTGCAGGTGTAGGGTTTCTCACCGGTGTGGATCCGGCTGTGGCGCACCAGGTGAGGCCGGGTGGTGAAGGATTTCCCGCACTCGGCGCAGGGGAACGGCTTCTCCCCTGTGTGGATCCTCATGTGGATCTCCAGGTGGCCCTGCGAGTCGAAACACTTCCCACACACCACGCACTCCTTTCCGTTCTTGTGGGAGTCCAGGTGATCCGCCAAGCTCTCTGGCGAGTCAAAGTGATTCCCGCACACGCAGCAGAGCTTCGTCTCGTGCCGCTTGCTGTGATTCAGCAGGGAGAGCACAGAGTGAAACGTCAAGCCGCAGACCTTACATGCCGTCCGTGCTTTCCTTGCCGGAGGACTCTTCCTGCCACCGTTTTCCGGCGAAGACTCACCGAGGCTGCTGTTCTTCACTGAGTGGACGAACAGGTGGCGCTTCAGGGTTGTGTAGTCATTGAAGCTGCGGCCGCACACTGTGCAGGTGTATGGTTTCTCCCCAGTGTGGATCCGGCTGTGGCGCAGCATGTTGGCCCGCGTGGTGAAGCGCTTCCCGCACTCGCTGCAGACGAACGGTTTCTCTCCCGTGTGGATCCTCATGTGGACCTCCAAGCCACTGGAACTCGAGAAGCACTTCCCACAGACTTTGCAGCTCTCCGCCTTCACGTGCGTCTTCAGATGGGCATTGAAGCACTCCTCGCTGTCGAAGCGCTCGCCGCACACGCCGCAGACATCCTTGGAATGCGCCTCCATGTGGTTGACCAGCGATACAGCGAGCAGGAAGGCTCGGCCGCAGACTTTGCAGCAGATCTGAGTCTTGTTCTTTTTTGTTGGGTTGAGTTTCGGAGCCACTGGGAGACGAGGAAGCTTAATCTTCAGCACTGCTACCTTTTTCTTCTTCTTCTTCTTCCTGCTACATTTGCCTTTGGATTGGGAGTTGGCCCTCCATTCTTCCTCGCTGTCAGCATCAGAGCAGCTCGTCGAGCCGCCATCGGCAGCGTCCGGCTGCGTCGACGTGCTCGGAAGAGGATCCTCCTCTTCCTCTTTAACCGTCGCCTCGCTGAACTCTGTTGAACTGCAGACGTTTCTGACAAATGGAGGCATGAAGTTGACCTTGATGATGCTGCTGTCCTCCAGCTCCTGACTCCGCCCACCGGGGCTGGAGGGACGGCGGTCTGTGTCCAGGCTCCATTCCAGCTGGTTGGGTTCTTCTTTCTGCTGATGGTCAGCGGTGAAGTCTTCGTCCCAGACGCACAGCGTCAACTGGGGTTCCTCTGCAGGGAAATACATAAAACCACATTTAACAATAAAAGTTGTTCCTTAGACTGTCACAATAATGAACTGAGCTGGACGATACATTCCCAAAAGTTATTGCAATAAAAGATAATATTGTTGTTTTGAGACCTTTTTCAAGTAATATAATGGAAATGAATTGACTAATAAACTTTGAGACATTTCAAAATAAAACAAATAAAATGACTAAAGTTATAGAGGAGTTTTAATCAGCTGCACCGTGACTGAAAACAGAATGTTATGATAAATTAGTTTTTAAAAATGTATTAGATCAAATAACGGTTCATTTTTAATGGTGACACATAAAAGTAATAAAAACGGGTAATAAGTTATTATTTTAATGAACTTCAGCGTCAAATTTAGGGAAAATATTAACATCACTTTAGCAGAAATGAACAAGAAAAGAACCTGGACAAAAATATGATTGAATTTTCCAAATTTTGTCAAATAAAAATCAATAACGGGCCTCCAGCAGCTCGGGCTCCAGGAATTAGACGGAGCCGCAGCCCCATCCGGAGGCCCGTGTTTACAGCCCGCCGAGAGCTCGCGCACCTGCGTGTCCGCCCGGACTGGCTGGAGGCTCGGCCACCACCTGCAGCATCCTCCGCTGCCGGTGGAGCTCCTGCTTGGACAGCAGCAGCTCCTCCTCGTAGTCTGAAATGGTTTTCTTCACCGCCTCGAAGATTTCATCTGCGGCCGCGGAGAGCCGCTCGTTCACCAGCAGCCGGAGCAGCTGGATGCTGGACATCATGCGGGCGGAGACACTTTAATACGGGACAAACTGCAGCTTTGGAAGGATTTTCTTGGCATTAAAACCTAAACACGACATTAAACTACAGACGAGGGTATTGCTCTTCCGAACCCTTAAGGCCTGTGCTGCCACCTGGCGTTCCGGAGAGGGAACTGCAGGAACTTTATCCAAGGTTTGAGGAGACAAAAATGATCATTTTTAATCTTGGCACAGCACAAACAAGTGAATGAAAAAATAAAAATGGGATAAAAAATATAGTGAAACGTTTGTTTAAGTGACCCATACATTCTAATCTAAAAGAGCAACACCTTAGTTTCTACATCATTGCTATAAACTACAAACCGCTGTAGTTCTGCAGTGTTATGAGGCCCCCAAGCAAGAGCTAGGTTTGTGTCCAGGATGTGTGTGGTGTGCAGAGGCTTTCCTGACCCTTGACATTAATGATAATCTCTTCAGACCTGATTGTTCGTTGTAGTTCAGACCTTTCCCGTTTTATGAACGAACCAAACCTGAAATGAAAGTTCAGGTATTATTTGAGCTTCTGAGACGCCAATCATTTGCTCACAGTAGTAAGAACACCTTGTTGCCAAAGTTACACAAAGAGAGCAACTAAAGAATGTAGGAAACAGAATAAGTATGAGAATTGATTTTGCATAACAACCATTTTCCCTCCACTCAACTTTCCACAACTATGACTATTACTGTAAAAAACTTGAAACAATGTGTTTAATTGTGTTATTTAAACACCAGAACAGGTTTTAAGTGAAACCTTTTTCATTCCAGGCACGTCCAGCAGAGGGCAGCATTCTCTCATAAACTCATTACGGCGCAGAATAAACAGAAATGTTGAAAATAAAACAGAAACTCAGACATTCAACAGTTTTATTGTGAAAAAGTCTTTTCATACACATCGTCTTGAACTGTACAATCAATAATTTAAAAACATTGTCACGATGTTCTCGTGTTTCAGCTCAGCAGCTTCAGCGAGTCATGAATCTACAGGAGTGTTTGTGCAGCAAAAATATCCGTTTGTGCCGTTATTGTTTTAAAGATATTAATAAATGTTTCTAGAGGTCATGAAAGGTCAACCAGCACCCCAGCCCCTTCAAACAAATTTGGTGCCACGTTTGAGCTGCGAAAATTTAGTTTGTGCTGCTTTTGTTTTGAAGACATGAAATTTTGAAGGTCAAAAGAGCAACCAGTCCCCAAACATGACCAAAAGTAAACTGGGTGTCAATCAACTCCGTTACGTTTGTGCCGCAAACAAAAATCATCACCATCTTTGAAATGATAGCAGCACAAATAAGTTTTGCAGAACAAATATTTGACTTTCCATGACCTCTGGAAACTTTTATTAATATCTTTAAATGGTGCAGCATCGCAGCACAAACGTTTGACACCAATTTGTTGGATTTACAGGTTGACCTTTAAACTTTAATATATTCAAAGCAAAAGCAGAACTTAAAATTTTGCAGCACAAACGTTTGATACCAATTTGAAGAGGGAAACATCACTCAGGTGAGCGAACAGCAGCAGAACGGGTCGAGGGTCACAGAACGGGTCGAGGGTCACAGAACGGGTCGGGGGTCACAGAACGGGTCGAGGGTCACAGAACGGGTCGGGGTCACAGAACGGGTCGAGGGTCACAGAACGGGTCGAGGGTCACAGAACGGGTCGTAGTGAGATCTGTGCTGGAAACCAGAGGAACTGGAACAGCAGCTTTTCTGCAAAACAGAACAATTTCTGGATCCATTTTTACAGAATCTAAACAACGAGCCAGAACCAGAAACGGACCGGGAAGATTAGTGTCTCCAGAACAAGCAGAACCGGGTCAGAAGCAGGACTTATTGATCAGAACCTGCAAGAAAATGTTGAATAAAGAGAAAATAGCAGGAAAATAGGAGAGAGGGAGATGAAGCCCTGCAGAGCATCTATTATTAAACAGCAAAGCATCATGGGACGGCAGGCGGAGGCGGCGATGTGGATCACAGGGAGGAAGAAGAAGACAACAGCGATGGATCCCCGGGGAGATCCGATCAGACGAAAAGCAGCAGCTCTGAAAAACTCACGTGTTCCAATCATTAAAGCACGAGCGAGCGCACTGCAAAAACACACCCAGACTTTCTCCTGTTTCTACTGCAAATATCTGAGACTTGAAATAAGAAAACTAAATAACAGGTCAATAAAGATTTAATGACGTAAACACAGTACTGGTTCCACAGGCAGATTGTTTCACTTATAACATGAAATGTTTTATAAATTAAATAATCTGAGTGGAACTAGTAAAATCATTATGAATAAATTATTGACTTAAAGTCTCGTATATGTTTCAGAAACATTCCCTGTAAGTTAACACGCTTGAAATGAGACAAAACTGAAAATACAGAAACTTGAACAAAAATTATTCGTAAGATTTTGTATTTTGCAGTGAACAAAGAGTGAAACGTCCTGCAGCACCTGAACGCAGCGCAGAGAGGAAATAACAAGGAAGGAAGGAAAGATGGAGACATCAGGATCTAAACTTCAAGTCTGGAAGTGAAAATATTTTTACATTTTCATTCCGACTGTTTTGGCTTCATTTGACGTCAATAAATGATTTTTCTTCATCAAACAAACAAAATAAAAAACTGATAAAATCTGAAATTTTATCATTCAGATTCAAAGTGAAGCAGATGAAGGCAAAAACAAACCTAAAAACGTTTAAAAACGGGTCAGAGTTCACTGTAAATAAGGCCCGGTTCTGCCTGAACCCGTCCGGTTTCTCCGACTGGGTCGATGTTTGGGTCAGGAAGGAGCTCGTCCGAGGTATTCTAATAAAAATACTGAATATGATCAGGTCTAAAACACAAGAGGGAAGGTAAAGCTGCAGTAAACAGAACCGTCCGACCCAGTTAAAGTCCAGTCCAATCAGAACTTAAAACGCTTCGATTAACCGAGAAATAAAAACCATAAACGTAAAACCCGAACCTGGGAGCCAGAGGAAGTGGAACCGGACCGTGTTAGTGAGAAAACGTGGATCAAGGCACCAAAGCGAGCCTGGACCGGATCTGCTGTGGTTCTGTAGTGTGAAACGTGGGTTAGCTTATCGGAGGAGAGCGGTGAGGTTCTGTAGTGACGCCTCTGCAGTCCGGCTCTCCGCCCGTCTCCTAGGAGATCTTGCAGTTGCTGCGGGTGCAGTTCTGCGGCGGGCTCTGCGGCGGGCGGATGGGTTTGGAGCGCTTCAGGCTGTTGGCCTTGGAGCCGCCGGCCGGGTTGGCCAGCGAGTACGAGCGTCCGTGCATCATGACGGCGTTCATGCCGTTGGCCATGGAGAAGGACTTGAGGTGGGACTTGATGGCGACGGGCAGCGGCAGCTTGTCGATGAGGTGGACGGGCGTGCAGGACACGATGGCTCTGCAGCACAGGTCCTGCAGGCTGAAGACTGAGGAGGGAGACGGGTCAGAACGGGTCAGAACCACAGAACCGGATCGCTGAAAACAGTGTGATTGTCACCTTAACTAACAATAAAATGTTCCAGAAATCATTAAACAATAACACCGCCATTTTGAAACCATTTTCAACTAGCATAATGATGCGGCCATTTTGTAAAATGGCTGCATTTGAATCAGAGCGCTGTGGAATGGTAAACTGTTCACACAGGAGTCATTCAGTAGCAGCATGAACGACAATGCAGAAACAAATTGAAGGTTTAGCCGAGTGGCTGGACCCGGAGCCGGTAAGCAACGGCCCCCTCTCGGCCCGCTCACCTCTGTTGGGCCTCCAGAACTTCTCCATGCCGTGCCGCATCAGGACGATGCGCGACAGCTCCGTGAAGGACTCGATCACGTTGAAGTTGCAGAGCGGGCTGACCTCGAAGAAGGTCATGCCGTTCTTCTCGGCGTAGGCCCGGGCCTGCTCCGTGGGAACCTGCCGCTTGAAGGCCAGGTGCAGCCGGTTCCCCACCAGGATCCGCGGCACGCCCGGTGCATGCTGGGAACAAAACGCAGCCGGTCAGTCGGGAGGTTTGGCATTAATTCAGCAAGCTGCAGGTCTGAAACAAGACTCTGATTTCCTTTGAAGGTTTCAATAATCGAACATTTAGGAATCTGGAAACAGAAAAGAATCGTTCAGTCCAGCAAATAAATGATGGAAAATGTTTCTGTGTGTTTAAATAGACTGAAAACAAATTAAGAAACAGAATTAAATGGAGAATAAGTGTAAAAACTTCTTGAAAAAGTGAAATATCCCTTTAATGGTGACGAAATCTGCTTCCTTGAACAGGTGAGGACCAAACCTACAAAACAAGTTTTGGACAAAATCATTCATCGATGATGAGATTTTATTCTGCTCAGCTATTTAAGGACTCCGTAACGTTAAATCCAAATTAGCTGCTTCTGAGCCACATCCCCAACTCAGCGTTTGCTCTCACACGTGAAAAAGTTTGCAAATAAATGCACAATTATACAACCATACATTTCTGAAAAGCAGAAGTGGATCCTCCTGCACAATCAACAAGAATGCAGCAAGTCATTTCTGGATGGTAAGTCAACAACAAAACACTCTCCTTTTCCAGCAGCCATTGTACAGTGGTAAAACCACCTGACCAAATAAAATTGAGCAAAACGTTAATTTTGCACCACAAATACAGAGTTTGGTGAACAGAACTACGCCTCCAAGTGGCTCTGGGTGATAAGCCTTATTCCTGATGACTATAATCATCTCTGATTGAATGATCCGGATCATGAAAGCTTTTCTTCATTCCCTAAATGACTGGGAGAAAATTCATTGATGGAAAATAAAAGCAGTAGCCGATAGAAATGTTTCACTTCTTCAGACGTTTAGAAGTTTTCCTTTAACCTCTGAGCCAGATGATTTCAGCTCAGCAGAATCTGAGCTGAAATATCATTAATCTGAAATCAGCTGCAGCAGAAAAGTCATCTAGAAGCTGCAGGGTGGGGCGCCTTCAGGCTCGGGGTGTCAACATCCGCAGAACATCAGCAAAACTCAGGACGAATTCAGACAGGCTGCATAACTGATCCTGGGAAACCAAACTGAAGATCAGTCTCATCATATTTAACATTTATTCACAATGAAGACACAAAAATTCATTATTTTATGATGATTTATTTAGATCCTGCTAGAAGAGGAACTTTGTATTTTGTACATTAAATCCACAACTGGCTCAGAACTGCCAGCTTTCAGTCAATATTTACTGGAAAGGGCAGTTTGATGACATAAACTGTCTAAAAGTCTAGAAAAAACAAAGCAGATCTGCAGCTCAGAACCTTTTCAAAAAATTTAATTCAGATTTCATGCAGAGAATAAAACCATCAGGTATTATTTACAAGCTTTAAAATATTTCTGCTTTGTTTCGTCCATTAAAGGTGTCAGAAGAGCCAGGAGAGCCGAGGTGGAGCAGGAAAAGCAGAACTGGAGCCCACATTCCACAGACCAAAAATACCACACACACACACACACACACGCACACACACACACACACACACACACCACACACACACACACACACACACACACACACACACACACACACACACACACACACACACACACACACACACACACACACAGCAGACATCCTCTTTGTTTCCATGTCAGCAGGAAGGACACAGAGCAAGAAGCTGGAATTCCCTGTTTGTGTCGTTTAGCTTTGCAGCAAAGCAGCAGAAAATATCCAAACTTTTTCCGTATCCTGATCTCGTCCTTCAGGTTCCTATGCAGCAAATATTTTGCTAAATGGAGCATAAAACCTTTTACAACAGAAAGTGTTAGATCACAGGCAGAACTAACACTACCTGAGATCTATGTTTGCTATTAAGTAGGCCAGAAATGATTATAATAACAAGCCATTAATTGAGTGACTGTTCTGTAGCAGCGACTTAAGCAAGTGAAGAAATTCATGAGAAAAGTAACTTTTAGTCTCAACTTTTAAGTATGATTTTTTTTAAACTGAAAAAACAGATGAGGATCAAAACATTTAATAAATAATTAATTGTTGATCAATCATCTTCTTGATCAGAAAATGCATGAAATATATATGACATGCTAATAGCACTTAGCATTTGTCAGCAACTCATTGGGGGAAGTGAAAACGTTGCGCAACACAAATGATTAGCTGGAACACAGTGTGCTAAATAGTAACAGATCATTTAATAAAGTCAAGAGGAACTTTAAAAATCGAGGTCTTTCGGTGAATCGTTACAGTTCTACTATTTAGTGGAGATTAATGCAAATTCACTCATCTCAGCTTTTCCACAAATCTGGCCAATCACCTTGACTTTTTCTCTATTTCCTTATTTTCTGTCCAATCACTGCCACTGGAATAAATGTTGAAGTTTAACTAGCTTCATTCTAATTTAACTTCCTGTTTCATGACATCTCTTCAAAGCCGAACCTGCAAGATTAATTAAAGCTTGTTGACATTAAATCGTAACTTTTGTTAAGATGTTCGGCAGGATTTGTTTCTACAGTATAAAGTGTGATATTTCAGGAAGTTACATATAATTTTAATTTGAACTTTAAATATGAACTAAAAGTTAAAATACTGTCTGTTTGCAAAGATGATCTGGAACAATTTAAACTTTTTAAAAAATAAAACAGTGCAAAAAAAATAAAACTTATGAAAACTTTGCAGCAGCTTTTAGGAAAGCTTTTAGGCTGCGGCAATCATAACTGGAGGATTTTCATAAACGAGCTGAAAAACCTTGATTGTTTGGTGACTGTTGGTGCAGCGTCTCTCACCTCATCGATCTCCCTGATCCAGCGGTCGATGCCGTCGAAGGACCAGCGGTTGGTGATGTCGTACACCAGCAGGATCCCCTGCGGAGAGCCGGAGTCACCAGAGTCAGAACGAGTCAGACAGTCCCTAAACGTTAGCGCAGCAGGCGCTAGCTCTCACCTGAGCGCCGCGGGAATACGAGCGGAAGATGGTGCAGAACCGACCCTGACCCGACGTGTCCCTGTGGAGCAGCGCAGGGCGTTAGCACCACGCCGAGGCAGAAACACATCAGTCATGGAGTGGAACTAATTCTCAAAGAGCAATAAACTTTAAATTCTCCTGAGTATTTAACTCTGGAACTGGAAGAAAATTTAAAAATCCAAAATAAATAATCATCAAACACAGGTTTTCAAAAACAAACTAAAACACCAGACTGAAGACTTTTATCACCTGGATTTTGGTAGAAACAATAAATCATGCAAATATAAATCATAGAGCTTAATTTATTATGCATTTAATTGATGTGTTTATTGCTGCAGGCTCAGCTGGAATCATTAAAAGTTCACACTCAGTTTTCTCAATCGCTTCAAAGTTCTGATGATGATAATTTAACAGAAACACTAAAATAAAAAAATTTACTTTTAAATATTATTTGTAACACTTACAAAGTATAACGTCACAAGATGCTCAACATTTCTCATTAAAATTTATTTTTGTTTTAGAGTTCTCATAAAATTGTCTTTTTTCTGGTAATAGGAGTTTATTCATGTATTATTTTCATTCTATTTTTATAATGACTTTATCCATGTAATAAAACATTTAAAAGAATCCAGAAGCGGTCGGTGTTCGCTCACCACAGCTCCAGCTTCACCCTCCTGCCGTCCAGAAGGATCGTTGTGGTTTTATAGTCGATCCCTGCAGAGAGACAGGAGCAGCTGTTAGCAACACGGAGACGTCCTTCTGTCAGGAAAACAGTGACTCAGCACCTGCAGGAAGCATTTCAACGCCACAGCGCTGCAGGGTTTTCCTCAGTGGATTATAAGCCTGGCGGGTCTCCAGGCTTTACTGGTCCCAGGCTAAGCATTGTTTATTTATTAGTTTGTTTTTAATGTTTGCCTTTTAAGACTTTATAATAGGTTTTCAGGTATTAATCTTCCAATAACACGTTTTCATGTTTTCAACATGCCAACTTTAAACATTTTAAATTTAAAAAATGGCCGCCGTCCAGCTGGTTTAGAGCGTTTTCTGAGGAAACCCTGCAGTGTAAACCTAAAACATGTCAACAAGCCCCAATATCAGCTGCTGCCCAAAACTTCACTGTCTGCTAGCGAGACAGCTAACATTTCATCAGCCAGCGCTGACGCAGCGTTTTTCACAGGAAGCTGGGTGTTAAAAATAATTCACTTTCCAAAACAACATCTATGTTGTTCAGGTGAGTCATGTTGACTTTCACTGCTGCTGACTCAGTAAAACGGAGCAGGAAACTGATCTCTGCCTGATCTCTGCCAAACCTGCCTGACCTGCTGCTGCTGCGGTTTTTATGAAGCTCATCAACACCTGAGGACAAACAGGTGCAGAGCAGAGCCGCTCGTTCCCAACCAAGCATCCACATTTCTAGAGGATTTATTCAAATAATTAAAATACAGGCAAATTCATGCTTGGTAAATAGAACAGAGGATTTGTTTTTATGAGTGCGCACCGTTTCATTTCCCTCCCAAAGTGAGCGGACTGGATTATCTGTGTCTAAATGAAGCTGCAGGAAGAGGAAGTTAGAAGGGAACATGATTTTTATGAAGGTCAGAGAAAATGTCTGCAGCCAAGAAAAACAAAGTTCTTCTTTACGTCAGCTGACAGGGAACCGGATCATTAATTCATAAAGTTTTCAATTGTTATTTAACTGTTGAATCCTCACATCAGCTGCTGATTTACAGCGAGGATCATCACTTCATGAGTCGGGTTTTTAAAACAACATCATGATGCTGCAGGTTCTGACGGGTCACCGCTGCTGGCTAACAGCATTAGCAACATCTCCCAATTTCCAGGCAACTTAAAGCTGCAGCTGAGCATAAGTGCTGCGCTCGCAGCCTAATTCAATTGGAGTGAGTGCAGGGCGGCGGGCCAAGAGCCGTCTCTCCTACTAAAGCCGGACCTCACTTAGAAATCCCAGATAATCGATATTCTCCTCTGGAGTCCTCCATTGAAGCCGCTTCCATTCAACAGGAAATAAAACTCAGACTGGAGCAGATTTAACTTTGAGGTGCATTTATTAGATTTTAGAGAGTTCATGACATTAACGGAACATTTTCTCTTTGACCATTGTTTTAAACTGTGAAGAGAAAATCAGGCCATCAGTCAATTCACACAGAGATCCCCAACATGACGCATCAATCAAGTGTTTTCACTTTATACATTTAAATTTCGTCCAAATTAAGACATAAAAACAACTTTAGACATCACTGAAATGGTTTGAAAAATTAGACATATTTAAGTAGATATAAATCAGATGGTATTTTGATTCTACCAACCAAATAATGTTTTAAAAACAGCTTCCATAATGAAAATACCAATTTCTGCATAATTATTTTGCCATTTCTGCAGAACAGGAACTTGAGTCGGTACACAAATGAACTCTGTGTTTTCTGGCTTTGCTGTTTTAGAAATAAATTAAATCAGAGATGCAGGTGAACAGTTTGAGGTTCCTCACATTCTGGGAACCATAAGTCAGTTTTCTTATGTAGGAAACACAATGAAGAGAACTAGAGCAAATTCTCATGAGTAAGAAGCAAAAAGAAATAAAAAGTGTTGCAATAACAGTCTGGCTGCATCTTTAAAGAGGATTAAAGAACATTCTGCTTTTTATTTAGCTCCAGCTCTCTGTTAAACCCACTAAAGCTCCTGTTTTATCTGGATCCAGTCATAAAGGCCACTAATAAACTTCTCCATCCACAACTGAACCATGAAACAGCAAACCAAACTGATATGATTATTGTTACACATCAGGAGAAAATAGAAACTTAGTCATATTATCTATGGAGTAGATCACTTTAATCTGAAATTACTCCTCATGTTTAAACAGGATTTATACTGGGATCACTGGGAGAGATCATAACTTTCTAATATTCAACTAAATTCTGAAAAACTTAGTGGAACATTACAGCATCTTTCTCAGAAAGTCTTTAGATTTTGTTGTTTTATTCCTGGAACAGGTTGAGACAGCGTTGGCTAAAATAAAAGCTTGATAAAAACCACAAGTTCCACTGGTACATTATTTAACTTTTATGGGAAATTATCTGTTTTTATATAAATTAAGGAATTATTGGCTTGTAAAAAGCTCCAGTTTCTTAATAAAAAAGTCACTTCCAAATTAGTTTTGCTTTATTTCAAGTGTATTAAGACATTTGCACTAGAAACTAGACAGAAATATTTGGTAATATTTTGTGGTTTTGCAGTGCAGGGAGTCACCCAGAAATCAGGACCAATCAAAGCCTGCAGGCCTCAACCAATCAGAATCTGTTCTCCTGAAATATTCAGGGTGCACAGAAGGACACACACACACACACACACACACACACACACACCCTCTGCTGATGGAAATCAATAGCACCGCCGTCTCTGAACGCGTTTGGCTGCGATCCGCTCAGCCTCCATATTTAATGAAGCTGTTTGATTTGCCTCCTACAGGGTTCAGATGCCGATCCGACTTTTATTGATGTGGAGAAACGAGAAAATTATCCAGAAACATCCAGAAGTCAATATCAAACACAAACAGTCATACGGAGCGATTTCATCTAAAAACAACCGGAAACTCTGGATTTTTCCTCCATTAGTCACAGAATCAGCATTCCAGCTCAATCACTGCTTTATCAATCAAAGCTAAATCATTATTTATGTTGATCGGATCAGGAAAATACACAGATTGTAGGTTATTGCAGGATGGCTGCAGAAAGCAGCCATCCTGCAGGCTCACAGATTTTTCATGAACTGTTGCTGTTTTTGCAGAAATGAGGAGAGTTATCTGCAGCAGCTCAACGGTTTCTGTTTCAGCACCTGACTCTGACATCAGCAACGTAACGAGGAGGAATTAGGATTAATTAGTCTGAGTGTTTGTCCAGCTGTGCTCCAGCTGTTCGCTGCATTCCTTAATGCATTCCTTCCCTCTGAGCTGCCAAAGTGTTTCACACTGTCCAGGTTTCTTGATGGAAATCATCCATCAGCGGCTGATTTAACCAACACGCTTCATTCTTCTCAAATAGCAAATTTCCAAAGATCCCAGTTTATTGTTAACCATATTTTCAAGTTTGCGCCACTCAGCCTTTTTAGCCACCAATCACCTTCCAGCTGGATGTTTCACCTTGAATGCAGGTTGAACTGGGACAGATCATTTAAACTGGTTCGCTTCCACGTAAACTGTTCCTATGGAAATCTGATTGCAATTTAATTAATAGCATGAATGACCAGGCAGAAAATTTAAATAAATGCAAATACTGAAGTCTGTCCTGCAAATAAATAAAAATAAAGGCTAGTTGAGACCAGATCACCAGACTGAAGACTTTTGTCATCCAGTTTTTGGTAGAAAGAGAAAAGCAATCAATGGAAATGTTTTTGTTTTAATTTAACATGTGATTAATTGATTTATTGGTAATTACAGCAGACCTAATCAAACAGTGCAAACATCTTCCTTTCTGGGGTTCAGTGCAAACAAAGACCCCAGTTTGTGTCGATCCAGAAACTAGAAAAAAATGTATTCGGTATTTCATTAAGTTTTATTTAAAAACTACAGTCCAAGCAGCTTTTTGTGATAATTCATCAAGTCATTTTGCTCTAAAAACGCTGAGGATAAATTCCACCTTAAATCAATCAGGTAAGGTGGAAATCACACCCAGTTTAATTTTCAGGTTTAGACAACAGAGCATCATGTGCTACACTGGGGGTGTGAATGTGAAGCATTGTTTACTCTCCCCCACTGTGACAGCCACACACATCACGAATGTTCAGGACTTTTTGCCAAAGTGTGAGCCAACAGAAAAGCAGGTTTTTCGGCCAGCAGTGACTCACCGCTGCTGTAGGCATAGGGAGACTCTGCAGATCCGTCCTGCAGGCTGTCCAGGATCTCCCCTTTGCCCACGTCGCTGTCTCCCACCAGGAGGAACTTCAGCAGGTAGTCGTAGCTCTTCACCGGGCTGCCCTGGCTGCCCATCTCCACCTCTGACCCCAGGAGGCTCAAAATATGTTATTTCCCTCTGGCTTGATCCAAAACAAAGTCTGTTTTGCCATGAACTACCTGGATGTGGGTCCAGCTGCAGAGGCTTTGCTTTTCACTATTTCCGGTTAAAATGTTTAAATAAAGTGGGTGTCATAAATGTGTTAAATACTGAGGAGTTTGATTAAAGGTAGTGCACATTGGGAGTAAAACATCCCATGTAAATAAGACATTATGTAATCAAACTGAGTCGACTGAACAAACTGATAACCATCTGAATCAGGCTGGAAACTCTAAAAAAGCAGCAAAAACATGTCAGTAATTATTTTAAACTTCCCACTGCTCTGTGGTGAATTTATTTAAAAACGCTCAAACTAGAAATGCGTCGTTTCTTTTTTCATTCAGGAGACGCTTGTGTAGCATCGAGAAGCTAGCTCTGCATGGAGCTAGCGGGCTAGCCTAGCTCTCCGACAGCTGCTTTCAATCAAAATGAACTTTACATAGAAGATATAACCCTAAATGAGTGACAATGAGACAGTCGAGGCAATCTAAAATATATAAATTAGCGCTATTTCAACGAGCAGTAACGTTTTCCCCCCAGCTAGCCCAACTTCCCCCCAACGTCTGTGAGATTCCAGGCCCCCTTCTCTTCATTTACTCCGGGAACTAAACAGTCCGTAACTTCAAATCCAGGGGAATGACCCGAAAAATGGCTGGAAATCACGCAGCCGAAAGGTTGTTGCGCCCAGTCCAAATCCGTGTGGATGCACTCGGAAATATCAGCCCGCGATGTTTCCATTTCTCTTCATGGTTGTCTGTCATAATCACAGATGTTCATCCTCCACGAAGCGCCACAACAACACTGCCACTCGCTGCTCCGCCGCTCTCCCTACTCAGCACTAGCCACGCCCTCCTCCCCGCCTATCTCTCATGTGATTGGACGCTGGGTTTCGCGGGGATAGTAAACAGGTGCGTCTATTGGACAAGAAATATGTCTATCGCAGATTGTTGTCAACAATGCGCAGATGGTGGAGGGGGTATGTGGACACAAAAAGATGTTCCATTCTTCCCAGAATGCTGTTAGAACAAAGACAGAGATGTTTCATGATGTCGATAAACGTGATTAAATTAAAGCCTGCTATGGGTTGTAAAGGGATAATCAGACCCTATTTACATGATTTCATTCTAATTTCTTAGACATCCTTGATGAACTGTTTCACTTTATAAAATAATCACCTCAATTTAATTATGTTTATCACATAAAATAGGACAAATTGAGATCGAAAGATTTCATAATTTCATTCCAGTTTATTTTATGTTGTTGCCTGATGCGATAAACTGCGTCATTAGAGACTAGGTTGCATAAGAACAACAAGTTCCCAATCAGTTCCCATACAAATCCAGTTACAACCAATCAATTAATTGCATGCACAACAGTCAGGATCATATTCGAATCCAATAAAAACTTCAAAAGAATCATATTTTTTCACAGTTAGTCAAATATTTTCTAAATATGAAAATCAGAAAACTGAACTGAAGCTTGCCTTTTGTGCTAATTGTCATTTAGAGCAAGCACAGGGTGATAGTAGTGAGGAATTGTTCCCTTTGAACAGGAAGAAACTTCCAGCTGAACCTGACCTAGTGCTGCATTTTGGATCAGCCAATTCTTTTTCACTAAAGTTTTAGTATATCCCGATAAAGAAGTAAGAAATATGTAAGAAATGCATGGAAGAGTTTTGCTGAATCACCCTTGAATATTATATTTATTATTTAGACAATGCTGTGAAAAAAGCACAGAAAACTTTATTTGTTTTTTTAAAGAAATGTTCTGGGGCAATAAACTAACTAGATTAATTTAGTTTTATATAACTAATGACATGTTTGACCTCAAGAAGTTCAAATAAATATTTTGCCTCTTGAAGTGAGTCGGATACATGTCATGTTATTTGTGGAAAATATTTTTAAAAATGATCAATCATGGTTTAATGTTTTACTTCACAAAAAGCTGGAACTTAAAATGAGGGGTGTAGACTTTTGAAAGCCACTGTAAATTACTGATGGGTTAGCTAACGTCTCTGCAGACCCCACACATCCTGGATACAACGGTCAGGTTGGCGATAGAGAGACAGGTTTTCTCTTTTACACCATACAGACTGACAAATCAGCTACTGTAAACAGAATGAGCATATTTCCATAAACAAAACTTAATTTCTTGGTGTCAAAATGGTCAACATGGAGCATTAGCATTAGCATTGGCTACCATCTGTGTGAAATCAGTATTTATATCACCATGACTCATCTCCCTTCCCTCAGCTCAGCCAGAACACCTACACACATAATGAATGAAGCACGCACACCTGCGCTGACAGCAGCAGCTTTAACTGCAGCTCCATGGAAATCTAGGAAATAAGCTGCATTTAGAACAGTAAACAACTTTAATATCTACTCAGCAAATCAATGTGATTTTTCCAAGTCAGCAAATAATGAATCAAAACAAATGTGTTTGCTGAGCTGAAGGATGTCAGGAAATTTGGATGGGTTTTTATTTATTTACTCTGTGTTGTTGTGCAGATCACCAACATTTTTAAGGTGCTTTGACATTTCTGGAAGTTCTAGTTTATAGAAAACCTGAAAGATATTGACTGCATTTATGCAAAACAGTTTTGCATAAATGCTACCCTGGCCGAGCTGATTTGTTTTGCATCTATTAAAAAAAAAAAACAGACACAAAATGAATGACTGCATAAAAAGTGACTGACCCAATTCAACAGTAGAATCAAAAATATCTTGAGGAAATAAGAAAACAGAAAAAATGACAACCCAAAGCATTTAGCTAAAGATTCACAGACAACAAGATGGAGGTTCTGAAGTGGCCTAATCAAAGCCCAGACCTGTTTACAGCTGATGTTCAGAGCTGGAACAGTTTAGCAGGAAGAATGGAGAAAAACTGCAGCGTCTAAATCCACACAGACTCCCTGCTGGGACGCAGTCAGAGATGCAAATACTAAATACTGACAATATTTATACAGTCCCTTATTTTATGTCATAGATCTTTATCCAATTATTATTGTTTATAAAACTAAGTTTTCACTTGGATATTTGAGGGTTTTTTGTCAAAAAAAAAGCTAAGCTTAGTTAATCATGAATGATTTGTAAAACATCCAAGGAGGTGAATGGTTTTCTCTTCATGTCGCCCTGTGAAGAAATGCTGCCCTGGGTGGTGAGCCACATCAGTTCAAATCAATCACTGAAAACGACAGAAACAATAAATTCTGCCTTTTGATTCCTGATGATCGATTTTGTTTTATAACTGTAGTTTACCAGAATAAAATATAATTAGTTATGGAAAAAAGGCTGCAGAAAAATAAAGATTTTATTCAAAATAAGTTTATTGATTAGGATAAAGCTACTGATCAATTATATACAACATCAAAAAGGACCAACATCAACATTATCAAGGAAAGTGTCTGAAACTCAAATATCCTCCTGAAGGGCTGAAAAACTTCTGGTGCTATTTGTTGATAAAGATGAAAAAGAAGCATCTTAAACCAGGAGTTCAGAGAACAAACAGCAAACATCCTTCCACAGAGTTTTCTCTGCATCTGTTTCAGATGTTTTCAGACAAACTCTGGTGGATCAGCTGGAAAAGCAGCTTAAAAAAACAGGCAGGAAAAGCAGTGGAAAGCTGCACACAGCGCCACCTACTGGCCACACTTTAGAGGGGTAAACAGAGGGAAATCTTTTCACATCATTTCTGAAACTGAGTCGTTTTAGGGAAACATCTACCAGTTTGGCACCAACTGGTTCTGCAGCAGGCACAAGACAAGTTAAATATAAGATGATTTTCTAAAATAGAGATAAAACCATCAATGCTTGGAGCAAAGCAGAACCACAGTTTGTTTTCCAGTAGCAAAAAAAAACAAAACGGACTTTGGTGCTGTATTTCCCTCCATAGGATTCATGATTTGATTTATTTTCAAGAATACATTTTCTCAAATTGTCATAAAACAGGTTAAAAAACAAACAAGTAAAACTAAAGAATAAAACAAGGAAAGGAAACAGCGGACATTTAGCAAACGTCATCAATCCTGTAACTCATTTATTCATCCGACCACCGGGGGCGCTGTTATACGACGAGTGATGCAATTAGATCTGGATAAATACACTGTGATGCAAGCATTAGATTGTTTTGATTCAATTTTTTTTCACATAAACAAATGTTTTAACAGAACTCCATAATGGAATTTGGTTATTTTTAACAAGTCTGCGTATAAAACGATAACAAAAAAGGACTAATTATTATTCTTGGTTAATTTGTTAAGATTCCTTAACAATTTAGCTAAACTTGATTCATTTTCAATCAGAAATCATCTTCAGTCTTTTAACAAGCAAAGTCTGTAACATTTTGTTAAAATTTTATAAATGTTTGCTCCTATTACGGTAAAATTAAATGAAATTGTTATTGTTCAGTGATGGACCAGCATTGAAACTTCGTTAGGAGTGTTCCACATCTTTCATAAGTGTGGACAAAAATAAAAATATGTACTAAAAAAGATGGAATGAGTGTTCATAATCAATCATTCAAGCTGCTCAAAATACTTCACAGTTTCCGCTGTCAGTCAGACTTGGTGGTTTTTTGTCTCCAGGGATAAATCAGCTCCCCAATGAACAGCTTCTTGATGAGCGCCGCCCAGGAGTCTCTGGGGTAGCAGCTGTAGGTCGGCGTGCGGTAGGTCTGGACGACGCTGCTGCACTTCAGAGGGTTGATCTGCAGAGCAACGGCAGCGTCAGGGAACAGACTCCACCTCCAGCAGCAGCTAATGTCCAAAATGGAGCAACAAACCGGGAAATCTCACCTCCATCAGCAGGTGGAGGGCGGTGCCCGGCTCCTCACATAGCACTCTGAACTTCACACCCTCTGAGAATGGAATAAAAACACATTTACACACGCCAAAGTTTCCGCTTTGCAGAAGTAATGAGATTTACCAGCCAGTCTGTAGGGCCGACAGATCCGCAGCGCCATGGCGAACAGAGGGAAGGAGTTGATGAAGTCAACGCTGAGATGCAGGACGCCCTGGAACAGCACCACCACCAGGCGCAGCTGCCCCACACACAGGCACACAGAGGTGTGAAAAATAAACCAACACCACAGCTTTAACAAACGTTTCTGCTTGTTCTCAGAGAAACCTGCAAATAACGTCGGTTTAAAGAAAACAGGAAGTATGGGAGAAATTCACAAAGCTGTTCTCCTGACTGGACCCAAAACTGATTTCCAAGAAAGGAGAAACAAAGCTGGGGTTCAATTTATTTATGATAGCATAAAACATGATTCACTAAAAAGTGTCATTAAAGTTATTAAGAGTCACTGAGGTGAAAACGTTTCCAAATCCCGGCTTCAGCTTCTCTTACCAGGGTGAAGACCAGGTAGTACAGCGCTGTGGTAGGAAGCAGGAACAGCAGAATGGTGAACAGCAACGTTCCGATGAAGAGCTGCAGCAAAAACACAACAGACCTCAGGACTGAAAATGACTGAAAAACCTCAGAAAGTCAGGCAAACTGCTGATTAACACCATCGTTAATGAAGAATACTTTGTAAATCTGACTGTTGACTTCCCTTAACATCTGTCCATCATGACTGGACTGATGGTTTTTGGCTGTTTTCACAACAACATTGCAAAAACTAAACCATTTGAGCTGTGGGAGCGCTGCGCCAAGGACCGCTGAAGGAAACAACTTGAAAACCTCAAAATAAGGTGCTGAGCGTAACTTCCTTCTTAAAATAAAATAAAAAAAAGGAGTGGCATCATACTTTAGTGTTTAGAGGATTTTTCTTTTGTCTTTAGCTAAAAACCATGAGCCCTTTCTCAAACTAGGGCTAGACTAGTGTGTTTGGTTTTATCGTATTTACCCAGAATCCTTTAAAGAATCTTTCCTTCTTTAAATTTGCGATAAAACTCTTTCTTAGTGGCTTTTCTTACATCATGGGGTACATTTGTAATTGAGATCATTCAGATAGATGTAATATGTTGGGAACGTGGAAGGAAGACTCACCTGGTCCAGGTCATAGGAGCACGAGTCGACTCTCTGCCGCAGGACGTTCCACTTCTTCCCCCTGAAGAGCCTCCAGAGAGACGACAGGCCGTAGATCTTCAGGCAGTAGAGCCTGACGGAGACGCACAGAGCCGTCAGTCACTCCCAACTGTCAGCCAACGTTTCCATCCACTCATGAAGATCATTAGTTTTGGGCATTTATATTTATAAAATATAACATAAAACAAATTTGACACCTCTATGACTTTAAGTAGCTTCTACTCTTTCTGCCTTTAACAATGGTTCTCATTTTTCCATTGACAGTTTTTTGAGGTTATATGTAATCCTCCCCTTCATTTAGAGCAGAGATGACCATGATAACCTCAACCAGGATTAGAGACAGGAAGTAGTTCAGGAAGGTCCAATCCGACTGAGAACGAGTTGGACTTTCCTTATTTTATCACTAAGAGAAATCTCTGTTCTCTTTATTTCTGGATAGGAAACAAAGAATAACAAACATTTCTGAACTTTATCTGCAAGAAGCAGAACAAAGGCTGATTTTCTGTGGCTTAACCTTCAAATATGCATAAAGAACGATTCAGCACAAAAAGCCTGAGGAGATAAAGTCTCTTCTTTGAAGCTCTAAATGTAAATTAACAAATTTGGTTCATCTGAGTTCCTGGAGACAGAGAATCTGCTCCCAACCATCATAAAATAATCATCATGAACTAATTTTCCATGAAGCTGCCTGAAGTCAGAGGCAGGCGGCTCCTCCTGCTGAGATCACTGCAGGGACGCTGAGAAACTCTGACAAAAAAGCCTGACAAAGTGAAACTACACACACTGTGGGAAATGGAGCAGCAGGCATGCAGCAGGAAGGGGGAAACATTTCAGCGTGACGCAGGCGAGGAGCTCTATCTTTAGAGCAGATGTTTAATTCAGAGGTTTCTCCTCTGCTTTCATCAGAATCAGGCACAGATTCTCCAGAACTGAACAGGAGCTGCAGACAGGCGAGCAGCTGAGAGGGAAACCAGGAAGTAAACATCAACAAACAGGAAGTGATTAACTTCCATCACTTCCTGTGTTTCAGAAAATAATTGACACGTTTAAGATTTTATTTTTGATTTTGGGAAACGATTTGATCAAAACGCATCAGAATCAGAGAAACAACAATCAAACCGACATCCAACCAGCATCCATCCAACCATCCATCCATCCATCCGTTCTGATCTCATATTTTAACTCAGGAAGCTGTGTTCGGCCCAACTAATTATCCATACTGCTCTTAGGATCCTGATCAATAACTGATAACCATTAGAGAGAGCTGTAATGTCATTTAGCCATATATCAAAGCTTCAAGTTTCCACTTAGCTCCATCAGACTGAAGCATGAAACCTCAATTTGTTTCTGCACTTCCTGCTGCAGCAGAGAAACCGAATAAGTCAGAGCAAAGATTCACCATCAACCAGATGGAGACGTCCAACATTTTCAGCCTGAGCTGGTTTTCATTCTGGAGACCCGACCAGCATGATTCACTTCCAACAGAATCGCATTATTGGCTCATTTTCTGATTTTCAATACAGTCTTTAGTTTTAGAGCCAGTCATCTGGAATCACAACAGACTGGTGACTGGATCCTCATTTTACCAACAGAAGGTTTTAAATAGAAATTGTTTCACTTTAAAGCTTTCGATATGAGTGTTCTTCATATCTGGCAGATTTACTTGGTGGATTTAAGATTCTCGGCTCTCTTTTAACACAGATGCTTAAAAGCCCAAAAGTTTTAAAATACAGTTAATCCCTGATACTGATTAAATGGATGTAAGCTTTTAAATTCAAGAAAGGTTGCAAAATAAAATCTAAAAAATGTTCTCGCCAAGTTTTCTCTTATTTGGTAAAGAGAAAAAGTTTAGTTTAATTTGACTTGATACGGTGAAAGACTTTGTGTTTTTTTCAGAGTATGTAAATATCTGGTTTCAACGGCACATGTGTGAATTTTCACTTGCATCACCAGTTCACTATTTGCTCCTGGTGCATGTAGGGATTTTAAACAGGGAGCACATATTCCTCACAGTCGGCCAGAGATGGGCCGTGTCTGGATAAAAAATTAAATCCAACCCAAAAATGTGAAGAAAACATGCAGCTGTGCAGGTCATAACCTGCAATTACAGAAACAGCAACGACTACGGTTCTCCTCTGAGAATAAAGTCAAACATCTCTAAAATAACTCAGTTATTTTTATTTAGGCAAGATTAGAATCTTCTGAACCAAAATCAGATGAAAATATTTGAGTTTTACTCAAAGAAAACAGCAGCAGACTCTTTACAGACATCTATTAATTAAAATGTCTGACAAACACTGCCCCCTGCAGGTTTTTAAACATATTACAGTTTTTATTACAAATACAACAGTTAGTCTGAGAATTTTTTTGTTTGTTTTATTATGAACATAATTAATAGAACTTTATTCTATTAATTTAAAAACAAATATCTACTTAGCATGGCTCTGATAATCCATTGTAGAACCAACACATAGCTGACTTTTGATTTGTTTAATCTGAATGAACGAATTTCCGTCCGTCCATCCATTCTTACCTGGCTCCATAGACGTAGAAGCAGTAGATGTGGAAGGTGAACAGCGCCACCATGTCAGACAGCAGTGAGAGGGCAAAGGTCAGGCCGAGGCAGGCAGACAGGCCTCCGTACCAGAAGATTCCCTGGATGAACGGCGCCATCAGGTGGATGTAGCCTGCAGGGCGACAGGCAGAGATGAGCTTCATGTCGGTGAACGCTGCTGGTTCTGGTTCTGGTCCGAGACTCACTGATCCACAGGTGGATGTGGTACAGAAAGAACCGGCCCAGAACCTGGTCCAGGGCCCGGTTCATCTTCAGGCCGGCCGGAGCTCCCATCAGCCACTGCAGCAGCTCCTCCAGCTGCTGCGCCACGCGCTGTGGAGACAGAGCAGGGCATGCTGGGAAATTACCTGGCTACGAGTCACAGGAAGGAACATTTACAGTTTAATGACTTGAATGCAAAAATAAATAAATTAAAACTGAATACTGAAATGTTTTAATCATGACTCATTATAAGTTTTGCTTTGAAATCAGTTTTAAAAATAAAACATAATAATTTATTTAAATGTTATTTCTGATTGACTACCAGTGAAATTCATGAAGCAACAAATTAAAAAGTTTGTGACGAGAAAAAGAGCAAAGGAACCAACACGGCTGCAAAAAGACCTCATTATTTGACTCAGGTGAAATAGAGACACATCTAAAAGGCCTGCAGTTACCCACCCCCGATATAATCTCTATGTAATCTCTATATAATCCCATATGTCTGCCGTGACTCACGTCGGCGGCCGGCACCATGTTGCTGGCCAGCATGGCGATGTGTTGGTCTCTGTAGAGCCATGACATGAGCAGGACGCCCAGCGAGACGTCCAGCAGGACGGACACCAGGACGTTGGCCTTCCTGCAGACAGACGGGAGACAGGTGAGAGGGACGGACCCGGTCTGGGACGGACCCGGTCCGGCCCGGCGTCCCTCTGGGACAGAACCTTCTCCCACCTCATGAAGTCCATGTGGGCGGCGGCCTGCGGAGCGACCAGCGTCTGCAGCCGCTCGGTTCTGTAGCTCAGCTGGACGCAGGTGGACAGCTTGGAGGACAGGAAGCGAAGCGGGAAGAAGCTGAGGATCCTGGGAGAGACAGCAGGAAGTCAGAGGGAGGCTGCAGAATCAGAACCAGAACCGGACCGGGTTCAGGCTGGAACTATGAAGCATTCATAGTTCCAGGCTTAAAGCAGTTCAGACATTAAAACATCTTCAGGGGATTTTCTTCATAAAATGACAATAAAACCTGATGAACGACATGGAAATAAAAACTCCTGGTTTCATAAAAATAGGAACAGGTGGGGGAGGGGTCTCTGACTTTTTCCTGGTTTCTCATTTAAAGGCCTGCAGGGAGAAACCAGGAGGAAAATTTGACCCATTTTTGATTTTTCAGAAACTTTTTGTACAGTGAAGCCAGAAATCAGTTTTAAATGTTTTTCCTGTTTGAGACGATTCGCATATTTTCTTCAAAACTAATAATAATTTTTATTTAGTTGTGTTTATTCATTTTAAATGTAACTGATAAGACGTTTAAGAAAGATGTAGCTCTTCCAGTGCAGAGTGCATTTCTCAGCGGTTCTCCTCGATATTTAAAGTTTGCGCACCGGCCCGGTTCTCCTCACCGGGCGCTGCAGATCCAGGTCCAGACGGAGAGCATCCGGCCCAGCAGGAGGCCCAGCGGAACCGAGGCCTGCTTCAGCAGCTCCACCACGATGCTGGCCTCACGGCCCTCAGACTGCCAGTGGGTCGACCGCAGCGGCCCGTCATCGTACCGGTCCAGGACGAAGAGCGGCTGGCTGTGCGCCACTGTCCCAAACACCTGAAGAGGAGGAAGAGGAGGAGGAAGAAAAGGAGGAAGAAGAGGAAAAGGAAGAGGAGGACGAGGATGAGGAGACATACAGCCAGAAATATTATGGGACGGTTCAGAGCTGATTCATGTGTTCGAATGGCCTAGTCAAAGTCCAGACCTAGATCTACTATATACATGGTGGCTGTTTTTGAGGTCAAATACCACAAAAACATGCCGCACTTTTCAGAAAGAACAGAACCCTTCATAACCGTCAGAACCCGGATCATCTCTGGTCCTCTGGTACCTGTCTGAGCTCAGAGTGAGGTTCTGATCCGCTCCCAGACTCCTGGGCCTCCACAGGATGAAGCTGCGACAGCATCACCTTCCTCTGCTCGTAGTGGACGAATATCACCTTCTCCTCATCCTCACGCTCTACGTCGCCGCTGTCCTCTTCGCTCTTCTTCTCTGCTTTTCCTCCTGAATCCTTCCTGCAAACTGGAGGAGAGAAAATCTTCCAGATTTTATCGCCAAGAAAAAAAATTCTGAATATTTGACTGAAATCATAACGCAGAATATTTATTAAATGACTGAATGAAAATGAAGCTAATAGATTAATGAGCCTTATTTCTGCTGCATCTCCAACTCAGTATGAAGAAAAGAAGGAAGGAAGGAAGGAAGGAAGGAAAGGAGAGAGGGAGGGAGGAAGGGAGGGAGGGAGAGAGGGAGAGAGGGAGGGAGGAAGGAAGAAAGGAAGGAAGGAAGGAAGATTGCTGTTTGTAAAGCTGTTTCTGACTGCTGCCATTGGCCTGAACTCCAGCAGGGGGCGCTCACTCTGGTCCAGGCTGAGCACCTCGCAGCTGAAGCCCGTCTTTCCGAACTGCCGTCGGATCTGGAGCCAGCGCTCCTGGGGGAAGATGGTGCTCAGGTCCCTGAGGAAGCTCTCCATGCCCTCCTGCCCGTCTTTAGGGAGACTCCAGGAGCCGAGAACCGACAGATCCACGCCGCTCTGAGCCTGCATCTGGGAGGACAGAAGAAGAAGTCCAGTTAGTTACTGCAAGTTATTTAACCAGATCCAAACAAGGCTTTAAGCTGCAGACTTAAAGACTGTATCTTAATAACTAATAAATAAAATAATTAATTGATCAATAATAATTACTTTTTAATTATAAAAATATTTTTTACGTATTTGTTTAAACTGTCACCATGCTGAGACAGTTTAATATGAAATCAGCACATGAAAATGTAATGAATTTATATCCACAGGATCATTTTTTTATTCACAACTGGACAGTAGTTAGTGTGGAACTGACCTGCTGGATGTACTGCTTGACCTGCGCTGGGATGAACGGGTAGTGGATGACTGCCAGCACCACGGCCGAGTCATGACCGGAGATCCAGCGTCCCACCAGCAGCCCGCTCTCCGCCCGGTTGCAGCACTGTGGGAAGAAGATCTTCAGCACCATGGCGTCCACAGCTTTGATGATAAACAGAAAAAATATTCATTTAGTTCAATGTTAACAAGATAAAAACACTGGAATGAAGGAAGGGAACTGTTAAGAAATAAATACCTAACATTTAAATATCTGTTTGCAATAAAGATGTATGTTTCACATTTTGAAGTAAATAACTGTAATAAATTGATGACATTGATTTAATGAGATGAAAAGGTTTTTGTCTTTATATCTGTACAAAAACTAAACTGAAAACAGAACAATTCACAGTTAAATCTAATTCAATTCAATCATTAATCTTCTACAGCAAAACGAAAAACGGTAGGAAATGTCGTAACGCGCTCGGCGGTCATAAAAACGTCAAAACAGCTGCAGAGATCCAGATCCTTTTAGGAGACACTGTTGGTTCATTGAAAACAAATGGAAATGAGATCCAGATGAATGTAACGACGACTTGCCGAATCAAAGCTTGAAACATTCATTCATTTCAGGTAAACCGGGTCAATTGGCAAATAAGCGCAATCCGAGGAAAATCTCCAAATCGGCCAGTATTTGAGGGGAGTTTGGTGAGGACGCTGCCATCCTTTCGCCCTTCACTCGACCGCTGTGGTTGTCAGAGCAACACGGGAGCCCTGGGCTGAAACTCATTGATTTCTGCGGCAGTGATCTCGATTTTACAACCAGCAGCAGAAAGTAGGTTGACCGTACTGCCAGCTGATAACAAAATACGATGCTGTCACTACAAAAATATTTCTTAGCAGAACAGATTAAAATGAAGAGGTAAAGCTGGTTTATTAGGTTCTTCCTGCCAAACTCCTGCTGACAGCTCATCGACTTAAAACGCTTAAATATTCGCTAAATTAAAACGCAGAAGCTCCATTAAGCAAATAAACCGTTGAGCTGACATAGAGCATGATGGAAAACGAGGCGCGACTGTGATAAACTTTCATTTTACCTTCCGTAACACGATTAAATAGTGTCTCCTTGAGAGTCCGGTTCTTCTACTTCAACATCGCCGCCATTTTATTTGTTTATAGTCCGTCACTTAAAGTGTCCGAACAGAAACAAGCGTGTTTGTTCTGTTCCACAAAGTTGTGAAAAACCATAAAAATGCATGGAGAGTATTTTGTTGTTTGAAAAATATATTTTAATATACGTTTAAAATCTGCCATTTTAAATTATAATGAATAAAACATTTGTGTAAATAAATTACATAATTACAACATAATAAGCTCAGGAGAAATTATCAGGTATCTTCTCCAAATAAGTTTTTTTCAGTACAAAACGCACAAAATTAATTCTCACACACACACACACACACACACCACACACACACACACACACACACACACACACACACACACACGCACACACACACATATATATGATATTTGCTTAATATAGTTGATATATCGTAGTTACTTTTAACTACATAATCAACATCAATGATTTTAATAATTTTTCTGATGTTTTTAATTATTAGTAATTTTATTATTTGGTTTACATCAGGCCAGTTCTATATTTTCTTTTGAAAATAATCTACTGTGTGTCTTTGTAACAACTTTTAAAAACAGCAATGCCATACTAAATAATAGTTTTCTTATTGCAATAAATAAATGGCGGCTGATTTATGTTGAGGCACATGGTAGTGACCGTTTTGTCTGTTTTTGTGATACATTTCAAATCAGTTACATTTGACACTACAGGATTATTATCTGATATTTCATTTTATATTAAACGCAAACTTTTTTTTAAATTTATGTAAGCATAAATATAAAGGTTGTGTTTCACTCACCAGGTCAGGCTGCTGCTGTTAACATCCAAACTGTGAAGTTTTATCTCGACCCGCAGTGACGCCGCAAAAAAAGCGCGGGAAGGAAACTGCCGCTGATAGAGAAGATCTGAGAGCTTCGCTTCATGTAAGTTTGTAATTTTACTATTTTATTTGAAATGTGTTTGATTTAAATGTCAACATTTAATTAAAAAAAAAAAACACTAAAACATTTTAATAACAACTTTTACCTATGATAAACATCATTAGTAAATTATTTTGACGTAAAAATATCATTAATTAAATTTAAACTACATTACCCAGCAGTGGTAGTAAACCTCGCATTGAATTATGGGTAAACAGGAAGTAAACAAACACACGTGGAACATGGCGCTTTCAGAGCAGAAGGAGAGGAAACCCGAGGATACTTTAAGGGATTTTCGGGCCTCGTTTTTCTCCATGAACCGATTGGCTTCGTTTCCCTGGACGGTGAGTTTAAGGCGCCGCCGAACTCCGCTGAAAATCTGCCTGATTCTGCTGCGAGGCGATCATTTCAAACACCCACTGATATCATCTGCTGGGCATTAATCACACATACAATGTTTCAGTTTCAATAAGTTTATATTGCAGCAAAAATGCCTATTTTTATGGTAAAATCTTTAAATGTGGAACTAACTTCTAGAAAACTGCAAAGATGCCGAAACACAGAGTTTCTTTAAATGAAGTGTGTATTCCTTTGTTTATAATTGGTGACTGTATTCTGTTTTTAATTGTGTAAATCACTTTGTTGAAATGTGTTATACAAATAAAGTTGATTGTTGTTTAGTTATTTCTGAAGATTTAGATGTCAGGACAAAGTAAGCAAATCTGGTCTGATACACCAAAACCTGCTTAACCTTTAAGAGACAAATGCACAACTTTCTTAATATTCCTCTGCGGCACTTGAATCAGATTGAGGTCTGGACTTTGACTAGGTCATTACAACAGTTTGTGTCTCTTCTGTTGCATTTTAGCTTCTGTGTTTTTGATTATTTCTGATTTAGTTTCAGACAATGGCTCCAGAAGTTATGCATCTTTGCAAATCAAAGTCATGCAGCCATGTTGGTTTTTAAAGAATGAATCTTTCTGTTTTTTTTTTAACAGTTTCTAGACAGAGAGCTGCAGAGCAACAAGTCATCAGAGTTCATCTCAGAGCTGCTGCAGCAGGTGGGAGGATCCTCACACAACTGTACTTCTGTTTAATCTGAATTAAATCTAAAATAATCCAGTGTTTTTGTATTTTTACAGACATGTCTTCATCCTCTGTGTGGAAAGTTTCCACCATCAGTCCGATTCAGAAGGATTTTCCTCTCTGAGCTCATCAAACGGGTCAGTTTCATTAAGTTCACAACAACAGAAATGATTTTCGGTGATTCCTACTAACAGGCGTTGTTGTTGTGTGTCTGAGCAGCAGGAGGCTGCAGGCTGCGATCCTCTGGATGAGCTGTACGACGCCCTGGCGGAGGTGGTGGGGGTGGAGGAAACGCCGCACTGCCACAAGACCTACTTCCTGGTACTGAACGCCTCCGTCACTGGACCGAAGAACCAGGACGGCAGAAACAAACTAACAGTTTCAGTTCATCCACTGCAATAAACAGCACAATTTAATAAGTATATAAATCAATTTTTAGTCATAATTGAAATGGAATTTGAAATCAATTGAATATTATGTAATAATTCATAATAATTTCAGTAAATTTACAAGTTGTGTAATTATAACATTTGAACTTTTCAATTCAATTAATGCCTGAGGTTGCAGTTAATCATGTTTATATGATAATACTTATGGTTACATATAATATAAATGGCAAATTTAGTCTTTTAAATTATGACTAAATGTATTGTGATTAGAGCAGGATGTGGTTTTTGTGCCGCAGCCCACCGGAGACGCCATCAGCCTTCTGGAAAACGTGGCTGTGATCTCTGAAGGAACGACGGGCCTGGTGACCTGGGAAGCTGCTCTCTTCCTGGCTGAGTGGGCCCTGCAGAACCCACAGGCGTTCACCGGCAGGTGTGACCTCACCTGAGCCTGAGCCGCCGGCAGAGCCGTGTGACCATACACAGCAAAAGATTAACAGCAATAATGCATACTTCATGCTCATGCATTTAGAAATGTCATGGTTTCAAACTAAGCGGCTCCCTCTGCAGGTCGGTTCTGGAGCTGGGAAGTGGCGTTGGATTGACCGGAATCACTGTGTGCCGCTGCTGCAGCCCGGTCCGGTTCGTCTTCAGCGACTGTCACGCCGTGGTTCTGGAGAAACTCAGAGAAAACATCCGTCTGAACGGCCTGGGCGGCGGGAAGAGTCCATCCGTCACGGTGGACCAGCTGGACTGGACGACGGCGCAGGAGGAGCAGATCCGCCGGATCCGACCCGACACGGTGATCGCTGCAGGTCCGGTCTGGCTCGGCTCGGACGGGTCAAGAGCTGTTATTATATTGAAGTGTTGACAAGTTTCCCTTGGTTACAACAGTAAGTTAAAAAACAGCATCAGTGAAAGTCCGATCCCAGATGAGCAGGCTGACGATATCAACAAAAAATAATAAAACTGAATGACGAGTTAATTTCGTCCTATCAGGCCTAGTCCTTCGTGTGGCCACGCCCCTCGGCTGACTCTCCTCCCGCCTCCTGCAGACGTGGTGTATGATCCGGAAGTCGCAGGAAGTCTGGCAGATCTGCTGCTGAAGATCCTGAAATGTTCACCGGCAGCAGAGATCCTGATCTGCTCCACCATCAGGAACCCGGAGACGTACGGCGGCTTCAAGCTGCGGCTCGGTGAGGATCACATCAAGACGCTTCAGAACCAGAACCGAGTTACAGAGTCCCGGTCCGGTGCCCCAGAACTGGGTACAGGACCCAAAAACTGCACTCGAGTAAGAAGAGTAGCACTACTTTAACACATTTTTACTACAATTAAATAAAAAGTAGAAGTTACTCAGTGAGGAAAGTATTTGGCAAATGGAGGACTTGATCCAAAAATCACAATCAGTATTTTAAAATATCATCAGATTGTAATGAAATATCAGAACCAGAATAAAGAACATTAGAAAAGTCGTAATAATATGAGAAATTGTAATAATGCAAGAATAAAATCATAATAATGCGACCATAAAGTCACGAGGATAGTCGTACAGATTACAGACTGTCGTCATAATATGACTTTATTCTCATTATGACTCTTATTCTGGTAACATTATTACAACTTTTTTCACATTTTTAACTTTTTTTAAGCATGGCCCCAAGTTTTATTAAAACTTCTGCATTAATTCTGGTATTTTGAAACAGAAAATAATACAAATAATTACAAAATAAAAAATTATATCAGAATCAGCACTTTTCTGTTTCAATTTTTATCAATATAAAGCTTATAAAACTAGTACTTACAGTCTGTAAAGTTTGTTAAAACTCGAGTATTTCCAGTGACAATGTAATAAAATTACTCCTAAAAGTTTTTTTGTTGTTTTTCTAAAAAGTTGCTCTAAATGTAACCAGTTACCAACCTGTGGTTCCTCCCTGCAGAGGCTGCAGGTCTGGGCCACCAGGTTCTGACCGGACCCGTCGGCGCCGTGTTTCCCTACGACCGGCTGGCTCCAATAGAACTCATCAAAGTGTTCAGGTGAGCCAACGCTGCAGCATCAATATTTTATTTACAAATGTACATAAATCAGGATTAAAGAAGTTTTTTCTGTTTCTGTCAGAGTCCAGGAAGACTGAAGCTCCTCTTCATCTGGGAGCCGCCAGCAGAGGCAGAACGTTCTGGTCCCAGTTATCGTCCCAGCGCTGCCCCCTGCTGGCGCGGAGGTTCCTCCGGAAAACTCCCAGTCTGCCGTCTGAACTGGGAAACTCTGAGAGGAGAGACTGGAAACCAGCAAGGAGGAGAAGACGGACTGAGTCACTGGAGTTCTCCTCCAAAACCATCTGCAAATCTAACCAAGTTTTTGCAGGACCTTTTTGTGCTGCAAAAAGGGTTTTGTGCCGCTATCACTTTAAATATATTAATACGAAAGTTTCCACAGGTCAGAGGGTAAACCTGAACTCAACTTTACAAAATCAGATAAATTTGGTGTCAATCAACCAGAAATGGGCAGAAACTTTACTAAAGTAAAACTAAATATTACTTCAACATATTTTCACTCAAGTAAAAGTAAAAAGTCCAAGAAATTACTCCAGAATAAAAGTATTTGGTAAAAACGTCAAATTATCAATCATATAATATTTAAAAATTACATCATCAGATGGACCAAAATATAAAGTGAAATTTCTTGTATTTAAAGACAAAAATCAGAATTTCTTTTTAGATTTAACAAAAAATAACAAAATCAGGCAAAAACTAACTTTTCTTAATCAGTTTCTTTCAATGAAAAACTCCAATAAAAGCTGCAAGTGTGTGTGTGTGTGTGTGCATGTGTGTGTGTGCGTGCGTGGGTGTGTGTGTGTGTGCGTGTGTGTGTGGTGAGTTTTTAGTTAAAACATGTTTGTTTTTCATTCAGTGAAGAAAATCCTGAAATTTTACTCAAATGAGAGTATAAAGTACAGCGTAGTAAAAGTACTATTAAAAGTACATTTTTTTCCTCCAAAAAGTACTTGACTGTAATAGAGTAAATGTAACTAGTTACTACCCAATTCTGTAATCAACTCAGCTACGTTTGTGCAGCAAAACATTTTGCATGTGCTGCTTTGAAGATATTGATAATGACCTCTGACCTTTGAAAACTTAATATCTTTAAAATGTTCAAAAACATTTGACAAAAATTATTTCAGCTGTAAAGAAGGAGCAGGGCTGACTTTGCTCAAACAGACTGAACATGGATGCTGAAACTCAATCTCCAATCAATCGTCTGCTTCGTTAATGTCGCATTAATAACGCTGCGTGTTTCGGGTTTGCATCAGTAAAGTTGTGGACCCAGCAGCAGCGTTTGGTCCTGCAGCAGCAGCGTTTGGTCTCACCTTGAGCTGCTGGGCGAGTTCTGCAGAGTCCCTGAAGATCAAACCGTTCACTTCGGGCTCCACCAGCTCCTGCAGGCTGGAGGAAACATGACACTTTCACTTCATTCTGAAATCTATACTACTATCTGTGTGCAAACATGAAGGAAGAAAACAGGAAATAAAGGTTGGAAGGATGGAAAGTGAAATTAATGAGGAAGAAAAGGATAAGAGAAAAAGCAGAAGAGGAAAAACAAAAGATTAAAAGGAACTAGGGAAGACAAGACAAGGAAAAATGGCAGCAAAAGGATAAAAAGGATGTTATCTAGGAAAGACAGAAGGAAAGAAAGAAACGTCGAGTTGGACTAAGAAAAGAAAGACATGGTAGAACAGAAAAGAGGGAAAAAGAAAATTAGGGGAGAAAAAATGAGAAAGGAAGAAAACAAGAAGAGTATAAACTGAGGACAGACGTAAGGACAGAAGAGGGAACACAGAGATTGGAAGTCAGGAAGAAAAGAGGGACAGGAAAGAAGGATTCAGAAAGGAAACAGAAGCTGTGGGTTCTGTAAGGTCCAGTTAAAAGGTTCTGACCAGTGGAAGTGGATGGCGCAGACAGGGAGACAGCAGCCGAACATGTCCACCACCTTCATGGGCAGGTCCAGACCGCTGGACGACTTGTGGAGGCAGACGCCCAGATCTGCTGAACCTGGAGGACCAAAAGACAAAACAACACATGATGAGAGGAAACGGCGAGGGACGGCCCGGTTTGACAAGAGAGATTTCATCAATAAAAAAAGATGCTGGGCAAAGAAAAATCACTTTTGGTGGAAAATGACTTTATCTTAGAATATTAAAATGAGGGGGGAGCTTTCTCTATTAAAATAAATAAAACTGAAATATTGAAGGAACATTAATTCATCTGATTTTTGACTGCAGAGTTTTTCCTACCCAGCAGCAGCGGGTAATCCTCGGCCTCCAGCCACGGCGTGCAGATCTTCACGCGCTCTAAACGCAGCGAGGCGATCAGCTTCTTGTAGTGTTCCTTCTGAGGACCTTTTCCTGCACAAACGCACCATCAGACCGTCACCAAAGCTTCAAACTAACTTCAATCCCTTATTTTTAATGAAATGTAGCTGAATTAATTTGAAGCTTCTGCATCTTTTCTGGCATCTGGATCTAAATCGATGCTCCGGTTTCACCTGTGATGACGCAGACTAGCGACGGCAGCGGCGCTCCTCCTCTGATGAAGCCTTCATACTCTGAAACAAACCGACCGGGTTCAGCTAAATCGGAGAATAAACGCGTTTTGGGTCGACTCGCTTCAGAAACCAAACCTGTACCTTGCAGAGAATCCAGCAGGATGGAGAAATCTTCATCCTCTGCAGAGAAAACATCACCAGTCAGAAAGGCTTCAGGCTAAACGAGAAAGGTCACCGGGAGGTCATTCACCCGTCCAGCTGGTGCTGCTGATCAGCAGAGCCGGCCGGTCCGACCTCAGGGTCACGCCGCCGTCGCCCGGCTTACGGACCGTAAAGGCGGTCGCCTCCGTCTTCCGACAGTCGGACCTGAAAACGGATCAGGATCGGATTATCAAAATATTTAATCTGATGAACGAGAGGAGGAGCAAAAACGTTTACCGTAAAAATATTAAGTTTCCATCAAATCCCACCAGAACTCCCAGTTATTCCAGTTCATTTTTAAAAGATGAATGTAAAAATTCACTTCGGATTCAATGGAGACATTTTTACTGAGTTCCAAGTTTAAACAAATATGAATGAATGAATGAATGAATGAATGAATGAATGAATGAATGAATGCTCAGTTTCTCAGTTTTCAGGAACAAAACTGAATGTTTTGGACGAATAATGATTGAACTCTCCTGTCATTTTATCCATCCCATAATAATGATAATGGTGATGATGATGCTCACCCTGGGGCTCTGAACTGCGGCTGAGTGTCGGCCATCTTGAGGAAGAGTTGGTGCTGCAGGTCCAGAGGAGTCTCTCTGAAGATGGAGGCCGGTCGGTCGTACAGAGTGGTTGCCCTGGAAACCACAACACTTCATCCGACTGTTGTAACCCGGTAGAAACGCCGCCAAACGGCAAAACACTAAAACGCAGATTTATCATGACAGCCGATTTTAATTATCCGTTTTCTCTCCTTTTTTTAAAAAAAATAATGAGTATTTGTGAAAAGCTGCAGGAATTTCTGTTTACATACAAAAATATCGTCACCATAAAAATCTCATAAAATTATGAGAAAAAAGGTGTAACTCGTATTGAGTTCTTATACAATTACTACTTTATCCCCCAAATATTACAAATTTATTTTTCTAATAAGACTTTACTGTTATACTTTTTTATCTGGAATTGCTGTCCCTGTTTTCTAGTAGTATTATGATTTTTTTTTATCTTTAATAATAATTATTTTTTATTTAAAAATGCAGCCTTTTCGTCATAGTTTTCTGAATTCAAAGTCCAAATGAACAGACGCTATAAAACACGTTTGTCAAACAAGATGGTGGAGAAAAAAATAAAAAAGCAGATTTTCAGAAAATTTAAAAACAAAAAGATTAATCAATTCACCTGATTCAACAGGAAAAACCTTTAGAGCTTATAAACTCCAACATCTAATATTTAACTCTGTACTTGAGTTTGCAAACTTCTGGAAAATCATTCAAATTAGACGTGAGATTAAACGTCTTTGTTCTGTAAAATTTCAGTTTATAACACTAAAGTGTTAGGAAGCTAATTACTTTTTTCTTGGTTATGTAAACACGCTTTCCTCTCCTACTGATGATTTGTTAGTTTCTGAAACCTGTTTGAAATAGATGAATAAAATTTCAGTTTTGAAGGTGCAGATATGAAACGGATCAGAGGAAGAAGTGACACCAGGAAGCTGGACTGAAGCAAAGTCTTACTCGACGCCCCAGTTTTTCTGCAAGTCGTCCTTCATGGCGTTCGTCACACACAGGCTGTGGAAGGCCAGAGGGCCGAACAGGTGTTCATACCTGAAGAAAGAAAAAGACTTTAAACAGAAGGACCTGGACAAACTATTGAAATGTTTTCTCATCTGACTTTCAGTATTTCAGGCTGCAGATAAAACAGATTCTGAGTTTTCAGTCTTTATTTTGTTCTGTTCTTGTTGTTCTGCACTGGAGCTGCAATAAAATCAGATTGTTTCCTCGACCCGAGAGCCTGGATGGTCGGTAAAAACACTTCATGCTCCGTGCATCAACACTCTGCAGTTAATAGGTGGAAAGACACGTGGTTTAAATCTCATACTGCAAAAATACAAAAAGTATTTTGGTCCAGTTTTTAATGCATTTATCGAAATACATTTGAAATAAGACAAAACTAACTTACAAATAACTTTTCAGCAACATATAAGAGATTGATTTAAGTAAACAATTCCTTACTATTAATAAAAAGTAGCAGAATATTTTATTTATAACATGCGAAAATATTTTAAGTGAAATAATCTGCCAGTAACTTGCCACCAGGGGGCATGACTGAGATTGTCTTTCCTCTGCCTACATCTCCCAGAATGCTGTGCGATTCAGGAGAGAGTTCAGTGAACATTCTATATATTGAATATTCTGTTAGATGCATTATTTACTGATATTGATCTCATGTCTGTGACGATTGATTGATTGATTGCTATTGATTGATTGTCCAGCTCTGTCTGCACATGAAGCTGAAGCTGCGGCGCTGACCACTTGGCGAGTCGGACCAGAGGATGCGACGCCCCGAGGCTCAGAGCCATGATGGTGTAGCCGTAGTTGTGCCAGTCGATGATGAAAGTGCTGCCGCGCAGAACGCACACGAGCCACGCCACCGCAATCCCAGGCAGCCCAGGAGGATTCTGGGAAAAATAAAACATCACGCTTGTAAATTCGCAGCACATTTAGATCCAATGATGATGATGAGGACGAGCTGACCTGCATCAGGATGTGCGTCTGCAGCTCCATGGACAGCAGGACGTGAAGCAGTTGCACCGCCTGGACCATCGTCTTCGTCACGTACGTCAGGAGTTTTGGTCCTGCTGAAAAGCAGCAGCCAGTTTTTATTTCTGAACTTTTGCTGCAGGAAAACAAACACGGCTCTGTTCACCTCGAAGACCTTTAACCTCTGAGATGCCGACTATCCGGATCTTCTCCTCTTTCAGCACGTCCTGATGGGGCTTTGAGTCTGGAAAACATCCGGTTTCATTCTTAAAGCTGGTTTTAGTAGTTTTATTAAACTTCTTCTCAGATGTTTTGCATTATGAGCAAAGAGAAAATTCACTATTAAAGGGATTAAACGTTTCTTCTGTTTCACAATTACTACAAAACAAACTAAAGTTCAACAGCTGCTGCAAGGAAAATAATCTGCAAATTGACAAAAGATTCTGTTTCAAATTTCATACAAGAACTGAGATTTACTAATAATGAGAAGCTAAGCTAACAGATGACGAACACTTAAAACTCCTCACTGTTCAGGAATTGACCAGATGTGATAAACTGATTCTGAACAGATAGTGAAACTGGGTTGATGTTAGGATTATTAGAGGCGTCCAAATGAGATCTGTGTGTATTCATGTCACAGCAGCAGCACTATAGATAATATCAGATATCAATATTGGTCCAAGCTATAATTTCATTATAGCAATAAATGACAATATTTTTGTTTTCAGTACATTTTCAAGAAATAAATGCAATATACTAACCAAAAATATTAAATAAATATGAAATTAGAACCTCAAATGTGATTTTATTATTTAATCTCATGTGAACTCTATGTACTAGTTAGTTGATACCTGAAGGCAATACTGGATCTAACAAGTGCACGCCACACTTTCCAGATTTTTTATCATAAGCAATTTGGATAACATACATTTAGTTATTTGATATCACGAAAGCAAAAGTATTTAGTATGAATTGTTTTCTGACAGTTTTTCGCGTCTTTGGAGATTTCAGACTTTCCAAAACATTTAAGTTTTCCACATATTAACTCATATTAAGACATATTAACTATTAACTCGTTGTAAACTTTCTTTATCATTCTGCAGATAAAATGTTGGTAATTCCAACAGTTTGGAGTCTCACCTGAAAACCCGACGAAAGTGACCTGGTATCCGTGTCTGCTGAGGGACAGAGCGTGGTACTGCATCCGGGGACTGCGTCCGATGTCCCCCAGCACCAGGACGCAGACCCGGCGCTCCGCAGCGGCGGCGTCCCGCAGCGGAGCGGCGTCCCGCAGCCTCCGCCAGCTCATCCACAGGATCCCGGCTGCCGCCGCCAGCCAGACACCCGGACACGTCACACCGCCGTCCGCCACAAAACACCAGGCACAGACCGCAAACACGGCGGAAAACACGGAAAACAGCGCCACGGTGGAGCCGCACGGCGCCATGTTTGTTTCAGAGTCAGGAAGTGTGTAAAGGGGGCGGGGCTTGAGATTTAAAGAGACCGCGCCAATCAGAGATACCAAAATAAAAGCCGTAAAAAAATGATAATTTCACTACATATTTACTTCATTTATTTTCTGGATAACAGGATTTTTAAAAACATTGTTATATTTTTAGTATTATTTATAATGTTATACTATTAGTAAAATATATTGTGGACAACTAAAAGTTATTTTTTCTCCAATTAGAATGACTAAATTAGTTACTTTTATTTTTGACAGAGTAGTGGTGGCTGTAACTTCTGCTTCTGTTGTTTACTTCTATTAGAATCTAATTATTACATTCTGGTATTTATAAAAAGTTCATAAACATATTTAGATCGAGGTTGACTGACGTCACATCCACCGTCACCAGTGACACTTTTCACTTTATAAACTTTAAATTCGGTCAACCTATCTGAAATTATATTCATCAGCATAAACACTGCTTATGACTTTCAAAACAAAGTAAAATGCTTTTTTTCAAGGCCAGCAAATGTCATAGTCATTTTGGTCTTAAATTTGTCTCTTTGTGTCTCTTTTAAGTTCAAACCCACAGGAAAAAATAAAGTTCATCTTTAATGATGAGTTGGGGAAGTTGAGTGAGAACATTTTGACCATATGTGAAGGTCCGGCTGACGTCACGCTGACCCACCCCCTGTTAGAGGACACCAGACCATCTGTCCTCCTGGCTGTTGTCTCACCGTCTGTCCCGGAGCCTGCAGGCTGCAGAGGAACATGCGGACTGCGGGGCTCCGACCGGCCGCGGCGCTGGTTCTGTTCGGCGCAGCGCTGTGCGCCAGTCGGGCCGAGGTGATCGATGACTTGCTGGGCAGCCTTTCCCGCGGGGTGTCCTTCCTGGAGCGGCAGCATGAGCACATCAACCTGGACGGGGCGGTGGGCTTCGTCATGCTGCAGGGTAGGTCTGCAGGAGCGCAGCTGGAAAACAGGCGCAGCTGCTGTTTACTTGGTCAACCTGCAGCTTCAGGGGCAAAATATGCATAAAAATACAATTATGCATGTTTTAACCTTCAGACTATTGAAATATTGATTCGTGAAGCAGAATCATGTTTTACCAAAAGAATTACAACAACGATCATTGTTTTTGTCTTTCGTGTATTTTCACAAGATTTGATTTGGTCAGCATTTGTTTAAAATCTTTAGGTTTATTTTAATCACTGAAGCTACAAAATACTTAAATTTCCACAAGAATCACTTAAAATCGGGATTCTAATGAAATATTTAAATATTTCGGATTTATTGTTGTAAAGCAGAAAACACAATAAGTGAGAAAATAATTATATCATTTGAATAATTATTTGAATAATTCAGTAAGTAATTCATTTAATATCTCCAGTTGTAGCCATACGACTTTCACCTTGAAGGTTTTAAGCCATAAGAAAATAAATGTATTTACAAAGTAACTATATTTGGTGTGCTGGATGGGCCAAAAACACCACATGGATCAAATTACAAAATTAATCAATCAATAAATTCAAGATTAATATCTCCACCTGTGGTATGACTCTCTAATGTGCCATATTTTTCACATGTAAATAATATTTGGTGCCTTGCAGATTTCTTCCTTTTTTCTTTCTTATTTATTTATTTATTTATTTGTCAGAGAGTCATAAAAACTTTCTGGCCATCCCAGAGTTTTCAGTCCAAACTGTGAAGCAGCGTCTGCCTGTGAAACCTGCGGTTTATTCCTGTGGATTTATTCTGCTTGCTGCAGCCGAGCTGAAGGCAGCGGTCCGGACCTGGCCGCACACAGACCCGGTCAGCTGGGCTCAGAGAACCGCAGCCGTCGCTCTGCTCGGCCGCCTGGATCAAAGCCTGGACAAGGCCGTCGCCGCCCTGAGGCTCAACGACCCCAAATACTACAGAGGTCAGGAAAACAACGGTGAAATGAACTGAAATAAAGGCTAAAAACCTCCCGTTATCTTCCCTTGGACAATTACTTTGTTTCTTTAGGCGAGAAAAAAAGAATAAAATCTGCACTGGCTGCTTTTTACATGGTTACTTTCTTCCCTTTAAGAAGGAAAAAGAATAACAACTCCCACTCTCTATGCCTTAGATAGTTAACTTTGGTTCAGCAGTTGGAGCCTGACTCAGCAGATCTGAAAAAAAAACAACAAAAACTCAAATCAAAGACGACGACAACCACAGTTCTTATGGATCCGGTCGGTCGGCAGTCGCAGGGACGAGACCTCGGATCCCCCGTTCAATTTGGACTGAAGACAAACTCCTCTGATTGGTCGATGCATCCGACGTCTCGTCGCCCTCGACTTCTCCAACTCACTGGATCCTGATCGGGACGCCAAACTGTTGTGGAAATTTTCCTTCAACTAACATGAAGGAAAACTGTTTCAAGAACCAGAGAAGGAATATTTTCTATGAATACAGTTTCACAGGGAGAGTTTCATCCATTCACGTAGTTTGATAATCTATTGGTTGCAGAACACGTCTTCTTTCACCAGGAACCAAGTTAAGACATTATTCGAAAAAGAGTTGGCTGTCGCTCACAGAAACTCACATCGTTTCTCTGCAGAGTTTGAGCCGCTGCTGACTTGGACGTTTTGGATGATTCCTCAGGAGTGGCGCTCCACGGATCCCAGCCTGGTTTATCCCTCAACTTTGACCTCTGAGTGTTACGACGAGCAGCTGAGCGATAAGTGCCTGACGCTGCTGCTGGGGACCTGGTGCGACCAAAGTGCTTTAGATACGTTTGAAGGTTTTATGATCTGGGAGATACATGTTAACCTGTTTGTGGTTGAACAGGAAGATGAACGGGACGCCCTGCATCGTCACCAAGCCCTGCCGGGACACCATGACCCGGTTCGGTTGCCCACATTACTCCCTGTCCCACCAGCTCCTCTACTTTATGATTGGCAGAATGGTAAAACCATCAACAGTCTCTCACAAAACCATAAATTTAAGTCTAATTGTTCCAGTAATCCAAGAACAGAGCCCTGAGGGACTCCACTTCCAACTCAAACCTACTTCATTGTTGCAATTGGTTTGTACTTTCATCACAGAGAGGTTGCAACAACTTGTTGAAAGGTGACACGCGAGCGTCCCGAGCCAACATGACCGAACAAAACTACCAGGACATTTTCTGCTCCAACATGATGAAGGCTAACCAGGACATCATCGCTAACGGTTTAACCGAACAAACAGTCGACATCTTCATTGAAAACAGTGAGTATTATCTACCCTACGCTGCCTCCACACATCCACAATCCTGTGGATTTCTTTAACATTATTGTACATCTAATTTGAAGTTTGTTGCATAAAATACCTTGAAGAAACAACTAATTCAAACTTCACTGCTCTTCTCTTCGACAGTCCTGATTTGTGGATTAGCTGGTTTTTCCGACTTCCACAAAACCGACTGGCTGCAGCACATTCTCAGGCTGCAAGACGACGAAGTCGGCTGTTTTGGGAGGGACAGTGAGTATCTGCCGCTGCCCCTACATAAAAGCAGCAATAAGCAACAAATCAATTAATCATGATAAACTAAAACCAGCTCAATAATTTCCATTTGCATAATTTATTGTTTCTCTCTACCAAAAACTGGATAGTAAAAGTCTTCAGTTTGGTGCTTTGGTCTCAACAAGCTTTTTTTTAAGGACGGTTTTGTTTGTAGAGACTTATTATTTATTATATTTTTTGTGTTGTTTAGTTTATTTATTTGCTAAATGGTTTAGTTTTATCCATCAGTCTCTCAGAGTAGTTTCCATGTTTGTTTCCCCAGAAAGTTTCGTCTCGCATGGGCGCTGGAGCAGCTGCAGCCTTCAAAAGAGTCAAACGGAGAAGATACTTCCTGGTCAGTGCAGAGGATTATCAGCATTTACACCCAAATATTCTTCACTCCAGTCATTTTACAGCTTCTATTTTTACTTCAATCTTCATCACTACTTGAGCTCCGATAAATAAAAGCCGGATGTGTTGATGAATTTTGCTGCTGTTGTGATGTTTGTGTTTCCAGACGGCTGCTCCAGTCACATGACGGCGGTGGCGGTGGGCGCCCTGGGAGGATACCTGAACTTTCACCTGACAGAGCAGGACATAACGAAGAGGCCGCTGTCCTAACAGACTGTCCACAACGCCTGTTATATCAACGCATTGGTTGATGTTTAAAACAATGCTGGAAGTTTGTGTGTTTATCCACTTGGTAAAACTGGATTAAGTTCAGCTCATGTAAAAGCGCACACACACACACACACACACACACACACACACACACACACACACACACACACACACACACACACACACACACACACACACACACACACACTCACTCTTTACTGTGAATATAAAAACTATTTGTGTCTGTGACAGATATAACTTCATATGAGAAATAATCCTGATTGTTACTAAATTTCTGCATGAACTCGTCCCTGAAGTTTGACCCACTTTATTCACGTCGCTTTGAATTTTTGCTAAACAAAAGTTTTCTGACTCCAGAAAACATTTTCTGTCTGTTTTGCAGACAGAAAATGTTGTTAAATGTTGTGTTTTATGAAGTTAAGCATTAAAGATCTGAAACTAATTTCCATTAAAAACCTTCAGGCATCTGTATTTGAAAAGGGTATTTTATTTTATCATCATAAATATCTGTTTATTTATTATAAATTATACATTTATTTGTGTGAGTATAAAGCTGGAAAACAGTTGAGTTAGTCGCCGTTTGCAGGGAGGAGAGTTTCATTTGTTCCAGCCGGTGACCTCGTACAGCAGCGCCTTGAGCAGCCGCGCCTCGTACGTCACCGTGTTTTTCCCGATGTGGACGTGGCTCTCCTCCAGCGGCTGCTCGATGATGGCCGGCACCCCCTTCCCGTAAACTGCAGGGAGACGTGGAGGAAAAGGTCATGAATCACTGCTTCCTGTGGTTCTCGAACGACAATCTCATTTATGAAAGAAAAGAATAAATCATAACCAACTTGTTCTTATTGTTTATGAACCTAAATAGTTCTATGGAAGCAGCAGACCATCACACTGCCACCACCGTGCGTCACTGGAGATATCAGTACTAAGGTACTTTTTTAAGGAGTAATCAATAATCTGACTAAAGTTACTTTTTCAAAGTAACTAAGCCATCACTGAGTATCAAGATGTTTTGGGGAAAGTTTAGACAAGTTTTATGTTCTTTTCGTTCAGCAGTGGTTCTGATCTTGAAACTCTCCAATGGAGGCCATTTGTAACATGACCTTTGACCTTAATTGAGGCAGTGATGCTTGCAGAGTCGAAGGCAGGGGTGTCAAACTCCCGTCCTCGAGGGCCGGTGTCCTGCAACTTTTAGATGAGCCTCTCCTGCACCTGAATACAACAATTAGGTGATTAAGGCTCTGGAGAACCAGGAGGAGGTAATTAAGCCATTTCATTCCTGTGTTTTGTACCTGAGGCACATCTAAAAACTGCAGCGGTTCTTGAGGACTGGAGTCTGACACGCCTGGTCTAAGGGTTCATTCCTACCAGTCCTGTTTAGTTCGCTTTAAACCAACTCCAGTCCGTTTGTCCAGAAATCTGGTTCATTTGGGGAATGCTGACCAAACAAAAACGTAAATTCTGATCCTAATAAACTCTTTATGTCTCTCAGTGTATCTGTCTCTCGGTGTGTATGTCTCTCGGTGTGTATGTCTCTCGGTGTGTATGTCTCTCGGTGTGTGCGTCTCTCAGTGTGTGCGTCTCTCGGTGTGTGCGTCTCTCGTGTGTGTGTCTCTCGGTGTGTGTGTCTCTCGGTGTGTGCGTCTCTCGGTGTGTGCGTCACTCGGTGTGTGAGTCTCTCGGTGTGTGCGTCTCTTTGTGTGTGCGTCTCTCGGTGTGTCTGTCTCTCGGTGTGTGCGTCTCTCGGTGTGTCTGTCTCTCGGTGTGTGCGTCTCTCGGTGTGTGCGTCTCTCGGTGTGCGTCTCTCGGTGTGTGTGTCTCTCGGTGTGTGTGTCTCTCGGTGTGTGCGTCTCTCGGTGTGTGCGTCTCTCGGTGTGTGCGTCTCTCGGTGTGTGCGTCTCTCGGTGTGTGCGTCTCTCGGTGTGTGCGTCTCTCGGTGTGTGCGTCTCTCGGTGTGTGTGTCTCGGTGTGTGTGTCTCTCGGTGTGTGCGTCTCTCGGTGTGTGTGTCTCTCGGTGTGTGTGTCTCGGTGTGTATGTCTCTCGGTGTGTGCGTCTCTCAGTGTGTGCGTCTCTCGGTGTATCTGTCTCTCAAAGTGTGTCTCTCTCGGTGTGCGCGTCTCTCGGTGTGTGTGTCTGCGTCTCTCGGTGTGTGCGTCTCTCGGTGTGTGTCTCGGTGTGTGTGTCTCTCGGTGTGTGTGTCTCTCGGTGTGTGCGTCTCTCGGTGTGTCTGTCTCTCGGTGTGTGCGTCTCTCGGTGTGTGTGTCTCTCGGTGTGTGCGTCTCTCGGTGTGTGCGTCTCTCGGTGTGTGCGTCTCTCGGTGTGTCTGTCTCTCGGTGTGTGCGTCTCTCGGTGTGTCTGTCTCTCGGTGTGTGCGTCTCTCGGTGTGTCTGTCTCTCGGTGTGTGCGTCTCTCGGTGTGTGCGTCTCTCGGTGTGTGCGTCTCTCGGTGTGTGCGTCTCTCGGTGTGTCTGTCTCTCGGTGTGTGCGTCTCTCGGTGTGTGCGTCTCTCGGTGTGTGCGTCTCTCGGTGTGTGTGTCTCTCGGTGTGTGCGTCTCTCGGTGTGTGAGTCTCTCGGTGTGTGCGTCTCTCGGTGTGTGTGTCTCTCGGTGTGTGCGTCTCTCGGTGTGTGCGTCTCTCGGTGTGTGCGTCTCTCGGTGTGTGTGTCTGATGTTGTGTAATTGTGGCTCACCCTCGCAGTGCTCAAGGAATTGAACACACTCCTTAACCACGGTGTCCCGCAGCATGACCATGTGTTTGGACATGTTCTCCAGCAGTGAGAGGAAACAACGCTTGGCGTAGAACCATGTGTCTGTCCCGAGCTACACACACACACACACACACACACACACACACACACACACACACACACACACACACACACACACACACACACACAAAACCAGAAATTAACTCATAGTTTCAAATATTTTGTAGTTAAACTCTAAAAATAAGCATCTGTCTGAAGTGAAGCCAGTTTTCCTGCTTGACTTCACATTCCTGTGTTGATCGTTGTGTTTCCAGCTGCAGCTTAGCGGACTCAGCTGCAAACAGAATCTGGACCGGATCAAAGATCCCAACCAGAACTGCTGTGTCCTGCAGAGCTGCTCACTTTAATGTCGGTAATTTTTCCGCTAGCGCCCCCTGCAGTGCAGTTGGCTGAGTTCATCAGGAAACGACAGAATAAAATGATGAACCTTCTTGTTGTAAGGCTCCAGGCTCTTTGTGACTCGAGAGATGCCGAAGTCAAAGTTCCCTTTGGCGCAGTACAACGTCCTGAAAAACGGTTCAGCAGAAATGACAAGCAGTTTTATGCTGAGTATTCACTAATCTTTTAAATGATCTTTAATAACTCATAATATCATCACTGCTATGTCATAAAGTCCCGCCACACTGACCCGATGACCAAGTTGACGATGCAGAGGTGGAAAACCTTTTTGTCTGGATCATCGTAGGAGAGCTGCTCCTCCTCTTTCTCAATCTTCTTCATCAGCTCTTCAGCCTGGAAAACAACAATAAAAAGTGAGCCGATCAATGCATTAGCAAGAAAAAACTTTAATGTCGTGGCTTCTCACCACGCTGGTTATTTTAATACGCCATCGATTAATGATTATTATTATTGGCATTCAGCTGTCAGCAATTCACTGTGATTGGCTGCTTGCATAAACGTGTTTTTATCTGGAGAAACAAGCACACAGAGCAGAGCCTGCTGCTGGCAGAGCACTGTCCTTTTCACAGAGAATATCTCTCCTTCCTGTCCAACTTTCCACCATCTTTAATCCTGATGACCTTTAACCTGAAAAAAATAAATAAATATGAAGGAGTAGATTGTCACCTCTTCGTTCTGGCTGGTCATGATGTAGGAGACACACAGGTTGGCCAGAACCACAGCGCTCACGTTCAGGATCTACAGCACACACACAGACACCCCCAAACCACCACACACACGCACGCAGGCACGCACGCAGGCACACAGACCCACACACACACACACACACACACACACACACACACACACACACACACACACACACACACACACACACACACACACACACACACACACACACACAGACACACACACACACACACACATACACAAAGTTCATCAGCGGCAGCTTGTTTGGAACCAACAACATGCAGGAAAACTGTTAAAGGACTCAGCTAGCTAATTTACTTTGGAGCTGAATATTTAGTTAACGAGTTAAACATTGTGCTAGCTAGCTAATTATTTAGCTAGACAGCTAAATATTTTGTTAGCTAACCAAGTATTTAGTTACTTATTCAGTAAATATTTAGTAAGAACTTATTTCACCCACTAAACTTTTAATGGATAAAATAAATATCTGGCTCCAAGCTAAATATTTTGTTTGCTAACTAAATAATTAGTTTAAAATGGGACATTTATAAATTAATAAATAACACGGTGAAAATGTGTCTTTTGAAAAGTCTAATTTTTTTCTGTTATTGAAGGATAAATAACTTTGCAAACGGCGCCCCAAGCCCTCTGGACCTGCCAGGCTGAACACGGCTGCAAGGAAAACAGATTGAAAACAGATGAAAAATCTGAATTTGTGTCTAATTAGTTTTTTCCTGATGCAGCGGATCTGAAACTGGAGCCAAGAAGCAGAAGGAACCACAGCAAGCAAAGGCGTCACGCTGAGAGGAGGAAACACTGCAGAGGATTTTACCGAAGGTTTGCATTTACAGGGACACTCCTGAATGCTGCAGTGCTCCACCTGGACAGAGAGGCAGGCCGTCATCGCCCCCAGCGCTACCAGCCCCCCCACCGTTGCTGCAGTAACTCACAGAGTCGTAGTGCTTCTTGACGATGGGCTCGTAGAAGCTGATGGCCTCCTTGTACTTGTTCTGCATGTAGAGCACGTGAGCCACGTTCAGCTTCCAGGTGTCGTCGTCGTTGCAGAACTCCACCGACTTTCGGAAAATCTTCTCCACCATCTGGAAGTTCTCGCGGTTCCAGTAGATCTTCGCCTGCGCCATCAGAACCACGACGTACCTGAGAGTACAAGCAAAATAATTCACAACGTTTCAATGAAAACAGCAGAAAACAAACAGATTTACTGCTTTACATCAGTTGAACATGAGCTGCTGTGTTGATGTTAGGCTTAGAAATGTGTGATTATAGTTATTACGCTGCAAAAATACAAAATATTATCAGGTAATTTAGGTCCAGTTTCTAATGCAAATATCTTAGTGCACTTGAAATAAGACTAAGCTAACTTATGAGTGACTTTTCAGCAAGAGATCAAAACTTGTTTGAATTAAAAACTTCTTTGAAAAAGTTAATTGTTCTATTGGCAAATAATTTCACTTATAACATGGAAAAATGTCTCATTCTAAGTGAAATAATCCACTGATGAAAATATCAAGGAGTTACTAATTTACAACAAGCTCTTATATTTCCAGAAAAGTTGCTTGTATCTTAGTTTTATCGTATTTCAAACAAGCTATGATAT